GGTGAGAGAGAGGATAGTGTAATTAGGGCTGGGCAGGTGACTAGGTTGAGCGTTGACGTGCTAGGGGTAGGGGTTGGAAAGGTGTAACAGCCTCAGCATACTAACCATGTCTACCTTTAGGCGTCGATATGTTATTCGAGTACGAGTTGAAACAGATCAGTTTCTCTTGTCTTGTATCGAACTGGGCACCTTTGTCAAGTGGCTCGAGTGCTTATTTGCGGCTATTGATGTGGCAGCCCCTATCGACGAGCGAGATTTCCCACGCGACATGTCTATCCCCCGAATTCAGAGAATCCGATGGTACCGCAGTCACACTGGTGAAATTTACCCAAGCACCCAGCCTGAAATTCATCAAGATCCACCTCCGGAGGCTGAAGGCTCCGGCACTCTTGACGCTGTTGACGCTGTTGACGCTGTTGACGATGCTTCGGAGAGACGATCTTCATCTGCTCAGCTACCTACTCCGACGCCTGCCCCTTCACGAACCCACCCTACAGAAGAGGTTCCGAGTAGCGAAGCTTTGGGACCCCACCCGAGAATCGTTGATCCCAGGAATGATCCCTTCCATCCCCTCAGCGTAACTTCAGATCCAAATCCGTCTATAGACCCACACACGGGCAAGTGGTTTCCTGAGCACCAGTGGACGTCTGCACACGATCTGCTATACGCCAAACTCTGCTACAGTAATTTACTGTTTCGAAGCCCTCGCAAATCAAACTATATCATTAGTAAAGGAAAGCAGTGGTTTGTCGATTGGGGCACGGGTAGAATGGTCCGTGTACTTCCGCCGGCCTATGGCGAGGTAGACTTCTTTGGTCCTTGGCAAGTCATTCACACGGAAAACAGAAGGATTTAAGAAACACCTTGGAGTTGAACCAAGCCTGCCGAATTCGGAAACGAGCATGAACAACGACATTGGCCCGATTCGAAGGAACAAGTTGTTCCTGCGTTAGCATGCACTTATGCGGCTAGATCATTTCCGACATCAACGATAACAGTCCTCACCATATTGATACGGCCTATCCTCTATTCAACCTACTTCTATCTGGGCAATATCGACTTGCCTTGATTTCTCTTTTCATTTATACCTTGTTCACTTATACAACTAGCCTGGTTGTAAAGGGCTAGAAATCCCGCATGGGAATATAGCACGGGGGAGACGGGGGAGAAAGACGCGAGCTCATCATGATGAGCTACTGGAAAAGGTGTTTTTTTTGTTACGTGCATACACGGGCGTCGGGAATGAGCATTTGCACATTTATCACCAGGCGGCAACAATATCATGGGCCGGAGTTTTGTTCTTATTTCATTTGTTATGCATTTCAGGCATGTATATTCTGTCTATGTTGCATATTAAGTGCCGTGTGTTGGCGTATTGGATATAGCCGCATACTACGCACATATCGCTCGTCGTTGTATATACCGCAATACATTTGTTTCATATCTAGTACACTTTGTTATAATAGTGTCGTGAAGAGAACCAAGGCTGGCTGATGGTAATTGTGTAAATATATACGCTTAAAGAGTAACAGTATTTATGGGGGGTATCATGTAACCAATTCTAAATCCAACAATCGACTGTCCAAAATCGCCCACTTCCATCATCAATTTTTCATTCTGAAACAGCCTTGTCCACGTCCCTCGCCTCCGCAGCCAACTGGTCCACGACAGGCGCCAGCGCTGCATTTGCGCTCCTGACATCCCCGACAGCAGCTTCGAGCGAGCCGAGCAGCGCCTCAATCTCCGCGCGCTGGCTACGGATCTGCTCGTAGAGGATGGCGTTGTGGGACTGGGCGGTCTGGAGCTTGGCGTTGAGGAGGGACTGGTGGGAGGCGAGAGAGGGGGCGAGATGCGCGGAGAGGATGTCCTTGGCGGGGAGGAGATGGGGTCTAATATAGGCATCAATATGTTAGAACCCTCTGTCTCTCTTCTTCGTCTTTCAACCAATTATCGTGGGGTTATAGAGCATTTCTGGTTTTGAAAAAGGGAAAAGGGTTTTTTTTCTTACGGAGTCGGTTTAGGAGCGTCTGGCGCTGAGGATATGCGTCGATGTGTGGCGTCTGCGACGAGGCTTTCGAGGTCGTTGAGCTTGGGCACAACTTGCCTCGCGATGAGGATGCTTTCGAATTCTCTCTAGCAAAGATTAAACATGGATACGTTAGCAAAACTGCCTCTTGTCTCTTTGTCTTCCTCCTCCATCTCCCACACTTTTTCAAGGTCCGTACCTCGCACTTCTCCGCCAGCTTCTCCGCCATCTGCGTCTGGACTTGCTTCAGCACCGGCTCCGCCTTACTCGCCACCGTCGGGTAGCAGGCCGCAAAGTTGTCCCATTTCAGCTTGGCCAGCGTGCGCTTCAGGCTCTGCGCGTAGAGCTCTTGGAAGCGAGTTGCGCGGGGGCCGGGGACGATGGGCGGTGCTGGCGGTGGAGGCTGTGGTGTGGATGTTCGAGCGTCGCCATTGTTGTTGTTGTTGTTGTTGTTGTTGTCGCCGTCGGCGGGGGTATCTTGGGATTCTGGCGCTGCACCGTCGTTTTCCATGGGAGTGTCTGATTGTGATGCTCGAGCTTGCGCTTGAGCTTGGGATGTCGCCGCCATGGGATGCTTCTTCTTTTATATTGTTTTGTTTCCCCTCTTTTATAATCGCAAGGAGATTGACCAATCCACGGCACTCAGATCGATGGGTGAAATGCAATTGGCGTAGTGTATATAAGTCAGAAAAGAAAAAAAAAAGAAAAAACGCAAGGTGGAATAGAGAATGAGAATGTTGGAATATCAAAAAAAGGTTGAAGCTGTCACAAGCCAAGCGCGTCGCTTTTTCCAATTAAAGAGACGCGAACGTGGGGTTGCGTCTTGAACGTCCGGAACTCTGTGGCACGTGACAGCGATTCAATCAAAATACATGCATGTACTTGATAGAAATGCAAGATTACTCTGATCCCCATTTAAATTGGTCGATTTACGGGTGTCCTAGTATGTGCAATGCGGCTTAGCTGCCTGCAAGCACTATAAATTCTTCATTGCCGAGCTGTCTGTTTTATCTATCAAGTATCTAGGTAGCAAGCAGGTCAGATGTTGCCAAGATCGTCATCATTTTGCTCACTTATACGCCGTTATAACTCAGAATAAGCCTTTATATCATGCTCTTCATGCTTGGTAGTAGGATTTGTAATGGATAATACATCAGCTGAGCATCGTATGATACTCGTTCACCAGCGGTATGACCCCATATCCCATGTCTATATTTACAATACTCTCCAAACCAATGCTATCTTATGCTCGCTTTTCTACTCATCCATCGAGTTTTTATATCCCCATCTATACACCCAAAATTTTTCTCAATATCTTCTTTCCATCCTTGTCGCGGTTTTGGTATCAGTTTTCAATTCATAACGCAGTCATAAAATCCACCCAGTATTTCCGCCTCCCATCGAGGCCCAAAAGGGCCAGCCCATAAATCTCACCCATACCTATCATGCCGTCCGTAATCCAAAAGAAATAGCAACCGAGTACTTATGTGAAGGCCACAAAAATAAAGTCTTTGACATCAAAATCAATTTGCTGCCAAAATAGCAGCCGCATCTGGCGCAGAGGTGCGATCACTCTTGCCACCGTCTCTTCTCAGCTCTTCCTCCTCCTTCTTCTTGCGATCCTGCTCCCGCTGGCGCTCGTGGCTGACATACGTAGCATACCGGATGGTGCCCAACGTCACAATGGCCATGAAGAGGATGCCAACAACGGATCGGCGGATGAGAATCCATCGCACGCCTTCTATTTCCGATTTGGAGTCGCTACTCAGCATGATGCTGATTTTGTAGGTGATTTGTTGGATCTGGAGAACAAAAGTTAGTAACCACCGCTTTCAAGGGGGTCGACTGGGCAACTCACGGCACTATCCGCTCCCTTTTGCTCCTCTCTAACCGTCATCTTCCGATCGTTAAAGGCTCCTCGCACGTTATCGTTCAAAGTCAGCAGCTCCTGGTTTAACGTTTGCGTCAAAATGTCGACTTCGTGCTGCAAATGCGTGCGCTGCTGTCGAATCTGCTCATCCGAGGCGCGGCGATTGTTTTTAATCTCGGCGCTCAGCTCAGAGCATGCCGCAGAGAACAAATAAGACTCCTATACAACAAACAGTTAGACCAACACTCCCTTCTTCCGTCTTCAAGAATCAAAAAGAGTCCCTACGTTTTCTACATCGCTTTTGCTAACAAGCTTTTCCTGCGCCATATCCAAGTTATGCGCCAGGAGAGCTCGCACAGCCTTCATCATGGTGGTAGCCTGGTCGCTTGAGTATCCTCCTTCTTGCAGCTGCTGAACCAGGGAATAGGTGTCAAAGTGATGAACATATTTCGGGGGGGACATGGACGGCGTCGACGATGATGCCAAACTTTCCGGGGCACTCATGTAATAGACGCTATCCAGCTTGTCGCTCATCTTCGAGGTATCTTTGGGCTTGTCTGTCTTGGGTTCGGCGCTTGCAGTCGAAGTCGAAGTCGAATCGCTGGATTCCGTCTGCGGCTTAGGCGGTGGCATTGGTATTACTTCTGCTTCCGCAGTCGTTGGCTCTGGAGGCTTTGAATCACTCTGCGTCTGAGCCGACTTGGGGTCCTGATGCTGACTCTTCAGAGCTGCTGCTTCGGTCTCCGGGGCATCTGTTGCAGCAGCCTGGCCTGTTGTCTTCTCTCCGCTCTCGAAATACAGTTTTCCAATGCCAGACTTGGCTTGGGCCTTGGCCGGGGCCTCCTCTGTTGTGCTACTATCCGTCGCCGTCTTATCTTGCGTCGCCTTTGCCTGTTCGTCCTGCTCCTGCTGCTCCTGCTGCTCCTGCTGCTCCTGCTGCTCCTGCTGCTCCTGCTGCTTCTGCTGGTGTAGCTGCTGCTGCTTCTCCCATTCGGCGGGCTCAACGGCCTTCCCATGCCTCTTCGAAATCAAGCTTTTCCATCTGACAGTCGTTGCAGCTGTTGTCGTTGTCGTCGTCGGAACCGTCGTCGCCCATCCCAGCGTCGGGCCACAGCCCCTCGTAGCCGCACGCACCAATTGGGGGTACAAGAATGTCAGTCTCCCCGCGGCGGCCATGGTTTAGAAGAGAGGAAAGAAGAGAATATAAAGAGGGAGGTCAAAAACGACGAGGAGGGAAAAAGAGCTTCAGAAGGAAAAGCCCAATTTGTCCCGCCGGGCCGGAGAGGTTTTGACTGGGCGCGTTATAAGTCGGGAGAATTCATCGGGTGCGGCGCTCGAGTGCGACACAATGCTCCTCTTGGGAAGTAATTCAAGCAACGAGACCAGGTCATTGGTAAAGAGTAAAGGAGTGAGTGGGACGCTGGAGCTTCAAGTGCCATAAAAGTGGCTATCGTCGGAACAAGTGCCGCAGTAGATAGAGAGGCGGACGAATGGCGCTAAAAAGTTGATCCGCTGTAGTCTTCAATTTTGATCCCTCCAGACTCCGATAGAGCTCCGGTGTTCACAGACAGGTAATTTACATACCGCGAATGTGAACCAGTATACTATTTGTCATTGGTAGATGGTACAATTGAGGCAATTCGTGCAAATACAGCCACTTTTTTCAAATCATTCAACGGATATTCATTGATTCATGAAACACAACCGAGCACAAGAACAACTCAGGTATCAGCAACTGGTCCTCATTCTGTAGTGAGACAACTGAGTAGTCTCCCCAAAAACTCTCTACAGTTCATCTATGGACGTAAATCCCAGGCCCCAGGTGTCAGCGCCTCCCAACCGTTAACGATAAAGTACATTTGCATCCCTTGCCATCCATATGTGCCTAGTGCTGCCCGGTTCCTTCACATCTGTTGGAAAAGGAGTGACCAAATAGAAAAACGACCAAATCGATAAGTCCCCAAGGTAAAAAAAAAGAAAGAAATAGCATAAAGTAAAACCGGAGAATATTTTTTGTAAGAAAAGAAAATAGGAAGCAAAAGAAAAAAAAAATGGTAAAAGAAGATGACGAGATATAAACTCCAAATTGTTCCCAAGAAAATGAAAATCCCAAATTTGTGTTTCGTCGCCCATGCAAAATTCCAACTTCAAGGATAAATTATACCGCAGCTTCTTATTCGCTTGTCCTGACAAATATCCAGAAACGACCGTCCGCGTGCAGTCGTAAATAAACCAGCTAGAAGGGGGCAAAGCCACTATGCGTCTTCTGTTTGCAATATTATAATAATAAAAAAAAGAATAAAGTTAGAATGGACTTGCACAATATTATTACCACATATCCATGCCGGTGTACAAAAGGGGAGATGCCGAGTGAAGAAGAACGGATAATTTGTAAAAGGTCTATGGGCCGTCTTCCTTGTCTCTTGCACCCCTCATTTGGCAAGTGCGTTGTGTATTTATGTCTCTTTCACGCTGGATCAAATTTTCTCTGTTGTCGTAATACATTTGTTCGAAGAAGTAAAAGCGGAATCAAAGAATGTGCTTAATGAATATATAAAGCAGCGAGCAGCTCTATGATTCAACATCTTGAACCTGTAGAGCCACTCCAGGGACAGACTTGCTTGAGCCCTTGTCTGCGGTTTCGTTAGATGGGGCCCCGACAGCACTGGCGTGAGTGCTAGGCGGGCTGTTGCTCTGAGGACTGTTGGTTTCATGTGTCAGGGAGGGAACCTCAGCAACGGAGTTGGTGTCTGACTGAGTAGATGTTTCGCTCTTGGAGCCACTCAATCCGAGGAGTTTCTCCAATGCCTGGAGTTGCCGAGAAGCACCACTCTTCTTTAGGTTGTAGAATTGAGGCTTGATCTCCTCAACCAGGGCATCTCTCTCCTCGCCTTGAAGCTGACCCAGCATCTTTTCTATCGGAGAGTTAGCGATGTAATCGTGGAGGGAAGATCAAAAACTTACGAATGACATAGTTACCAAACTGGTCTCTCATCATCTGTTGCAGGGGGTTATTTCCATCTGGCCCAGCAGTGGTCAGCTGCTCCCGAATGGTTGTGCGCTGTGCCGGTGTGCCGAACTCTATGCACTTTTCTACTACGTTGGAAGCAAATTTATGCTTGGAGAGCGTGAGGAGCTGACCCATGACCAACTGGATAATCCGCTCGCGGTCCTCCAGTTCGCCGTTCTGGATGACATGCTGGGCAACATAGTTGCCGTACTGGTCAGTAATCAGAATCTGGGCGGAAGCGTGGAGCTCGCCCATGATTTCTGCCTTGTCTTGCTCGGTCCCGTGTTCCAGTAGTCGCTGAATGACGCGGCAGCCATAGGCGTGGGATGCCAGAGGGGTGACTTGGCCGCGCACTGCATTCATGATGAAGTCGATGTACTGTCTTGGGACAAGCTCAATAATCTTCTGGACAACATGGTTGCCATTCTGATCTTTGATTACTCGCAAGATCTCAGGCTCAAGCTCTCGGGTCAGCTCGGCCTGCTGCTCGACTAGGATGTGCTCAAGAGCCTGGAGAAATAAGCATTAGCAAGGGTCTAAGAATTGAACGTCGGCAAGTGTATGCGGAATTGCGCTTACCTTTTGAACCACGCGACAAGCGTAAACCTGGACAGACAGATCAACGACTTTGCCCTTCATCTTCTCTGCCAGGATTTTCTTCTGAAGTTGGCTTCCGTATTCAAAAAACTTTTGTACCACGTAGTTGCCAAAGACGTCCTTCATCAGCTGGAGGGCATTGGGTTCAATCTCTCGGAAGATTTGCTCCTTTTCATCGCTATTAGCGGTCTCTAGCTTCTGTTGGATGAATCTCGAGCCATGCTGATCCCCGCTAAACTCGACGGCGTGGTTATAGATGTCTCTGAGCTCGTATCGCTTGTTAGACTTGTTGCCGTTTACGCGGAACTCATCTAGCAGAGCGCTGCGCATGCCCTTGCTGGGATCTTGATCTCTGGAAGGCCTGATGGGGGTCATGGAGTTGAGAGGATATCCAGGGACAGATGGGACGGCATAGTTGGATAACATAGGTCGGAAGTTTGAAGTGTAGGCCTCAGGGTAAGAAGGTGAATACTGAGAAGGGATCTGAGCGTAGCCGAATTGGTTGGGATAGTACTGCGCAGGGAAGTTTGAAGCCGCGAATTGTTGACCAGAGGGCCTTCGTTCGTGATCGGCAGCCCTCTGACCTCGTGAGGATGGCCTGCTCATCCAAGCCTCTGCGCCTGGAGCGAAAACTCTTGAGCTGGAACCCGGGTCAAGGCGATAGGCGGCGCCGGATGCTGGCGACACTCTGTCGAGGGAAGGGCGCCTTGCGGCAGAGAGCTGTGATAGGAGAGGATCTGTGCCGAATTCAAAGCTCCCGAGCCTTGAAGGGCCGCTCTCGCTCAGCCATGGCACAGAAGCGGGGTTGGAGTGGAAAGGTACAGAGGCAGGGTTAAATGGCTGCCCACCGGCCGAGCCATTGTTGAGGTTGATCTGACGGGCCATTCGAAGGGAGATGTCATCATCAACTTGTCTGTTGAGGCTGAATGCTCGCTGGTTGGCGACCTGGGGGAATGATAGCGAGTGGTTGGAGAGCTGTCTCGTGGAATGAATCGAGTTGCTGGGAGTATGGCCGCTGCCCTGGTGGTATAGCTCGGTGAACGCTGGAGAGCCCTGGGATTGTCGAGAAGGTGGGAGGCTAGCATCTCGGGGCTGGGCAAACGCTGCCAGAGGGTCGATGAATGCGCCATCTGAAGGACCTCGCTTTTGCGCAGCAGTAAAGGCAAAGGCATCCGACTCGTCGATAAAGCTGCCGGAGCCACCCAAACCGGAAGATTCCTTTTTCACACCAATGGCTGCCGGGTGATGGTTTGGGTAAAAGACGGAGGGGTTCGAAAGACCTGCATTTTGCGCTCGGCCGGGCGAGTTGCTAGTAGAGCGGGCAGGGTTCTCTGCGTTCCAAGGCTTGGAGTTGGAGACCCAGCCCTCAGCTTCGGAGGTTGCGTGGAGGGCACTGGACCCGGTTGGATTTTCCTCTGATTCTGCGTCATTGTGGTGAGTGGTTAGTCCCGTTTGCACAGAGATGATTGGGAAGAGCGTAAGGAGAAGAGCGGCAGTGAAGACGAGAGCGCCGACGCCGACGCTGCCCATTTATATCGTCTCTCGCGATGAGGCACACGCACCTTTGGGGCCAACAGAGCGATCCCTGGCATTGGCAAAAGGCGACGACCAGATATTTTTGTTCGGATAGAGATTGGAGGGAAAGCCCGAGCCCACGGGCTGCTGGGCCTTTTCGGCAGATCCAGAGGGCATGGCAAAGCTGGAATAGACCCTCAAGCGTGTCTGGAGACAGCAAAGCAAAACGAAAGATGACAGTTAGCGATTGTGCGGCGGTCAGAATGGACGAGCAAAAGACGAAACAGCGCTGAGGTTGGGACGAGGGCCAAGGCGTGGGGATCAGGCCTTTGTGACCCGCTAAGGGCGAATCAAGCCTCCTTCCGCTGGCGCTAGGCTGGCGCAACCTTTTGAGACACTTGGGCGGCCCCCCTCTGACGTCGTGGTGCTGGGCGGCTTCTGGGTTCGAGTGCTGTTTGCACTTTGGCAGCGCTGCACTCGCTGCAAGGATGGAGCGGGTGGGGGAGAGGAGAAGGGACAAGGACATGGAAGGGGATGATATGATGGGACAGAGATCAGCTAGAAACTAACCTTTGGCTGACTCACCGCAGTCGCCATTCTGTGCTGAATGACGGACGGGAGACGGCAGGGGAGCGTCGAGAGGAGAGCGTGAGGGGAGAGAAGAGAGTTTGTGCAACGAGGATAATGCACAGAGCTGTCAATGCCTTATCTCTCGGTTTCCCAATGGCTAGGCACCCAACTCGACTCGACTCGACTCAACTCAACTCGACTGCTGTCTGCGTTGCTTCGCTCTGCTGATTGCTGATTGCTTGTTGCTTGCTTGCTGCTCCAGCCAACCTATCCGCTGTGCTGCGCTGCGCTGTGCTGCTCGCTAAGACGGACGGATGCACTCCTCCGGGTGGTACCAGCTCGGTGCACCGCCAAACCGACCACAATCAGGTGCGGATGCAAATCGATGCAGCTACAGATGCAAATGCAAATGCAAATGCACGGCAGAGCCACTGCCAGGCTCGCGCTGGTGCCAACAGACCAGCTCGATGCAGCCAAAGCAAATCAGCGCCCAGCGAACGCCCAAAGGTTGCGGGCCTGGCACTCTGGGGAAGGCGTCTGGCCGCTACTCACAGCCTCGAGATAGCCGGCTGGGGTCTTTTGGCGTTTCCAACCCCTGTGGCCCGTTGCTGGATATGCCGGTAGTGGTCGTGATGGCTAGTAGCTTTTAGTGAGCACTTGTGCTGGTCTAGCTGCACTCGTCTGCAGGTAGGATGGCGCCGCAATAAGTACTTCCGGAAGCTGGCCCTCCCTTGGAGATAAGGGCCGTAATGCGTGTTATGGGATCTCAGACGGTCGAGATTATTGGGACAGAGCCGAGGCAGGACCTGGAAAAATTAATGCCCAAGCAGGAATAGCAGCTCATGTATGTTTTCGACGACGAAGACAAGTTGGCTGCAGTTTGGCCGGGGTAGGACTGCGATGAACAAATACGTGTCAGCGGTGGAGAAAGTTGAGTTGCAGTGAGCGCGCGCCCAACGTTATTTTGGCTTTCCGTAGCATGCGAAAGGTGTTCAGGGCAAGGGAAATTTTGTCCAAGAGAAGGCAACAGAGAGACAGAGAGAGAGAGAGAGAAAAGCAGCGTCTAGAGCATGTACAATACATATAATATCATATGGACAATTACAGCCCCCAAAGGGATTGAAGAGAAGAAGGGGAGGAGTGAAGGGGGAAACGCTTAGATCAAGGGATATCAGCATCTGGCATTATGGCAGACGTGCGAAATGAATCTCATCCACGCGATGGCAACGCGGACAGCGGGGTACCGAAAACGTTGCTGCGTGTTCCAGAGCGGCAGAAACTCACCACAATGACTGCAGATGTCTTGTTCCGAGGGATGCCGTTGTGGCTTGGAGCGAAGGGGGTGGAAACAGTGTAGCACTTGTATGTCTTGGTTGATGTTCGAAATATAGGCGCCGCGAGGAGGCTTGTTCGTTGCTCGAATTCTGTAAGTCCGGGCTGTGTTCTGCATGTACAGAGACGAAGAGCCACCAAGGTTCAACGTGGGTACCAGTCAAAATTACAGAAGAGACAGGAAAAGGAAGATACAAATATCAACTGAGAGGGTGATGAGATGGATAAAAAGTAGCTCTGACGGAGAACTGCTTCCAGTCTGGCGCTCGTGTTAGGCGGAAGGATTGAGAAATCAATTGTAATTTTCTTTTCTTATGTCCAATGCGCGATAGAAACAATTCTTGGAAAGAGACAGGAGGAGGAGGAACAGAAGACGAGAGAATCAAATGGCCCAACGGTGCGGGCTCGATGGCCTAGATGTATGGCGGCAGCATTGGGACGAGGAGGCGAGAGCAATGGGCAGAAATGCTGGGTCGGAATGTAGATGTAGCAAACTGGCAGAGAGACCCTGAAATCACAGGAGGCCAAGGGATGGAGATGGAGCGAGGAATGAATGGTGCGCGAGACAACCACTACGGGAAGTCAACAGGGAGAGGGAAAAAATAATATCAATGCAAATAAATTGCAAGGCAAGGCAAGGTGAACTGAAATGAACTATATTGGGCTGAACTGCAATGAAATGAAATAAGTGAGTGAGTGCTGTACCTGCAAGTACTGCCGTTGCTGCCCTTCTCCTCTCCTTGGGCCGGCACAAGTAGACAAGAATATGGCAGAGCGCGCAAAAGGGCGAGGCCACGGTGAAACTATCATCGGGTGCTCTGCTTGCTCTATTTTCTACATCTAGGAGACATGTGCAATCCACCGCTACGCTCAGATGAGGCAGCGTTTGCCAGCGTGTGTCCGGCTGTTACACAGACACTCGATGTTACAGAAACAGATACTATAGAGACGGGGAGACACTAGCGGTGACCAGGTCAAGGGCTGTAACGATCAATAGGGGACCCAAAAGAAGGGTGCTAGCAAGTTCTAAGCACGGGAAATAAAGAACTATTTACTCTTGTATCAGATTAGAAAGAGAGCAGGACAGAAAGCAATTACTGTTAGCGTTGGCGCCCAATAGGCTCATGCTAATACGACGCATTACATGCGATCCATGCCAGTAGCACATGGGCAAGACACGAGGGAAACCTCGCGCCTTCGGTACGAATTTGACGGGCCAGGGGGGGGCGTTCCTCCATTCTCTTCAGACCCATCCGACAGAGGCACGCCAATCAGCAATCAGGCCGGCAGAGGCTCATCAACCTAGCAATCAAGCATATCGATGCTCCTCCGTCTTACACGGGCAGAGGACTGAAGGAGGGTTACGGTGCAGCACTAGGGTCGGCCATTTTTTTTGCGAGATGCTACTTTACACCTATGGGAAGCAGAGATTTAGATTGGCGATCAACGGCTAGTGTATAGTAATACGAAGCACACAAGCTCATAGCAATGAGACCGATTCATACAGCATCCAAGTCGGTAGCAATGAGGCCACATGTGATCTACATGCGTGAGCAGCTACCATGGCTGCAGTTTCGCCTTTACTCGTCTACAATTCCGAATTGCCTCTTTGGCCAAAATAGCACTTGGATATGGAGTCCCGAATACGGGAGGGGGGGCACGCTAATGTGGCCGTCTGGGAATCTAGCGGGGAGGCAGGAAAAATCGAAGAAGAGAGGAGAAGATGAGATATAGGAAGATTACCCTCAGCTCATGATACCGAGTTGGAGTTGTTGGAGATGGATATTTGTCCACACAAAAGCCAGACCGCATCGTTACCAGGAATGGCGACATTGCATTGCATTAGGTGCAGCCTATATCTTAGGCACATTGGGGAGAGAAGGACGGCCAAGCGCAAACTTTACCGGTACACGAAACACGACCTGTCACCGTTGCGGGAAAGATGGAGATGCAAGGATACATTCACTGATGACCTAAGAAGTCAAAATCAAACCTAACAGACGAATGAGCAACTACCGGCGGAATTGTTATTTCTTCTCTGCTCTTTCCAATTTTCCCCTTCTTCTAGGCACCTACCACCTACTAATCAATAATCCTAAGTACTTGCCATTTTCATGTTGTCTGGTCTGTTTTGATGGCATTGAGGCAGTAGCCACCCACCTAGCTTTCATGTTACCTTCCCCTACATGTAAACACGTCGATCAGCGCGAACCTCTATATAACAGTTAGATTAGTAAATGTGAAACAAATATAGAAACTACTTACAAACGTAATATCCACTTGCTACTTACAATACAAACATACAACACCCAAAAAAGGAGATGGGCACAGCTCGAAGCAGAAAGTACAAGGCAAGGAGATTGAAAATCTACCACAGACACTGCTCTCCATAGTCAGTGCGCCGCACATCGTTATGTGCCGCGACCCCTGCCCCTGGCCTGGCTTAGCTTAAGATCCTCTCCCCACCTGGCCTAGGGCCATGTATACAGGACATGCCCAATCAAGCCTAGCAACTAGCAGATAGTGCAAGATCGTATGGCCTTCATCCATTGATCCTTCAACGAACGCTGACTTCCTCCGGCCTACGTGCAGATCCCAAGCTCATGACCGAATCTGGCGGACCACATCGTTCACGAGGACACATGGCAAATCGGCGTCTCTCGGCCGGCTCTTTCGGCCTTCTCTGCTCTGTCTGGCCTACGGGGTAACATTAGCCCACTTGCTGTAATCTCGAGGCGGCGCCCTGCATGCCTCTTACTCAATCATCTGATTCTGGTGCTACGAACACGAGCGACACTCCTCCTGCTTCTGCTAAACCTCGAGTCGCATGAGCATCAGGTGCCCTTGCTGAATCTACAGTACAATCGACAATGGGCCTCTGTTACCATGGCAGGGATGGCACCTCCTCACTTTCCACGCCGTGGAATTGATCCGACTGCCCGTCCGAGGCGGGAGCACTGGAAAATAATGCTCCCGCCAAGGAATTGTCTTTGTCTAAGAAGGTCAGGGTTTTCTCACTATAGGATCTCATGCTCAGCGAATCACAGGGCTCGAAAGCTTTACACAAGGGGTTGCTGATGAATACCAACTTTGTACCGCGTATTGACTATGTGATACAAGTCTTGTCTTCTGCCGCCTCGTTCGCTGACAATATTAGTTCGTAGCTTCTTTTGTCCAGCATGTCCACAGACGATGCCACTTACCCAACCTAATCTTGATATGCAGTCGTCTCTTACACTTACTTCACGTTGCGTACAGCTACCAATTAAACGCTACTCAAAAGCAACACGTATACAGGCAGCAATATTGTTACTGTCTCTCTATCGATGCCGCCACCAATCCCTTCGTGAACAGGTGTCTCAGACACGAGCCCGCCGTGCATGACTGAAGCAAGATCGGAAGGCGGGGGAAGGGATAAGAAATAGCATGCAAGCAGTGCTGGATTCGCTCATTGGGCCCTCCCGCTATCAACGTTGTATTCTTCGCCCCCTCCAAGACAGATTTTCCGAAAACGCCGATAGTTTGGGATATAATTTTATCACCATTGGGGAGACTATTGGCGCTGGTTCTTCCCTGAGAAAGCCGATGGGTACATTTACGCACTAATACTATCTGTAGACCTCGTTGAGAGACAAAACCTTGCCTCGTGAACTTTCTCGCCATGTTCAGAAAATGTCCGTCTACATTAGTGTAAGTACAGTGCTATACGGGTAACACAAGGTGTCGTTTGAAGACTCCTACGATGTTGCCGTACGAGGAGGCGAAACCAAAGTTTAAAAGACTACCTACGAGTAGTAGGATTATGATACTGCGCTATAGAACGCAAACGGCGCATTTGTGTTACTCGAGCTGCTCCGTCCTACGAGCCAGCGCTCTATCGCATTGGATGAGAATAGTTAGTTGGGTCACAAGACACGCGGGTGTGGTTAGAGCAACGATTCCACTCCGATAGCGGCTCAATGGTATCCAAGAATATGGCTAGAGAAATACATCCGTTGATGGCCCGCAGCAGCCCGGCAAAATCCCATCACGACATTTCTTCAGAGACGAGCTATGGGGCTGAACGAAGTACAGACCTGCTCCACTCTCATGGGAATGCTACCATGCCGTGTGCAGTGTTAGTGAACCCTCCACTGCTTAAAGATAATCAGTCGTCTGACATTTTTCACAGAAAGCGGCCTTACTGACGGATATATTCTCGGATTTGGTTACTGCTTATAGTCTTGCTCGCCAACCCTGTATATATACATCATAAGACAGGCTTTTTGACTTACGAGGTCCTTACTGCATCTATGAACAAACTTGATTGAGACCCGGATATTCCAAATGCACGGTCCGGCTGCACATGTTCTGGAGCTACCATCCGAGGAAAGCCTTATTCAGACAGAAAAAGTGCTGCATAAACTGGCCATGGAGGACCATCCTCGCTTGGCCTTTGACCGTTTGCCTGTCACAGTGTTTTGCAGCCGTAAGATACGGCGAACCGTAAGCATGAAAATCAAGAATTAGAGTCTCACTATCGCACGACTGTCACGGTAATGCAGGGAGAAGCAGATATCGAATCAAATTCGCCATGAGACCGAATCCAGCCCATACACTCACAACAAGGCTCAAGTATGTTGAGGGCAAATGTAAATGCGGTGTCGGAGTGGGAGTCCAGTCACCTGGGACAAGATGCACTATTCTTGGCCCTTGTTTACCCAAACTTGTCGATTTAATTACATGTAACATCATGCCACCAAAGTATTGGATTAACAGAACCCGGCTGCGGCACATATCATGCCATTGAGAGCAGCCACTGGCTTATATGCATACATATAAACTAAAGTCTTCTTCGGCCAGACTTTTAAGATCTCCAAATCCAATCCAAGCAACTAGTTAGGGTAGTTCTCCAGCCCTTCGGCGGAAAGCGAAGCGAACCATGCAGAATCGTCATGCGGTCCCACCAAACAAAGCCGAATTAGGTATCTCACGAAGCTGAAGAGCTTGCGTATGGACGGGGGGGTTGTGAGAAAATAGGGAAAGTAGCCGATGGCAAGAGGTGAAGGGGTATCGAACATGTGATGACATGGGGTTGTGGCACAAGGAGCCGGAATAGGATGTTGTTAACGGGCACGCTTGAACTATTACCGATGACCGCATTGTCCTGAACAAGCTGTCTGTATTAGCTCAGCTCATTCTTTTCTGCTTTCAGTATTAATTTTTTTAAGAAAGTTGGAGTATGGAGATGGTTTTATTTAAGTTACTTCTTTTTTTCATGGGCAGCGAGGAATGCTCCTTTTGAGACCTTCTTGGCCAAGATATAGGATGGGGGTTCTGCGTTATATAAGCTTCACGAGAAGGTGAGTCGAAATAGACCTATTCGCAATTATGATGGGGTTCATTTATGGCATCTTGATATGAAGACCGCTGTACTTGTTGAGTTGGTAGCAATTTAATAAACATAGCCTTCACAGCGTGTATGCCTAGTGGGATGTCTTAGGAGCAAGTATACGCATATTCGAAACGAGGCGGACAGCAATGTAGCGCGATGATAGGACTCAACTGTTATTTATCGTACAAGATAGCTATTTATCTGTTATGTATAATCCCCCCGTCTCCAAATTGATATCATGGCTCATGGCCAATAAAAGGTAACATTGTAGAATCAACGCACGAGATGTTGCATAGAGTGTAGGTTAGCAATGACATTCCTTGCATCACCAGGAGAGGAGACGTCGCCTGCAGAACTACACTCACAACACATTGAAATAAGATTTGGGGCATGTAATATCAAGGCAACGGAGTAACCACTAGATCAAAAGCATGAATTTACGGCGCAGATCATCTATACATTGCATATAAACAACCTGCACTCCGTAATGATAGACCTTTCTGTGGTATCAGCGCAATATCCCAGCCGCTACTATTCTTAGACATCACCTTTCCAGAAATACAGCACGTGACTGCATGCACAAGTAATTGAGCATCTCGTTGACTGATTCATTCAAAATGAGACCTCCACGCTGCCCCAACACGCCACTCTGGACATCTCCGAAACATGACCCTTGGGACGTGCTGGAGGAGGCTGGCAAACGCCCCAAGCACAAACACAAGCACAATCCCACAATCTCACAATCCCACAATCCACAAACCGCTGCCGCCTGTGCTCTGCTCTGCCCGCAACGCAGAAAAACTACACATCACACCGCAGGATGCACCTGTCGCGTGCCATTGCGAAACACGCGCACGTCTCAATGGGCGGCTCGCACAAAGGCGCCGCAGTCAAGTAGGAGCTCACGCAGGCAGAGGACTGGATGTGGCATGACTTGTCGAGTGTCTCTCGCCACCCTCTTTGCTCTGGCCGTGGCCAAGCTTAAAATCAGGATTTGTCTTAGCACGAGCGACTATTTGTAAAAGCATTGATTGGGTACGGGGGACGGTTTTCAATGTTCGAACGCGCTCTTTTTTGCTTCTGGCTGCTGTCGTCGTCGCTTAGATGTTCGCCGCTGACAGGGGCCGAAGGATCAATGATCTTGAATTGGGATGGCAGCACTCCAGCACGGCCGGCACTAGCCAGCTCCGGCCAATGGCGCTGCGAGGCGCTGCCGGGAGCCCCGCTGGCCGCAGCTCTGGCGGGGGGGACGCACCGGTTCGAGCTCAACGGCGCTATAAATGGCTGCATGGCCCCTGCTGCGGCGCCGCCCGGCCATTGGCCACAGCGCCCAAGCGCCAGGGGCACGCGCTGTAGGTAATTTCCCAGGCCTCCACCCCGCCCGCATGGGGCCACTTAGGGGACTCCAAGGTCGCTGTCCTGCATGCTGTAGCGCCTGGGCGCCCTGTGGCCTCACCCAGAGCGGGATCCCTGCGGCTGGCAAGACCTCACGTCCAACTTTCTTTTCCCCCGTTCTGCTTCTTTTTCTCCAACCATCGTCGCTGGTCCGGAAAGAAACAAGAAAAAATAAAAATTTCTCCTTTGCTGGACGAGAGGCGTCTTTTCATTCATTGTCGCACTCTCTCCTGACCTTCTTTTTTCATAGCTTCGTTCGCTCTTCCTAGGAAGAACACCTTACTTTGGAACACAGTCTTCATTCTTTTAGCTGTGTCTCCGTCCGGTCCTTTCTCATTGACTATCCGCGTTCTTCACCACTCCTTTTTTGATAAAACCGACGACGACTACGATATACATTCCTTTTTTTTCTGTCTTTTCCTCTTTCGCAGAATAGCTGGATTAGCTTTTACAAACTGTGAAAAGAAAAAGGGAAAAAGAAAAACTTTATGTGAGTTGCACTGCGCCGGTTTCGTCTTGTTTCGCTGCGACACGGATTGGTATGAAGATGGAGAATGGTGTGCCTTTAGAGGCAAGGCTGGGCGATCTGCTTGTGTCAACCCCTCCATGGAACGCCGTGACGCTTGGTCTGTTCGTTTGTTTGTCCGGTCGCGGCTATGGAAGTGACAGTGATGTGATCCATGATGATAGCAGGAGGACAATAGCAAAAAACGGCCATCTATCAGTTTCTCGCCCCCCTCTCGCCTACTCTCCTTCTATATCTTATTCTATGCTGGCCCGAGTCCTCGTAGCACAATGTCTCTCGAACCGATGTACTGACCATGACCTCTCATAGCTGAACATTCATTCATCTAACTACTTGAACGCGCCGCAATGCCCTCACTCGCCCACTTGCGACGAGCAGTCGAGGAGACGCCCCGGACTCACTTCAATGTGGCCCGCACAGTCTCTCAAATCTACAAGAAGATCCGCCCTGCAGGACAGATTGGCCCCCTCAAGGTCTTCGCTCGAAGCGACGACTCTGACAATGGCTCCGACACGGTTCTCAACGCCCTGTTAGCCGTGCTCGGCGTCGCCTTCCTTATTCTCATTCTTGTATCTATTCTGCTTGTGCTTCGCCGCGTCCGCCGCAAGCGGCAGCAGCAGGGCCAGGAGCCTGCTTTACCCTCGTACAACGACGTCAAGAACCACCAAGGCCTTACCATCGAGACCAAGCACAACGGCCGCTCCAGCGTGCTCTTCATCAGCCGGGACGGCCAGCCTATGCTGCGCACTCCCAGCTCACCACCTCACTCTCCCGACAATGTCCCCGAGATTCACATTACGTTCCCTGATGAGCAAGACGAGCAAGGTGGCCGGAAGAGCGGCCGGGTTGTCGTTGTTCGCGTTGGCGAAAACGCAACAGTCGGCCTCGAGCCCATGCATGACGAAGAGCTGCCCGCCTACGAGAAGGAGGCTGGCGGCCAGTTCTACTCTGTCGATATGAACCAGATTGGCGGCCTCAAGGAGAAGGACCATTCCTACTTCGATCACTACTGAAGTAGTCAAATTGATAACTTTTTTCCACCTTCCGCTCTCCGAACGCCCTATCCATCACCCCCAGGCTTTCTTTGGCCGCCCAAAAATCAGGAACACGACAGTAATAGAAAGAAAGAAAAAAACTAGAATAAATACGCCATCACAAATACTCTCTCAACCTAGACTTTAACGATCCTCTGTATAACGACTTTCCTTGGATAACAAAAAGTCATGGAACACTCAAAAGACAACTTTCTCGATACCACGCCACCCTTTCCGCCCTTTTCTTCTACCTCTTCTTCTATTTCTTCTTCTTCTTATTATTTTCCATTCGGCATTCTCGAAATCCCGGAATCTTCCTCTTCTTTCCAGAGCAAGGTTAATTCATTTCTCTCCCTTGTGGATCTTTATGACATATAGATAAACACATGGCGCTCTACTGGACATGTGAGGGGTTAAAGTTTTATGCAGCGGGTTTCCTGAATTTCCTCTTCTTTTTCTTCTTTTTCTTTTTCTTTCTATGTTCATATATTTACTGTCATACTACACAGCTGCAATGATTTGGGTCTAATACATAGTCAACATCTCCTCTTGGCTTTTTTTGTTCCTTCCCTCCTTCCTGCCTTCCTGGTTTTATATATACTACTCTCCCTTTTTGTATATCAAAATCTCGTCTTACGCTCTCAACCCCTGTTGATGGTCCTTGCCAAAGATTTGTGGAGGGAGATCAACACGGAGCTATAGGCGTTTTAGCTTAATAGCGTTTCCTAACTTGGGAAATGTCTAAAAAAAAGAAAAGTGGTTAGGAAAAGGGAGGAAAACTTGCGGGAGACAAAAAGGGGGGGAGTTCAAGCCAAGAAGGGAGAGAAAGACATACGACCTTGGTACATAGCGAACCTGAGCCATCTTTTTCCGTGAATAGGACAATAACCAAAGATGGCTCTTTCATCATATAGCTGTATAGGATATTGTGTAGCGTATAATTACAATATTATGCCTTGATTTAGTTGCATTGTCAAGACCAAAATTTCTCTGTTGGACACTTTGTATCTCACCATGATAAATAGCATGTGCAGCAGGCTTATGTCTGATTTCACACACACACACACACACACACACACAGGCACTTACATATACATTTCCGGAATTGTTAACCAATGTGAAGAATCCTTTGCCATATTCAGGCCAGAGAATCTTCTACATGGAGACTAAGATTCTCCAGTCACTCCAGCCGTTATGGTACCCGTCGAAGTCTCAAACCGGTTATGCACCCCCATCCAAAATCTCTGCCTCTCTAAGTAAAGCCATCATACAATTTATAAGCCCAGACTCTGCCTTGCGCTCCGTTAAAATCCAAACATGCAAGAACCTGCACATGCGCGCATATAATAGTGAGCCCCTAAATATGCAAATACTGCCCCCTTTTTTCTCATTTTACACAGGGGCTTATGTACCCAAAACGCCGACGCTTATCCGTATAAATACCGTCTTCCCCAAATGCTGTTAAAAAGTGAAATTCCCAAGCTTAGTTGAAAGTGTTTTGCTGTGTGTACGCGGACGTATTGGTATGGCTTCCGGGATACGGCGGCGGTACGTATCCGTTCATCATCATCCCCTGATGTGATGGAAGATAAGGCTGCGGTTGCATAGGCGCAATATCCTGTCGATATATGGCTTGGCTAGACATAGCATCTTCTATACGTAGCATGGGCATCCCGCCGCCTTCGCTCATGACTTCTGTTTGCACCATCTGGTAATTGTTAGGCATCATCGCCATCATCTCTGGTGGCTGCATGCCGGCTGCCGTCTCGGCGTCGTATATATCGCAGACACCCATTGATACGTTGCGCGCCTGGGCGAGAAACATGGGTAGGCCAGGCGGTCCATAGTCGTGATCAAGGCCCACTTCCGAACGATGGTACGGGATCGTTATTGGCGATGAATCTTTCGATGACTGCTTTGGAGTCGATGGTCCCATCCACCAGTCGGATACGGGCATGTTCGCGGCTCGGCTCCTCTGTTCCTCTTTCACGTCAGGGACGTTCAATCGTTCAATAAGAACATCGGATCCAAATAGAAACTTGTCCTCGACTGGCTCTTGCCCGGCAATCACGACTGCATTACCTCGATCGAGTATCCTCCCATTCTTGTAAAAGTCCTCTACCATCATTTTGTTACACTCGTGCTATAAGACGATTATTAGAGATGATTGAAACACAATACACACCACCGAGATTTTTTTTTTCCAAAAAATGAAAAGAGAAAGAAAGAGAAAAAAAGAGAGCGGGAGGTACCACGTACAGCTTGCTTAGCCATGTCAAATATTTCGGCCCACGCTTCGGTAATTCCCATGATAGTATCGATCAACGATTTAATCTGCGCTTCGCTAGTCTCGGCTCCTCGCCAAGTTGGCGCAGTAGTGTCGCTCAAATTCTCATACAGGTTGTATTGCAAAGCGATGAGCAGGACTCGAATACATTGAGTAGCCATGTGCGCAACTGAGTAGTCACCCACGAGCTTAGGGCTGCCCGGATTTTGCATCTTGTCTGTCTCGATCTTGATCGCATCTAAAAATCGGGCTAGGCTCATGGCGTGGGCCACCGCTTGCTTTTGACACCGGGCAATAAAATCTGGTGGAAGCTTTCGAAGAATCTCGATTGAGGCTGGAGTTCGCGGACCTGGCAATGAGAATCGATAGAGATCAATGTGGCTCACGGCCATGTGCGTGTGAAAGAAGCAATATCCTCTCCATTGGGTCGAGGCGGCATATCGAGCCATGCTCTGATCAGTCAGTCGTAGTTCATCATGTATAGAAACGTGAAATCGCGTCAGCTCGCTTTGTAACGCGGCAATATCCGCCATAACCTTTGACGGCTCGAGGGCTATGGCTGATCCAGAAGGTGCAGCTAGCTTTTTTGTAGTTCTATATCTACTGTAAGCAAGAGAGAAAAAATAGCCATAAACGACTCTTCTTTAAACGAAAGACTTACACTTGTATCCGGTGGCGAAGATCGACGAGAAGAATTTGAATACCGTGCAGACCGAGAGCGGGCGAGCAGCGAACAGGCTTGTCATGCAATCTTTCTGCAACGACTGGCCGATTCTCTCTGAAAGCTGTCTCGTTGCAAGGTAGTCTTATCTTCATGTAGTCAGCTCGACAAGCGATATACTCGTCGTAACCGCCCGCCAGCAGACGATCAAGGCTGAAAAGCTGCCATGCAATCCTTCGGAGGCATTCCTGTTGGATAAACGTCGAATGCTTCGACGAAACATCCCAGTTCAACTGCAAGCCAATCATGAGCCTGGAAGCCACGCCAAAACACTGCCAAACTTTGGCGTGCGAACCCGCGAGAATGTGGTAAAGGATGTTTAGTGCAAATAGAAAGAGAGCGTTTTCAGAAAACTTGTCGATGTTACGGGAAATATGCATTTCGACCTGCTGGCTGCACCTTTTTCCAAACTCTCGGCCGGCGGGACCCGGATTTACGAAGAAACTAGCTACAGAGCATACGGCGGCTGCTTGAGCTGGAGGGAATCTGTTCTCCTGCAAGATCAACTCTGTTAGCTAGGCTGAAGACGGTCTCTTGACACAGTACGCTAGCCTTCATACCTGAACATCTCGATAGGTGACTTCTGGATGTAAGAATCCTAGACTCGGTACCATATATAAGAAGTCGAAATATGCGTCCAAGTGTGTGAGAATAACGTCTCTTCTGAGTAGCATGTCTCTGCATCGGCTCACCATTAGCTTGACATAACTTTCCATGCTGTTATGGGGGGTAAAGGCATCACGTACTCGGCCTGAAGGTTTGCTGAATCGAGGAGATATGGAGGAATGCTGGCACTGCTGCTGCTCGCGGGACTGATGGCTGTATTTTCCTCTGATTTGACAGGCTGCAAGGCAGAAGGAGCCTGGCTCTCTGCTTTTGGGCTGTGGAATCGAACGTTGGTAAACCGCCGCCTGGTTGGAGTGTACTCGCAGACTAGATTCGCAGCCTCGCATCGCTTACACTTGGGCAGGTCTCCGGAGCATTTAGTTTTGTGCGTATGACATTGACTGCAGGCCCTTTGCGCTCTCTTCCGCAGCGTACCGGCCTCTGTATGGCTGTGAGATGGTGTCGTTCGGGAGACCTTTTCTGGTTCTGTGTGTTAGAAGCCTCTCAACTCGATGTCCCTGCGTACTGTGTCGGAGCCTACCTTCTTTAGAAGCACTAGGAGATGCGGCAAAGCTACAAGTGAGCTCTAATCTGGAACAGTTGCTACACGGTCCATTCCCAGGGTTGCCAGTGCATTTGACCTGATGGGAATGTAAGTCGCCAAGTTAGTCGTAAAAGCATGGAAAGAGGTAGCACAAATGAACATGCGTAGCAAGACGAGGTGTCGGGCGAGCATGGCAGAGAGCAGTAGGCACAAGGATGCAAACAAACATCATGGATGAAGGAGAATCTAAACAAGCATGGAGATGCGCTTGCCATGCTATGCCATGCTACGCCATGTCCTGCGACAGTTGTGTTAGAATGACAAAGCCCGCTCGTACCTTGCGTAACCGACATGTGCGACAACAGTCACCGGTATTTGTCGTAGTTCGTCGACGTTTACTTGGAGGAGACAACGATCCGGACGAGCTGTGCGGCGGCGGCGGCACAGGGCCTTCCGCGTCGTGTGGCAGCGGTAGATCCATATGCCCGTCTGAGGGTTTAAGAAGGCATGAGGTTGAGGCGAGAGATGCGAGGATGGAGAGGTCACAAACGGTCGAAACCTGGCCGGAGTTGAAAACAACTTCTCTCCGTGTCTTCCTCTTCGGAGGACCCAGCTGGTCGGCGAATAGGCAGGAAGAAGATGCAGATGGGGCAGGCTGAGGCTAACCAGTGGATGGGTTCCTCGGCTCTCGCGCGAGGCCCGTGGAGCCAAGACTGGCGCCACGGAGAACGGACGGGAGAAGGAAGAAAGGGAATGCTACTCCGGACTAGGTAGCAAATCGTGGACGGCTGAGATAATAGTCCTCACGGTGCGATGAGGAGGCGCGCCACGGACAATGTGGCTAATCCGAAGAGTAATAGGCCCCGATACAGTCCCTGAGCAAGGATGGCCCCCAAAGCCTTTGGACTAACAAAGGCTTGTTGTTGAGAGCAAATTAATCCACATTGCGGCCGCTTCTCTGGTGCTCGTGGAGCTGGAAGCCGTGGAGTCGTGCGTGTCGTTCTGGGATTTCGGCACTCGCTGTTATTTTAGTACCCATCAAGCCCTTAAACCCGGCCCTCCATGGGTTGTCAGCCGGTTTTGGCGCCTGCTTCCATTGCCTTTTCCAACCACAATGCCGCCTTGGCTGGAGTGCGAGCAAGGGCCTGCCCCAGAGCATCCAGAAACGTTCGATCTGTAGGGGGCCCGGTCCTGGGAGCACTCCGTATATACTACTGTACCTAGTACTAGTGGTCTGTACATATACTAGTACAGTAAGACGATATAAGCTGCAGATGCTTTGAAGCGTCCAGTCGATCGCCAGCAAGTCTCAGCAGCCTCAAGGACATATTCTCTGAGGTAAGCAGTACAAGGTATTGGCATACCAGCACATACTTGTCCAAGTAGCGCGCATCTCGAACCCTGCTCCTCCACGGCGTGCGGACCGGTCGTATTGGGTAAATGCGCGTGGAAGCCCTGGCACCGCAATGGCGGCGGTATTACCAGCGCTACCAGCAAGCGTTGAACAATCCGCAGTCTATACACTGTCACTGCGACGTCTTGGGCATCGCGTCTCCGCAAAGAGGGCTCAGTCTCAAGCCACCAAAGATTTCAGGGCGTGGGATAACGCCAGCCACGAGGAACTAGGCGGCGGACGCCATGCTTTGCTTGCTGCCGGAGCGTCATACGGCGGATATGGTAATCGGATGTATCGGGGAGTAAAGCTGGCATATCGTCTCTCCACTTCTCCTTTTCTTTCCTTCAAAAAGTTCTGCTTCTTCCTATTCTCCCAGCGCCTTAGTTTTGCTATGTCAGCAATTTGCGATTCTATTTTTCCTGCCGCTTGGTTAGCTTGACTCGCAAGGCCCCGTAAATAACTCGGCTCGCGACCTCGGCAGGGACCCTATGACGCCGCATTGATTGACCTGCAACGAAGCTTGCCTGCTTCCATATCCAAGGACCGACGATTGTGTGTATTTCGGTCTTTTATCCCCACGAAGCTCGCTGGCAGTGCTTCTTTGGGAAAAGAGGAGGATTGTATGGAGCACCGGCAGTACTAGGCAGGTATCTGAATAGGCAAGATGGGCACAGGTCAGCACCTTTGTAGGTTGAGAGAGGCAACGGGGAGTCTACAGACATTGATCCGAGATCCTTCAACTGTGGTGGTAGCTGGCTTGGGAACAGGTACTAAGGTACAGTACATGAAAGTACCCACGTCTCGCCCAGTCGGTACAACATCCAGTCCCACTCTGCACCTTCTAGACGAGAGCAGGCAAGATGACACAAGTACTTCTGCAGCTCAATCCTGGTACCTACAAGGTGAGAAGGTGCCAGAGGGGCATCTCATATCCTGCCCTTAGCGCGGAAGGTGGGTGGTTCGCAATGCAGTTGCATTTAATGACAATCGGCGTTCGGCCATTTTTGGCCGAATCTCCCCAGGCAGGGGCACGCATTTTTCGGCAAGTCCCGTCTTTCCTCGTCTCTCTTTCTCTTTTGTCTCATGGCGGAACATATAAAAGCCCGAGTTACCATTCGCATGGTAAGCACATAAATGCAGGTACGTAATACCCAGGAAGAGCCTGTAAAAACTACAAGAGGTTAACTCTAACCCTACTAGTAAATTGCTTGCTATTAAAGTAGCGCGTCACTATACAAAGTACTACCCTAACTAGTAGGAGTAGTAGCGGTGCTGAAAACTGGCCGTAGTTTACAGAAACGTCACGGCGGCTACCGGTCTTCGAGTATCCAGTGCTTTTATAGAGGGCCTCCGTACCCATCCGGGAAAATGCAGGTACAAACAGCAGCGACGGCTCTCACATGGCATGGGCATTAGGCTAAGGCTAGTACCTGCAGTACCGAGTACGCGTTCTTGTAGCATGCAAGGCTCATGAGTCGCAATTGAATCAGCTCGGTACCTATTCATTCCAAGTGCTATATTAGGTAGTTGTAGTCTACGCTACTGTAACTTTCTCCCAGTGGAAGTAAGTCGGTTTTTTGGTCTACCTGAGGCACAAATCAGGAAAGTATAAACAGAGCGGTCGGCTTCCTGTATATAGCTGCAGCGTCTTACTTTAGGTATAATACTATCCAGAAGCCTAAAACGAAAAACAAAAGAGGAAAAAGAATACAAAATAGAATGTCGCCGAAATTGCACCCGCTGCCATCAAAAACATGTAATCTCATACGTTGCATATCAGCAAATTTCATCGGAGACTCTCATTACACATGTTTTTGTATATAGCCTCTGCTTCATCTATCACGGCATTTCAGGTATTAGTAAGGAGGGCTTTGTATACTTCTTTCAATGATGGCAGGAGATTTTGCTCAAAATACATACTTAGCGATTCTTGGCATGTTCGCTGGATGCACATGTAGAGCAGAGATATAAACTCCTCGTTTTTGCAAGTACATTCGACGGCTCCACTGGGACACTGCTCTTCGATAGCCGGCTTATTGCAGATTTCAAAACACGTCTGCCCATCGAGAGCCGTCACGGTGAGGACGGATGTGGTAAGCAGAGTGATATAGAAAGTGGAGACGAAGCTCTTCATGGTTGAGAGGATACGGGGTAAGCTGTCGGATATTAAGACACTGTTCAGGGAGAGCGCGGCGTATTTCGATGACGATGTGTTCTCTCTCTCGATACAATTGCTATTGAGTAAAATGAGCGTGCGTACTGTCGATTATTGCTGGGGTTCACTGTCCTATATAGTACATACTAAGGTAGTAGAACAGGCAGCGGTCTCAGCGCATGAGCATCCAATGACAATGTACATTCCAAGTTTCAGACAACACATATTGGCAAGTGTCTCAGTATGACTTAGAAGGCCCCTAAGTTGAATCTCCCTTGTGCATACATGCCTATGCTGTGCAGTCAGTTAAGACTGGCCAGGCCCAACAGCAGATACGATTCTGAAGCGTCGTAATCTTCGTCGACAAAGGATGCTTAGCTGTCTTCCTACGTGGCAATCTAGCCGAATCAAGAAGGGAAGCATTCTTTTCATAGGTACTAATAATTACGCATCAGGGGTGATATAACGCCCATCATCTATCAATCAAAGCTTAAATTGATTGCAGCCTGTCGGTTCCCAGCGTCTTACCGCACAATGCTGCTCCTATACGCGGATCACTAAAAATGGATTGGAAATCGTGACCAGGCCCGCAGTAATCAAGACATCTGGGTAGGGATATAAAATTATTTGGGGCACTGCCACGCCTTCGACGTTCTCGAAGGGGCAGCCAGTTCCGTGCTGGGCTGCGCACGGACATTGCGTTGACATTGACCTGCAACAATGCGTTATCGAATGAAAAGTTTGTTTAGGTTGTTAAGATTATGTTAGTTGGCATGGTAGCAAAAATAGCTGAGCGGAAGTCGACAAGAACAGCATTCTATTGGCTGCTCAACGCAACATACGTTGACGCTACCATCAGTCAATCCCAGATTCCCAGATTCCCTGATTCACATGTTAACAACAATCAAGAAGAGAGAATTTTTAAAATTTACGCTGTTGCTTATCAAGAGCACGCCTGACGATGGACTTGGCGATGCTGGCTTTGTATTTCTCGCCCCCAAGACGCGTGGTGGTACATTTCTGGCAGCAATTGAGTGAATGGATTTGCATTTCAGAATGGCCAAAGCGTGTAAATTTTCGGACTCAGCGCTCTACTAGCAGCTACAATACTGCCATCACTTGTCAGTCATTCATGAGCATGCAGGTGATTGGAATTCCAGTTCACTTCAAGTTGATCGTTAGGCGCATACCTGGTATATTCCGATGTATTTAGACACGATCGTTTTGATCTCGTATCTTCTTCTCACTTCTCATAGGAGAAAGAGCTGCTCGTGTTGAGGCATCGTGCAAACGTGGCAGGCAGAACTTTATCCACTGCATCTCAAATCCAACGTCTCTTGCCCTATTGTTCAGAATGCTGGCCCAAGTGACTATAATGGCAATCGCTGTTGTCCTCTGTTTGTTTTGACAATCAAAAACTCAGGCTCGTTGACGCTCCCCTAGATACCAGCCTAAAACTGATCGTTATCATCTCTCTACATCGATGCGAGCCAAAATTTCTTCCGATTTCTCATTTCCAGGCCCTTAGTGAACACTAATTATTCAACGGCCAGGAAGATTGTTCATCTGCCTTCTTCAGCAGCCTATACTGTCCACGGAATGTCAATCTTCCCTTGCTGCGGCTCCCGACGTGGACGTAGGCAGCCTGCAGGCGACGTTGATGTGACTGAAGCGCCAGAAGAGCACTGCACTCGGCTAGATTTCACAGATATCCAGCACTGCTTTCATCAGTCGCGCGAATCTATTGAAATGCCACTCCGGCTTCGAAATGTCGCGGTGCCACCCCCTAAGCCGCCCTCCGAAAACCCGACTGAGCTTGAACTTGAACAACTAGTGGTGGACGATTCGGACGGCGATGGAGGAGAGAACGACACCTTGACAAAGACAAGCAGCACGAACAGCGCTCTGAACGTCGTCCGAACAAAACTGGCACGCCATATGTCGAATGAGAATGAAACGCATCGCCGTTCTCGTGCATCAGCCGGCCATAGCCAAGAAGAGGTTGCTCGAAGAGCTGAGCTGAGAAGGTATCGACATCAAAGAATCCAAGAAGAGCTTAAGAGTGAAGATAACCACGCCGAGTCGAGCAACACTTCTCATCGCAGCACTTCCTATCTGTCTCCTCTGATTGATGCTGGACAGCCAATGGTGGGACCCAGGGATACCATCGAATTCACGGTCGCAGACGGACCTCATTCTAGCGCAGCACCAGCGCTTCCGACGCAAGAGAATACAGCAATTATTGATATACCAAAGACAGAGGTAGGCAGCACTACGCAGGAAGAAGGCGGAGAGATCAAGTATCCTAGTATACTTGCAGTGCTTACCGCAGGGGATAGAGATCGAGCTCCTCCCTTACGTCCACCAAGCACGCATAGTAATAGATCTCGAAAGATAGCGGGATGCTCATACAACTCACCTCGTCTGGATCGCGTTTTGGGTACAGATAACGAGTTCGACATTCGTCATGGGGCTCATGCTTGGGAAGAGCAGTCCACTCTTAGTATCTGGCTTGCTGCTCAAGGCATGCGATCCCGAAGCAGCTTTACACGCGCAACAGACAATGAGTCAAGCGATAAGAGTGCTAGGGATCAAACTTGTTCACACCACCAAAGCTTTGGCGCGATCGATAGTGCCGCAGACGCTCCGCTGCCGATTCATTGTCAAGGCAGTAATGACATGAGGCCCCAAAACCGAGGAGATTCATACGAAAGCGCATCATTCGCCTCGAACAAGTCAAATACCCATACAATAGGTGGCACTGATACCATTTTGCCTGAGAACAAGCCGCTCTCAGGATCTAATGTCTTGGATATAGCTTCAGCAAAGTTCGTTGATAACAGTTCCTCCAACTATCCTTCTGTACTTCCAAGTTTTCAGCCGAGCCCAAATCGGTCTCGGCCCGACTTCCATCATCTCAGCGCTCAAGATCTAGAAAGCCTTGAGCTGTCACCCTTCAGCTGTGCGGATCATCCCCTCTTTCTCCCTTTTCATTAGACTGACCGTGTTACTCACAGGGCAAGGCGACTTTTCTGTCATTAAAAGTATTCGGGCATCCGAGGGAAAGAGTTCATATGCTACAGCTGAAGATGACATCTTCTATTCCGATAACAATGCCAGCAGTGCACAAATTATTCACCCACCTGCCCAAACTCACACTTCCACCGACGCCACACCTATTGCCGGCTCTACAGCCGCAATTTTTCATCCTCGAGAGACCAAGGCACGGACAATTGGTACAAAGCTTGGTAATGCACTGTCACGGAGGAAACCGTCAGCGAGTTTTGGTAGTCGCTCCAAAGAAGAATTTCACGCGAGTTCTACGGGTACTGGTAGCCGATCCCTTATGTCAATGATTAACCTTTCAGTCCCGAGGAGATTCAAACGTGACTCTGGCAGTTTCGGCACGGCGCACAATAGACATTGCGTCAATGAGAGGGATTCGTCGGCAATTGTACGAGAGGATCCGAATGATGTACGTTCAGGCATACCTCCGCATATAACTTCTCTATTTCGCCCAGAGAGAAGCGGCCTGTTATCAGCCGATTTAAGCGACGCTACAATCAAGAACACGTATAATCATCATCATCAGACACCGCTCACACAACGGCATTCAGCTACTTTTGAAACCTCCAGGCTGACTCCTCACTCGGATGAACTGCCAGACGAGGCCCGGAGCTCCTCTCGCCGAATTCTTCAACAACTGACGGCCAACATTCAAGAAGCATTTTCACCCAGCTCTACACCTAAACCTACTAGACCGCCCGAGTCTCCGAATCGTCTGGCTAAGGCACCTCCGCACTTGGGCGATGAGAGAGCTGCCGCCACTGACCCTCGCCAGTCGCAGCTAGATGGTGGTAGTTCGATTTCAGACGCTCTCATTCTGGACTCGGGCACGCGCTTTCAGCCCGCAAAGCTGGTAAAGGCTATGAGATCTAGCTTTAGAAAGTTCATGCCTTCCCATGACCATGACAAGCAAGCTCAGCTCTGCCAGCCTTCCAAAAATAACCAGCATTATGATGAAAATGAAGAGCACTCGCAATCCAAGATAGTGCGGTTGGGCACACCGTCTATTGAAAGTGACCACCTAAAATCTGGAGCGAAAGGAACAACTGAAAGTGATACTGCGACTTCACATCAGCAATTGCGTGTTGGTAAGGAGTTGGAAGCGCCTGGATTGGTAAAGCAGCTCTATGACGAGAGTGATGTGGAAAGCAGATCTATTGATACGATCCAATCATCGCAGAGCAAACCATATTTATCAGAAGAAGAAGAAGAAGCAGAGACACCTAGATCTGCTTCAGTATCCACAATCAGGGAGACTCGAGCTCTGCGTCGTTGGAAATCAATGTCAGCCGCACCGACGAACCGGGAATCGTCCCCGAACCGGGTTGGCAGACCCATATCACAATCTCATAGCTTCAACACTCTCTAAGATTAATGAGAATGAATGGATGAATGGATCAAGCATATGATACGCCACACATAGAGCTTGGCTTGGCACAGAGTACTGCGAGGGTATAAGGTCAAGCTCTATTAGTTCAATTTAAAGTATTAATTCGTAAGGAAACTATGAAGAGATGGATAAGCGCCGTCGGCGTAGTGAACACGACACTTCTATAGAGCATTGTGTTACAAGCTCGGGTGGGATGAAGTGGCTGGGGAGATATTTTACCTGGATTGTTTAGCATCAATAGCTAGTCTGGGTCAACTATTGGTAATATGTCAAGACCCTGCAAATATACTTCATTGCCTTAGTTTGATGCTCTGTGCTACTCGTCCTCTTCATCGTTTCTCAAGCTAGGCAGAACCACCAATACCATCCGTTCATTCGAAATGAAAATTTGGCTGAGGCGTCACTGTGACACCAAAGCTTGAAGCGTAACACAAGTGCTGGATTGGGCTGGTCGTGAATATCGGACCTGTAGCAACAGGCTGTAGCAATAAGGTACAAAATGCCTGATGTAAGAAATATTGTCGTATATATAGAATCTGCAAGTCTATTATCTGTGGCATTGGTAATATACAAAATCTAAAGATATCGTGGGAAAAACTTGATATGCGTGTGGCGCTACGGATCAAAGATTTCTCGTACAGCCATTGAGAGGATGGGATGTCGCCATGTAAGAGTAGTTAGACTGAAACGCAGCTCAGGTTTGAATTCGTGGGATTTTTTTGTGAAATCATCAACTGTAACCGCAAGCTTTATGGTGAAGTAAGAAAAAGGTATCGTTGATCTCTTGGAGAGAAGATAGTCTGTCTCTCATGTCTCCAGGTTGATTTGCTTGCCAAATCTAGCATACAGCTCAACCTTGAGCTGTGTCATCTCTTCGTGGATTGCGCCTAGTTTCTCTTCTGCCTCGGCAGTCTCTTCGTCGATTCTTGAGGTCGCCGTGCTGAGCATCTCCTGTGCTTGTTCGAGGGGGAGATGGAAAAAGGCGTCGCCGATCTTGTATCTGGCAATCAATGTCAGACAAATTCCATCAATTTTATGAGGTAGGCGTAGCTCAGTCGTACTGGATCTTGTCATCTTCATCCGCAAGCTCAAGCTCGGTAGAGATGTCGTCTAGCTCCTCCTTTTCCTTCTATATTGAGGATTCGTCAGTCGGCACTTCAAAAACGTGATGCGGTGGGGGTGTTCCATACGCCCTTGAGCTCCAACACTTCCTTCAGAGCGAGTTCTCTCTGGTGCAGCCGACTGAACTTGTTGATCTTATCTTGGTCCTCTCGTCGGACCTCGACCTCGTCTGCGGCTTCGTCCTCCTTGGAGAGCTACAAGGGCCTGTTAGCAATTGCAAGGCTGCTTCTGGGCGGAATATGGAACCTTACCATGCGGCGTTGCATTATTGAGGCCATAGTCGCAGTAATGTCGAGGCTGATCTCAGCGCTCGTTGTACGGCCTTGAAGTCAGGAAGCTCTGCAATTTACTAGTATCAAATCAAAAGATACACGATGGCCATGCAGTGGTGGGGTGTCGAGATAGTGGGTTACTGTGCGCTGTGCACAGTCTTATCTGCAATGCCCACTGTAAGTTCAACGCGAAGCTGACTGAACCAGCTCAGCTGGCTTACTGTACCGCATTGCGGCTGGGCTTGGGCAGCAGCGCACTGACGGTTCCGTGGCCTATTTGAAGGTGCCCCTCCCGAGCTGGGGCCCTGAACTCTTCCCTCTCCACCTCCCTCTCCACTGAGTTAAGTTCCATCTCATCTAGCGTCTCGGTCCATCAATTCTCTGTCCAGACCCTCGTCTTATCACCTGGCAAGCGATACCAAAATCGTCCATCATGGCCACGCCGCGGAGACCGTACCCCAGAACTCGCTTGAGGCGGATCATCAAGGCGCATTCGGGAATGAAGCTCTCGAAGAATGCCGATGTGTTGGTAAGGCCCTAGTCGCGCGGCTCCCAATCGGTAGATTAGCCGAACAGCAGCACTAACAGCGGCACAAGATCTATCTCAACTATACGATGTTCATGAATGCGTATGTATAAGCCGCGCGCAGCCACCGCCAGAGTCTGAATTGAGCGTGCAAAACACTGACATTTCTCTCGCAGATTGGTGAGAGAGGCTGCCATTCATGCCAGGCAGGCGGGCGAGCGTTCATTCACGCCTAGGAACATTATGAAGGCACTCCCTGTATGCTATTTTGCTTGTTTGTTTTGAGCGCTACACGAGCTAACTCGACGCGTTAGGATGTTTTGGCCAGGTTCAAAGGTTGAATGCCAGGAACAGCAGTCGAGCTGTGTGACGCGGATCCTCTCATACTGCCGCTGCTAGCAATGCTTCATAAAGGCCGAAGCGTTCGCTGAGGATAATGGTATTGGGCTTGGGATAACAACCACAACAACAATGGCTAATCTCAGAGTGCTAGATGCATTCTCTTGGCATCTGCTGGACCTGTAATGAATCTCGGACTCCATCGTGAGAAGTCTGCTGGCTGCTTTAGATACCCCAAGCAGGATGACTTACATGACTGCGCATAGAGTAGAGCATGCCGTGTCTACGGGTAGAACATAGCATAAATAAGACAATATAAGCCGATTGCAATGAGCTGTATGTTTATCCAGTTCCAATAGTATCCGTCCGCTTAGTAGCAATTTACCGTAAAAAACCCACCTTTGCCAAGTTCTGAGCCTCAGCGGCTGCACTTCGACTGGGCGCTGTAATGGTGTTCGCGCCCCTCCTGTTTACTTGGTTGACCTGGCAGCTGGGGAGCACGTGAGGATGCATTGGACAGACACAAGCCAACAAACACGCTCCGTTTGCGATGCAGGAGGAAGCAATTGAGCATTGCCGACCAGGCGTTTGCCGCACCCAGTGGATCCTGGCAGTGCTGGCCGGCCTGTCTGTGCAAAGCGAGGCTTGGATTGCAGCCTGAAGCCTTCTCTTCGCTTCTAGAATCAACAACGCTAGCAATTTGGGGACGGGCGACAGTGACCAGACAGCTGCACGGTGGGGTTCCTCTAATGGACTTCACTACGCCTTCAGTCTGCCACTACGCCTTGGTACCTTAAAGGTCCCAGAGCTAAAAAAAAAAAAGAGAACCCGACACAAACAAAGCCAAACCTCCACACCCCGACAATCGCCCCCTTTGATCATTCATCCTTTGCCCACCTCTTCGATATCATTGCCGCTCTTCTCGACCCCATCTCCTAAGACTCGAACGCAGCTTCCTGCACCCCGCGCTCGCATCCTTTTGCCTTCATCGACCAGCCTTGCGCGCCTTGACGCCTGTTGGACGACCACACACGACACCCACAAACGAACGTCACGCTGAAGCTGCAAGCTAGTTTCTGCCATCGAGCTTGCGTTTTGTCTTCACCATGGCTGCTCCAGCTACCCAGACCACTGCCTCCAAGTCTTCCAAGAAGAAGGCCGCCAAGGTTCAGGCCCGTACCGAATCTCCGGCTCCCAGCACTGAGTCAGCCCCCACTGACAAGGTCGCCGACGCCCAAGACGATGCCTTTGAGAGCCCTTACATCAAGGAGCTGCAAAAGTAAGACAATGCGGGCTTTGATTGATATTTCTTTTGCCCTGGCACGAATGCAATTGCTGACAGCATGGTGCAGGAACATTCGCAACACGGCCAAGAAATTGGTGAGTTCCCACCTTGCGTCATACTCTTACTAGCATCTAGCAAGCAATGTTGAAACTGACCGTCAATCATCTCTAGACCAACGCTGCCAAGTTGGATCCGGTCCTTACCCAGCACCCTGGCAAGTCTCTCGAACAGCTAGTCGACGAGAGAATCATCAACACCGACCAAAAGGCCCAAATTCAGAAGAGGCCTGCTCTCCAGACTGCCCTAGCTCAGTACGAGGAGCAGCTTGTTCAATACCAGAAGATCCACGAACAGTACCAGGCTCGGGCGGCGGCTGACAAGGCAGAATGGGCCAAGACACTTGAAAAGACCAAGGAGGACGCGCTCAGCGAAGTCAAGGCCGACTTCAAGAACTCTATGGATTCCAAGCTTCTTGTCCTGTCTCAGTTCTTGCGCCTGGCGGCCTATCGCCGCGAGGAATCTCAGGAGCCAGAATCTGATGAGAGCCAGGCTATCGAGGGCGTTCTACTCGCCATCTACTCTGGCGACGAGAGTGCCGTTTCTGCCATGCAGAAGCTGATTGAGGGCTCTAGCGACAACATCGTCAGTGTCCCTGGAGACCAGCTTCAAACTACTTGTATGTACAATGCAAAACGAGAGGAAATCACATTGGAACTGCTACTAATTAGATATAGATGCTACCGTTAAGACGCTCGCGGAAAGCTACACTGCGCCATCCTACGCTGAACCAGAGGCACATGCTGCTGAGCCAGTGTCTGACCCGACTATTGCAAACGAGGCCGCTACTGAGATTGAAGCTGGAGATGGTCCCCTGACCAACGGACACGGGCACGGGCACGCGGAAGCCGAGCCTGCCTCCAACGGCCTTGCTAATGCTAATGTCGCGGATGAGGCTGCCAACACAGTCGCTGAGAGCCAGTGGGATACTAGCAACCCAGACATGTCCATTTCACAGGAATGGGTTAATATCCCTAAACCAACCGATGCTGAGGCTAGCGTAGATTCTTCAGCTCTTGATGCTATTAAGCCGTCTTGGGCAGATGATCACCCTGATCCCGCTGTTGAGGTAAGATTCTTTGCATTTTGATTCCCTTATTGGTATTTCAGGCGAACTCAACTGACACGCTTCATTTCAGGCTACGTCTACTGCGCCTGACGCAGGTGATGGCTTCCACCAAGTCCAGCGCAACCGGGGCCGACAGGACCGCGAGGGTAGTGGAGGACGCGGCCGCGGCCGTGGTGAGTGGCGTGGTCGTGGCTACCGAGGAGATGGCCGTGGCCGCGGCCGAGGACGCGGAGGTGACCGCGGAGGAGCCCCTTTCCGAGGTGCTCGTCGCAGCAACGAGTCGTAGAGCTTCCGCTTCGCAATTTGTGGGTAAATTCAGATCCCATGCTTCTCTGCACACCCCTTGGAGGTGATTTGTACATTACGACATGATGGCGTTACCTGATTTTTCTAGCCGTAGAGGCAGAGCTTGATTTAAGGCGACTTTCGGCATTGCATTGGAACTTGTCAGATGGCAGGTCTCGGTTTCATTCTGGCGGAGGGAGGTTGGGACGGGCTCTTTCAATAGGCACCTTTGTAAATCCCTCATTTATCATTCACTCTCAGGGAGTGCGGCACCATTGAAGCAGGCTACTGGTATTTCATAGGTTGTAGAAAACTACAAAAGTATGAAAAGAAAAAAAAGAAAACAAAAACACATGGAAACGATGCTATATTCCGTTGCATCGCCTTCTTAGCTAGATGGTTGATTTCCCCGGCTTAGAAGCTTCTTTGGACAGCCCCCCCATCTCAAAGTGCCGACGCCTACCGCTATCGGGGCGTTAGTCCTAATTAGGCAGCATCGTAGTCCGCCACCTGGCCTTATCCACTATCAGCCTCGCAGATGAGGCCTAACTAGCAGGTAGTTAAGCAACTTCTCCAAACCGCCGTCGTTGAAACTTGTCCTCTTCTCACGGCCAAGTCTTTGAAACCCGCTAGGGTGTCTCTTGAGGCCACATCAGCCGTATTATATTTTTTGGGCTTGGCAGGCCATTGGGTCTTTTTGTGTTATAAAATCCAACTGGATTTCCACTCCTTATCCCTCTACAGCTTTGACGGCTAGCTGTATATTGCTGGGCCTGGCGGCGACTTCGCTATCAGGTTCGCTGTTCTCGACAGCGTCTTTCTTCAAGGGCCAGCCATCTACAATTACACAACCACAACCATGGCGTCCTCTCGGCGCTCCCCGCTGCTGATGCTCTTCGGAGCCATCTTCTTCTTCTCAGCTCATGTCCTGGCTGCTGCGGCTGTTCTCGGTGTCGATCTAGGGACCGAGTATATCAAGGCTGCGCTAGTGAAGCCCGGCATCCCGCTTGAGATTGTACTTACAAAGGACTCTCGACGCAAGGAAACCTCCGCCGTCGCTTTCAAGCCTATTAGAGGCGCCGTCGCAGAGGGCCAGTATCCCGAACGAAACTATGGCGCCGACGCAATGGCAATCTCCGCGCGATTCCCCGGCGAAGTATACCCGAATCTGAAGCCTCTTCTCGGACTCCCTCTGGGAGATGCGATTGTCCAAGAATATGCGGCCAGGCATCCTGCGCTGAAAATCCAAGCGCACGCCACGAGAGGCACTGTTGCGTTCAAGACGACAACGCTGCCCTCCGAGGAGGAGGCCTGGGCGGTGGAAGAGCTGTTGGCTATGGAGCTCCAGAGCATTCAGAAGAACGCAGAAGTTACCGCCGGTGGTGACTCTTCAGTCCGCTCCATTGTGCTCACTGTGCCTCCCTTCTACACCACCGAGGAGAAGCGTGCTCTTCAGATGGCAGCAGAACTTGCTGGTCTCAAGGTCCTCAGTCTGGTCAGCGACGGGTTGGCGGTTGGCTTGAACTACGCTACCAGTCGCCAATTTCCCAATATCAACGAAGGCGCCAAACCGGAGTACCACATGGTCTTTGATATGGGCGCGGGCTCGACTACTGCCTCCGTCATGAGGTTCCAGAGCCGCACTGTCAAGGACGTTGGCAAGTTTAACAAGACGATCCAGGAGATCCAGGTTCTTGGCAGCGGCTGGGACAAAACCCTTGGTGGAGATTCTCTCAACTCCCTGATTGTTGACGATATGGTTAACCAGTTTGTGGAATCGAAGGGTGCTCAGAAAATTGGGGCAACTGCTGAACAGGTCAAGGCTCACGGCCGTGCTATCGCGAAGCTGAGCAAGGAAGCTGAGCGTCTCCGACACGTTCTGAGTGCCAACCAAAACACTCAAGCCAGCTTTGAGGGGCTCTATGAAGATGTTGATTTCAAATACAAGCTTTCCCGAGCCGATTTCGAGAGCATGGCAGAGGCTCATGCAGAGCGAATTGGAGCTGCTATCAAAGACGCACTGAAAAACGCTAACCTCGAGATTGGCGATCTCACCTCTGTCATTCTTCACGGTGGTGCAACTCGCACTCCATTGGTGCAAAAGGCACTTGAGAAAGCCGTTGGCTCTGGGGATAAAATCCGAACAAATGTCAACTCTGACGAGGCCGCTGTTTTTGGCGCCGCTTTCCGGGCTGCTGAGCTTAGCCCAAGCTTCCGCGTCAAGGAAATCAGAATCTCGGAGGGAGCCATGTACCCGGCTGGTATTACCTGGACGGCTGCGAATGGCAAAGTACAGCGCCAGAGACTCTGGACAGCCCAATCGCCCCTAGGTGGTCCGGCCAAGGAGATTACTTTCACCGAGCAGGATGACTTTTCCGGTTCATTTTATCAACAAGTCGATACCGAGGACAAATTGGTCAAGACGTTTTCTACCAAAAACCTTACCGCGTCTGTCGCTCAACTCAAGGAAAAGTATCCCACTTGTGCGGATACTGGTATTCAGTTCAAGATCGCAGTCAAGCTCCGTACCGAGAATGGCGAAGTTGAGATTACCAAGGCGCTTATCGAATGTGAGGCTGAGGTTGCTGAAAAGGAGGGTTTTGTTGACGGTGTTAAGAACCTGTTTGGCTTCGGAAAGAAGGACCAGAAGCCCCTCAGCGAGGGAGACAAGGATGATGCCGAAGCTGCATCTGATGCTACTGAGTCCAAGACAGAAGAGGCCAGTTCCGCTACTAAATCTTCTTCCACCACCAGCACTCAGACTGGAGATGCCGCTGCTCAATCAGCAGATGCTGAAAAGAGCGAGGTTAAGAAGAAGCAGATTGTTTCCATTCCCATTGAGATTAGATTGGAGAAGGCTGGGATCCCACAGCTGACCAAGGCTGAGTGGACAAAGGCCAAGGATCGGCTGAAGGCATTTGCAGCCTCTGATAAGGCTAGACTGCAGCGTGAGGAAGCTTTGAACCAGCTTGAAGCATTTACGTACAAAATTCGCGACCTTGTCGACAACGAGGCCTTCATCGCCGCATCTACCGAGGAGGAACGCCAAACACTAGCTGAAAAATCTAGCGAGGCAAGCGACTGGCTCTACGAGGAGGGAGATGCAGCCAAGACCGACGACTTCAAGGCAAAGCTCAAGGTCCTTCAAGATCTTGTAGGGCCCATTCAGAAGCGCATTGATGAAGCTGAGCGTCGGCCTGGTTTGGTTAAGGAGCTGAGACACATCCTTAACACTACTGATGTGTTTATCAAGACAGTACGTGGGCAGATTTCTGCCTACGAAGAGTGGAAGGCCACGGCGTCAACCAAGGATGCAGAATCTGCGACTTCCAGTGCTGCCACCGAGACAAAGACCAACGACTTTGAAGGGCTAGAAGATGAAGACGATAGTCCTAAGGATGCGGAGGAGAACCCCAAAGAGGAAGAAATTGTGCCTCCCCTGCATAACACTGAGGAGATAGATGGGCTCGATGTACTCTACAAAGAAACGCTAGAGTGGCTCAACAAACTTGAGGTCGAACAGGCGGCTCTTCCTCCCACCGCTGATCCTGTCCTCCAGGTCAGCGAGCTGGTTGCAAAGCGCGAAAAGCTCGACAAAGCCAGCCTAGATCTCGCAATGAAGAGCTTCAAGCAATACCAGAAAAACAAGCCCAAGAAGCCCACCAAGAGCAAGAAGTCAAAGAAGGACAAGACAAAGAGCGCCGAGCCGGCTGGCCAGACCATTGAGTTCCCCGAGGGAAGCAAGCCGCTCAGTGCGGAGGAGATTGAAGAGCTGCTCAAGCAGTATATGAAGGAGGACGAAGCGGCGAGCGCAAAGGCGGAAGCGGAAGCTTCAGCGGAGCCGAAGCATGATGAGCTCTAAAGGGCACACAATGGCGTTTCTTTGATAAACGGGGAGGGGTTCTTATGAAGGACTAGTATATACTTGGGACCGCATGATGCATGATACAGACAAAAAGTCAGATAGATAAATGCGATATTTGAATTTTGAATTGTAAGATTTGCGTCACCATGTTTGATCAGTTGGAGATTTTCAGCGAGTAGCTTCTACGTATCTTGAAATTATTCGTTTGCCTTTCAATCCGAGATGCTGTACTAAACATCCGTACACAGATATGTTCGAAATAGATGATGATGATGCCCCTTCTGCGCCAATAGGAAATATCAACGGCAACACAGGCGAGCATATACCCGACCCGAACCTAGTGCCTGTTCTTGACTTTACATATTTGAGGTGGTCATACAGTGTTTGGGTTTGGGGGACAGCAATCGTGTTGTGCAGATGCAGGTGAGAGAAGCCGTGTGTGATGTTTTACAAGTGGGATATCAGAAGTTCTAGATTCGTTTCCAAAGACGGTAGAGCTACCGGGTATATGAACTAATTTTAGATTTTTTAAATAAAAAAATAAAAAACAAGAAGGAAATAGAAAAAAGCCAATAGATACCTAGGTACGAATTGACGTTTACATTCCCGTAAGAGCCTACAATAGGAACAGCCAGATACTACTATGTAGTGTATTGTCTGTCTATTGTGTTAGACGGGAAGCTGCAGTCGGCAGTGAATCATGGAGGGCCTTCCTCGGTCTCCCTCCGAGTTTCATCGTGCACCAGCTGCAAACCACACGAACGCTTCTATTTCTTGTCTTCTTTCTTTGCCTTCCATCTCGCGACTTTCTTATTTTAAAGATTTCTGCTACAGCGCTTTTCTAGTTGATTGTCTACTGCAAACTCGGATCTCTCTCCATTCCTTGCACAGGAGATCTTCCTCTTTCTTTCACTGCCGCGAATTACTCGAATCAAGCGAGCAAAAGGGATGTGGCATTACATACTCGTGCTCCTCCTCGTCCCCCTCTGGTCTCTGGCCTCAGCTCATCCCTCTCCAAACGTTGCGAGATCTCCCGCTGGATTCGCACTCGCCGTGAACCCCAAGAAAGATGCGTCTCGAAACTTTGTGCGTGATTGGGCTGCTGCGCGCCACAAATGGGGCAAAGGAGTGCCAAAAGAGACTGCATCTTCGTTTGCTTTGATCGACGGCGGTAAGCCTTCCCTAGGCGTGTCTTCGCTGATACATAATCAGATGCTGAGGATGTGCAGTTGGTCAGGTCGATGTTGAACCTATAGGAAGCGACGACATCTATGTGGCTGATGTTCAAGTTGGAAGTCCGCCCCAGACGTTGAAACTGGCTTTAGACACCGGATCTTCTGATCTGTAAGTTTGGGCGTTATGTCTTCAGCTGCAAGTACTAAGATTGTGTTGCTAATTTCGCCGACTCAAGGTGGATTCAATCAACTGATACCAAATATCACGTCAACCAGAAGGGTCCATGGGCTCCACGATATCATCCCAACGACTCTACGACTGCTCATCTTATTCAAGATGCCAGATGGTCTGTCGAATACTGTGAGTGGAGAAAATAGGCTGTCTTGGAATGTTTAATATCAGATGCGCTTTTTCTAACGGGTAATAGTGGATGGCACTTCTGCTGGTGGGATTGTCTACCATGACACGGTCCGTTTAGGCAATTTCAAGGTTGAAAACGCAGCTGTGCAGTCAGCAGAAATGGTGACCAGCCGTTTCGAAGAAGAAATCGAACTAAGTGGTATTCTAGGCTTGGCTAAGAGGTTACCGAACAATGTTAGCCCTCCAGTACCGTCTTTCCTCAGTCTATTGCGCCAACAACTGGAGCATCAGATGATTGGCGTTGACTTGAATCGGAATGCCTCAGGTCTCTTCACTTTTGGCTACCTCAATGAAAGTCGAGCCTCTGAAGAAATAACATGGGTTGATACAGATCCTGATAGTCCGCACTGGGATATCGAGTTCAATCTCACAACTTGGGGAGAGCAGACGACGCCATGGTACTCACAGAAATTCAAGGCAACAATCGATACGGGCACTACGCTGATGTTCTTGCCTGACAATCTAGCGAGTGGTTACTGGTTCACGGTCCCAGGCATGAAAATGGACCAAAGACTAGCGAACGCATTTACGTTCCCCTGCGAGGTTGCCAAAGACTTGCCCAATCTCATGCTCAAGATTCCTGGGAGTGACCGTTCTTTGACCATTCCTGGATCGTATCTCAACTACGGCCCTGTTGAAATCGATCCATCTTATTGTTGGGGAGGTATGCAGAGCGCCGAGGACTTATCTGTCACGGTGATAGGAGATATTATGCTCAAGGCGCTGTATTTGGCCTTTGATCTCGAGAGAGGGAGAGTTGGATTTGCTCACAAGGATCTTTATGACGTCGACTGAGGAAGAAGCAAATAATTTTAGCTGTGGTGATAATTTATGCTACTGGAATGGGTTCGAGATTTGGTGTTGACTACTTGGTTGAAGAAATACTGATTTCATTGATATAGTGGATTTGCAATTATGAGATAATGCTGGATGTATAATGATACAATAAATAGGAATTTGAAACACAATGTGGCTTCATATCTCAGATGGACACATGGCTTGAAATTCATTTACTACCTTATGCAGCATATCGGTATAAGTGGCTTTCCCAAACTTGGTATTAAATAGGTACTGAGCAGCACAATTCGGTCCCATTCAACTTGAATAGGAAATTGCGTATGTTTATAGTCTTTTGTATTGCATTCATCCTAGAGCTGGTATATACAAATGCACTCTCCAGCCCGTCATTATCGGGTGAGGCCAATGGATGCTTCCTCCATTCCCTTGGAAAACTCCCCTTCCCTCCGCATCCAACCATCTGTTTCCCCTCCATCCATCCATCTAGCCATCCCATTTCCAAGTGCCTCCTAGTAGCCCGTTTCATTTCGAGAAGAAAAAGAAACATGCTCTGCGTGTTGGTGCATTAAATGTGGTATAATATATAGGTGTGTGTAGCTGTGTGTGTATGCGCGCGCGCATGTGTGTGCCTTCGATAAAAAACAAAAGAAGAAAGACGAGCTTCGACATATGCCATGTCGAATGGGGCACGATAATTGGGCTAAAAGGGAAAACAAAAACTATAAGAGCAATAAAAAAAAAAGGTTAAAAGGCAGCTTCCTATCTGGAAGAACAGTGATTGTGTTGTATGTGTAAAAACCCTGTAAAACGCCGGAAGTGGGAAAACGTGTCATTTGTAGCGAGCGTGGCCAGGTGAAATCTCATGGTAAGAATCCGATTCGGGTGGAGAAGCCTAGCAAGAGAAATAACGACTTGTGGTTAATAGCGACTTGGGAAGTTTTGTCGTCATCAATGGCCTTCCGTCGGTAAGTACCTAGAACCAGTTTTCCTGGGGCCAAACCAGTTGCGTCGGAACTCCGTGAGGGTCGCATCTAGCATATTGTCGTGGATGGGTCCAATCGAAGGAGAGAGAGAGAGAGAGTGAGTGAGTGAGATATCGCCTAGGAAAGTTCTGTCGTCGACAAGCGCATCCGAGGAACCAAAAGAAAATGCCATTTGGGTATGATTTTTTCTTTAAATTTGTTTACTCGCGATCACCATCTTCAATGGGCAGAAAAAGAGAAAGAAGCCAAAAGTCAGCGGGGGGCGTCGTCCATTAAATCCTCGCGAGTCACAACGTAATATTCACCTTCACTGGCCCCGGGGGTTGGAGGCATGTCACCAGAGCTGGGGGCTTGCTGGATGGGCTGCGCGGTTCCTGGCCGCGACCTGGCCTTGGCGTCGTCTGCTGGGGGCGCGGAGAGAGAAGAGGCCTCTGGCTTGGGTGTCGAGCTCGGTGAGTGCTGCTCGGCGGTGTCGTCGCTGGAGGGGGCGGTGATGCCGGCGGCGTTGAGGCGCTGCTCCATTTCGCGGAGGCGCTCCTCGAGCGAAGCGAGCTCCTCGGTGTTCTTGCCGATGTTGTAGCTCCTGTAGCAGGGAAAGATGGAAACGCCGCCAGTTAGACGAGATGAAAGATGTGAAAGAAGAAGGATTAATGGTCGGGTGTGCCATTGGGATCAACGAACCTCGTGTCGTACGACTCCTGGAGCTCTGCCTTTTGCTCGTCTAAGTTGAAGATGTCTTCCAGCTCCATTTGGAAGTTTCTGGCAATGGTTCTGCAACGAATTAGAATCAAAACAACCAGAAAGTCAGCAACTGGCTCTGCATTGCATGCAGATCGCCAGCGCTCGAGAATGCGCTTTTCGGTCGCATTGCGATGCTGCGATTGGGGGTCGGGAGACATACGACTGCGGTCGTCGGCCGTTGGGCTGCCAGTTGCGGTCAAGCTCCTCGTCGGTGAAAGACATGGTGGCGGTGGGAGCTGCAATGAGGGGTAGAGCTGGATCTCAGTTGGGAGAGAGGAATGAAAAAGAGAAGCAGTAAAATATGAAAGCAAAGAAGGGATTTCGCTGGCGTCTGTTGCTGGGTATCGATTGCTGTTGGTCGTGAACAGAGCCTGGGGAATTGGCGGTAGATGCGAGAGAAGCTACAATGAAGAGGTGGTATCGGCGAGGTGGGAGAGAAAAAAGATTGGGCTCTGCAAACTGATGAATGATCCGTCTGCAGCTACTGCGTCGTTTCTCCCCTTTATCCTGGTCAGATGGCGGAGCCAGGAACAGAGGCAAAGCAGGGGAAATCGAATCGGCCAGGGGGTCGAGAGGCCAAAGAGCTGCAGCAGAAGCAACAGGGGGCTGACAAAAGGGTACTAGTCGGCTGGGGACCGGTATATTTGGCGCTGCAAATAGCCCCAAGCAGCAGGACAGTGGGTGTGTTTATTTGCTTGTATTAGTCGTGTTCTCGAGAGCGGTGGTGATATGAATATGACGATGACGATGATAATTATATAGGTCGGTTGGCATGCAGGTCGGTTTAATATTAGCAGCTGCACGACATGCTCTTCTTTTCATTCGCTGGCGGAACAAAAGGAAGCGAGAGTGGAGGTTCGCAAAAGGTTAACTTTAATACGAGTGCCGTTGCGCCTGAGTGGTGGTGGAAGCATGAAATAAAGGGGGAAATGGGATGGAACGCAGCTAAAATAGATCAAGGGCAGTGGTTGAAGTGTCCAACACGGGCTCTCGTCATGATTTCTCGCATCGAGAAGCAAAGGTGATTTGGGTAGGGTAGCACCCAAAATATACAGCAAGGCATCGTACTTGTACAGCAGCGTCGCATCTACGTCTTCTCTTCTACTATACATCCTTCACCTTCTCTTCCATCCTTCTAGGCTTCCCCGGGACCTGAGCATCATGTCACTGTCACATGCCGGGGCCCTGGTGATCTGGAGCTGAGCCAGCGTCTGCTGATGGGCGCCGTGGCTGGCTGCCTGTATCAGTTGAGTTTGCAGAGACAGGAAGCCTCACAAGGACTGACAAGGACTGACACTTGACGGCCATTGTTTAATCCAAAGTCAACTGCCCGCCCCAGTCAGGCATTCCATCCACCTCAATACTTGTGCATGTGTGCACCACGCTACAGGGCCACTAGCCGTGATACTTTGGGCGGGTCAGTTGATGCATGAGGAAGCGCCGCCAAGCAGCCCTAGCGTGGAGCTGGGAATATCGCAGCATCACCTCGCTTGCGCCGTCCATCTCGCTCGCCATGCGGTGGTGCTTTACAGGTGCGAGAGCACGTACCAGCCAGAGATGAAAAGCGAAGGGGCAAAAGGGACGGCGAGGAGAGAGTGGTGTAAGGTGAAGAAGAAAACAGGGACAGTTGGGATAAAATAAGAAGCATTTTTAGGGGAGACCGAAGCTGGAATTAGGGGTCTGGAGCTTGTTGAAGTTTCAATGTTCCATTTTTTTTTTCTCTTTTGCTACCTTCCTGTAGGACCCATGACATCAGGCCGTAATATTCGGGGCCCCTCACAGGCGACCAGACCCATTTGGCGGCATTGGCGATGCTGCTAGTGATAAGGGTCCCAGGCCGTAGCAGCGGCAACAAGCAGTGTAGCATCGGCTGTAAAGCATCAACGGCGGTAGTGCTAGCAGGGCCGCTGGATATGCCGACATGGAGCTGTAATACGGGGGAGCACGAGTACACGAGTACCTGCATAACAGGAGCCTGTACTGGAATGAAGCAGCACGTACCTAGGCACTACTACTAGTACTAGTACCTAGTAATTAAGCTTCCGGCTCAACAAACATCAAAAGAAGCAATCAATAGGCTTCACGTCAGCCAGACATATCCATCTCTTCCGAGCTGCTGGTTCCGTATGTACCGGCCGACCACTTATTACATGGAACCTGCATCATGCCGCCACATTCGGCGTAGCTTTGATACTAGGTTGGTGAACTTGGCTCTTGTAGTTCTTCATAACGCTTGCAGATCAGAGCGGCATTGACTCGGGGCGTCTAGGGCCATATTTTGATTGACGGTAATCTGGCAGTAGCAGTTATTTGGCTTACTTGGATTCAACTCCACCAAGACTTCATGTTGCTTTTAGCTTCACTCTGTGGAAGAGAAGAATGGATGCACTAAGCAGCGCTGTACGGAGAAATGCTAGATTCAATGCCATCAGCAATTACCACGTGCTGCCATTGCCATGGTACTAATAGTATCCGCTGCAGCATGTCTCTATTAAAGGAGGCTAAGCCCTGCTAGCAGGAGAGTGACAAGGCATTTACTGGTTACATGCACATCAAACAGTTGATGCCGCCGGTAAAACATGAGAATTGAGCCGCAACGTTGAATGCCACCAGTGACGAGTATCGTCTACTCCGTGCTCGTATCATCCTCAACCCTGTGTCGTGTACCCCGTACAAGCTCTCGTCCACGCTTTGGGCTCCTGCATTCGCAGATTGGCTTCCACGGCTCCTTCCTTCTTCGACCTCATCCCCAGACCCACCCTTGTCCCTCCACGTCTAATTTTGAGTCCCTCTCCCGAAACAGGCACAAGAGTCCTTTCTTACTCGTACATCTCTCATGCGCCGATTTGCGCCTTTAATTGCGCCGATGCGATGCTCCGCTTGGTTCGATTCTCCTTCTGTTGCGCTGCCAGGGGCGGTTCGCATTCTTCTCTGAGGGAAGGGACTGTGATCTCCAACGATAGAGCATGAGATGGCTCATGGTCGCTCAACTTTCAACTAACGGACTCTGAGTCTCGTCAAATGAGGGAAATGGAGAATTGCAATCTTGCTAGCCTCAATAGATAAGGCAGCCTTGTCTGCACAAAGCCCTGCAACCCCCACGTTCTCTGGCCTCCTGACTCAAGAGAGCATCAGATCAGGGATTGCTTCGGCGTGCAGCCAACGCTAAACGCATGCCTCACATGCTCAACCTCCATCTTCTGACGTGGACACCACACTCTACGCCTGCTCTCTGAGCGTCTGCATCACGAGTCTTACACTGCGATTGCTTCATCTCAAAGCCGCGGCGTCTGGATCAGGGGCCACTGAATCTCCTCATCGCAGTGGTCGTGCTCCTGCACCCATACTTGAATCTTGTCAACGTCCCATCCGCTCATCCACCGATCGGATATCCGACTTGCTTTCTTTTTCGGAAGGCCGTGCTTGATCGTCCAGCTGAATCCACAGACGCCGTTGTGATATCTATACTGCAAACAGGCTGAATCAACCTGGCAAGCTCGTTGACAGCTGTCGAAGCTCAAGTGAGCTGACTTCTCAAGAGGCGACAAGCCTTCCAGTTTCGCCTTACGGAGCTGGTAATGGTCATACGTGTTTTCTGACATGTTCAAGTAAAAGACGTCGTCGCTCAAGTTATCCCAATCTGGCCGATTGGGTACAAGTCGCGGGGCCACGAAGTGATGGTAGAGGTCCCTGATACGCATAGGGGAGGTAAATTTTCGCTCTCGTTCAAAAGCGTACAATGCAGACAATTCCTCGCTTCCTAAATGGTTCATTGTCGCAATGGGTTGACACCACTGCTTGCTAGAATAATGAATGGTGAACGGCTTCTCTGCATTTGTTGTTGGCCACTGATACAGAACACAAAGTCAGCATGAACTGTTTCACGACCACAAGGCATTGGTAGAGAAGACAAGCCTTACCGTGTCATTGACGCTAATACCTGTGGCCTCTTTCAGTGCTTTTGCAAACATGAGATCGCCACAGCAATGGCGTTTCGTAGCTTCGTCCCATCGGTTGGCTACATTATGCTCATTCTCAAAGAAGCCGCGCATGGCTCTATTAGAGACGACGTAGCCGCTCCCTCCATCGCCGAAATGGGAGTTGCCTGCCGATGTTTTACTGCCGATATACATTGGATCGGTATGATGCAGTTTTTTTAACCAACGCAACATCGTTGGCCACACCACATAAGCGCCGGCATCGACAAACAAGTACCAGTCATAGTTGGGTCTCATGTTGAACGCCTTTTCGGCAATATGGAGATTCTTGTATTTGTCCAAGTCCCATCTTTCTTGTTCAAAATCCATGTTTTGGTTACAGCTTTCTTGATCCGCCGCACATTGGCGTTGTCGAAAATAAGCATCAAAGTCTCGGTTATTCGTCTTTACTGGATCCAAAACTCTGTCGAGGCTATCGTAGATCTTGTGTCCCCCAATCTCTTGTTCCATATCGCTGAAGATGAGGAATTCGGGCAAGCATTTCAGACTCGTTACCAACTGGGCTGGCACTTTTGAGAAGGCTTCTGAAGCTCCTGTTTTCATGACCAGAAGGATCTTTGAGGTATCGGGGAACTGCGCGCAATCGGACTCGGGCGCACTTTTCGATCGACCAGCCGACTCGGAGACAGACTCAAGTGATAGCATATTGCTAGGTGTCTCAATGGACAAAGGTGCTGGCTCTCTGTCGGTCTGCTGAGAGTTATCGTGCTTGAATGCTTCTGGCCTTTTGGTCGCATGGTGCTCTCCTCGGTAATGATTCTCGCCAGTATATGATAATGCCAACCGCTCTACGGTAATCACCAATGCCATAAAGAACACGCCAAAGGCCAGCGCCAGGGCAAAGGCTCGCGTGGATAGCATGATTGTGCAGACCGATCTTGATCGACACGCTGTTGGCCCGCTGTTTCGTCTTTGAAAAGTGTTTAACAACCCTTCTGTTTTGAGTTTGGATTAGAGAAATAAGACGTTTTCTGATCATGAAAAAGAACAAGGTATCATCATGAAATATGGCAGAAAAGCTAGCGTACGAGTACGAGGCACGTTATTTTGAGGTGCAAAAGCTGACCATTTCGCTCCATTCTTGTTGAGTTGTCTCTTAAGAGCACCAGTATACCGGCGTGAATATTCTCCCTTTTTCTCATTACTACTTCTACAATGGAACACATTTGCTGCCATTGCATTTCTCGTGAATTGGTATTTGCGGTGCTTGCGAGCCGCAGTGAGACAGATCGACGGCACCCCTTTTCGGCTGAAAAAGTAAAGAATTTTGAAGTAAGGAGGACCACAACATCCGCCTGCACTAACAATAAATGTTACTGGCACTACCTAGGTGCTATTGTACTGCTAATATCCCTTTTCTTACTTTATTTGTGAGACATGTAGACCGGTGTGTTTCTGAGACACATCAATAGGACTCGGTTTGAACAGTGTTCCAATGGCCCATCACTTGAGACAAATATGTCTGACAACGTGAGCTTTTTGAGTTCCAACCGAAAATTTTCACATTTCTGATGAATATTGCTCTTTTTCCTGTCAATTTCTCCTTTTATGGTGTAGCAATAGCAGGCAGTATATGTAATGATCACTCCTGTAAATACGGCGTTGTTATTCTGCTACTCTTAAACAGACGGCAAATATCTGTAAACAGTCCCAATAATTCATTTCTTCACCAACTTGTAGTTGCAAAGTCTTCTCACATCCATCTCAAAGCTCGTCATGACCCTCATCAAAGGTCCCATCCCACGGTTGAGCTCTGCCCTCAGAAATGGCCACGATGAACTGGTCAATCTCGCTCGGCGAAGTAATGTCCCCCTTGAAAGGGAAGACTTGGCCGTTGTGAACGTTTTGCACGGCCAGGCCACCAGTAGAGCGGATACCGAGGTTACGTGCCATGTCCGGGTACTCGTTGGAATCTACGGTGACAAAGGTGAGGAATTCGGCGTATCGTTGAGCTGTGCCTTTGAGATTTTTGGTGTAAGCTTCACGCTGCGCTTCCGTTTTGTAAAGGTAAAAGACCAAAGAGCGTCCCGACTAAGTAAAAAGGGACGTTAGTAAAAGTAAGCACTCCGTGAGATAGACGTAGAAACTCACTGAGAGATGCGTCAGTTCGTTGCGCCGAGTAAGCTGCGGGATGACTTCTGCGGTGCAAAGATCAACCAGCTTCTTTAAAGAATTCGCGTCGTCCAGGTCTGTAGCTGTGTGTTCTGATTCATCGACATTATTGTAGCACCAAATGCCACTGGAGCTGGCATCAGAAGAGCTGGCTACGCCGAACGAGTACCGATCAGAATACTCCTCTGCAAGATTTCGAAATCGAGCATCGAGACTTTCATCATCACTATGTAATTGAGCGAGGAATACATAGTCATCGCTGGTGAGGAAGTCGTCGAGCTGCTGCTGCTCGGTGATGTCTTGGACAGACGGCCGAAGAGCCCGTTTCATAAAAGCCTCTATGCTAAGCCAACAGGTCAGACAAAGCCCCAAAAATGGTGAAATGATACTTACGTCGAGGCTTTTCTAGGTCCTCGATATCGTGTTGTTGGCCCATCCTTCTCATATAAACGAATAGCGGGAAAGGAGACGACGTCCATCTCCTGGCAGAAGCTGGAGGCGGCTACGCAGTCGACTGTAGCGGCAGAAGCGACGTTTTTCTTGACAGTTTTCCATTCTTTCAAGAACTTTTTACTGCTCTCTCTTTTGGTTGTAATTGAGAATAGTTTAGTGTATAATACTATGAATTCATAAAGCGATTTGGCTCACTTACAATTCGGGCTGTATGAGTGATGGTGGGGATCAGGTCGCCCCTTTGAGTCAGTCCCAACGTCCATATTGCTCACAATGGACGACGCCAATATCTTACCGCAACAACTAAACCAGGCACACAAAGTCATCAATTGATTAGCATCTGTCATGTCTATGATAGAGTCGACACTTGTTGAACTTACAAGCCAGCAGGGTATATTCATTATCCGCCAGAAGCTTCTTCACCTCTGCCGCCGCGCTAAATCCAGAGGCACAAGCCACCAGATTTGCGCAGCTAGCCAGCAGCCCGCATTGGACCAAGATGCTCGATAAGATCGGCCTCACCATCTTCGACAGTATGGGAGAGAAATACTGGATTGGTTTTCTATAGAATGGAAATGGGTTGAATAGAACATTTGAAAAGTCGTAGTAGATGTTCTGTATGAACTCCGCGCCTATTCCCCCGTGCCCGAGTCAGACTGCAGGACAGGGGTAGGCCGGATTCGAAACAATGGTGGCCCTAATAAACGCCATCACCGACTGTCTGCATCGACGCTACGTTTCGAGTCTCACTGTTTCGTTTGAGATTCCGGGGGAAGATCAAGGCGTTGTTCGTCGGCTGATTATTATCATTTGCTTATCTTTCAGAACTCTGGTCAATACAGCAGCACCCTTCCATTGTACCTATGATTTCCTCTTTGGTTCTCTAGAACGACGACGATCAATGTATTCACAAAACTTACTCCGCTGGCTGGCGGTGACGACGGTCGGCATGGGAGTTGCCTCTGCCGGGGATGATGCGGCGCAGAAGAAGCTGAATGGCTACGAATGCACTCACCCGCCGTATAAAAGCCACCTTTTGAGCAAATCGCCCTTGGTTATCTACATAGAGAACTTCGTCACTGATGCGGAGCGATTACATTTACAAGAGCTCGCGTATGTCAATCTTTGGCCTGCTGTCTAATCAAGGAGAGAAGGAGTTAGATACTAACAACATGCTATAGTCAAGGCCAATTTAAACACTCTGCGGTCCTCAAGAGTGGAAACTCGGCAATTCACTCTGTCCGCACTTCGCAGTCAACCACTGTCGACAGAGACGCCGTGGTGCGGTGCATTGAGGCACGAGCTCTCGATTTCCAGGGCTTTGATGTGCCAGAGTCTCACCTCGAGCCTATCCAGCTCGTCAAGTACGCAGTCACCGAGCGATATCATTTCCACACGGACTGGTTCACAAACCCAGCCCACGCCACGGCAGCTCACGGCGGGAATCGCATCAGCTCCTTTTTCGGATACGTCAAGGCAGACAATGTGACGGGCGGTGGCACCAACTTTCCGATTCTGGATGCGCCGCGGGACGAAAGATGGTGCAAGTTCATCGACTGCGACGAAGAGTACGACTCAGGCGTCACGTTTAGGCCTATCGAGGGCAACGTGGTCTACTGGGAGAACTTGCTGGCGGATGGGAGAGGAGACCAGAGGACGCTGCATGCGGGACTGCCGGTGGTCAGCGGGGAGAAGATTGGGATGAATATTTGGACGAGGCAGATGCCGCTGCCCGCAGATGTTCGCGGGAGTTAAAATGTATATTGGAAAACGAGGCTGAGACTGGGTGCATATACGGCTGAGCAAGATGGTTCATGTTGCTTCGGAGACTGGCGTATACAATGGGACAGCATCTTTTTGAGAGCAAAGACGAAGAAACCTTTTTTTTTTCGCTTGATACTTAATTTTCTCGTTCTTTCTGAATATCTGTGGAGGGCAAGGTTGACTCAGGAACATGATTTTGAGAGAGCAGGAAGAAGGTAGATGCAGTATAGCGGAGGAAGGTGCCGTTGCCCCCTGGCGACAGATAAACATTTACAATACACGATGTCGGTTTTCTCACTTTGAATTTTTGCAACCAACCATCGCTCCATCGCTACAACATTTTCATCGTTTCAGATTTACTCTTCCGGCAACATCTGCATTCTTTGAAATGCCCAACTCCAACTTTGACCGTGGTAGGATTCTGCCCCTTTTCAGGCTTCCAACCAACATACCGGCATCAATGGACTACCAAAGGGATAGACGAAACCGCAGATGGTGGGCCTCGCCCAATCACAATGTGTTCCTCGCAGCGGGAATAATGCTTACCGTTCTCGCGCTTATTGTCATTGTCACATCTTATTTCTTCGCGTCCGGTCCTTTGGCAACGCTGTTGCTTTCTGGTCACAAGGACGGCTCTCGAGCAATGGCAACGAACATGCATGAGAGACGCTTTAAATCCTGGAAAGATCGCTTCAGAAAGCAGAGGGGTTACCGTCATCCGGTGAAGACTTGTATCGGCCTCTTCATCTTCTTTTTTCTCGTCATCGTGTTTACGATCTAGGCGATCCTCGATAGAAAGTATCAACTCTCAAAGAAGATCTCGGAGAGATGGGCCAGGCAGTGGGCGAAACTGGAGCAGAGATGGAGCCGGCTTCGACATGGCAATCAGGCAGCCGAAAACCCAGGGGACGAAGAATCGGGTGCAGAATTGGGCATTCTTCGGAATGAAGCTGCTGCTGATGCTCCCAAAGATGAAACCCAAACAGTCGTTCGCCCAGTAGATCAAACACCTGCACCACAGAGCAATGCCACTCCCAGCTCTGCAGACTTAACGCAGAGTGAGCCTCGAGAAGTGCCTAGTGCAGAGACACAATTCCTCGTCGATAGTGCTTTTCCGCGTCACAGACAAAGCCTTGCAGAGATCATTCAGCGGGCCTTCCAGCAGAACAATCAGAAAACCCAACAGCAAGGCCCACAGCAGGGTGAACTTCAAGACCGACACCAAAGCCAACTTCAAGGCCAACAGCAGCGCGAAGTTCAAGCTCAAGAGGAACGCGAGCGTCAAGCTCAAGAAGAACGCGAGCGTCAAGCTCAAGAAGAACGCGAACTTCAAGACCAACAGGAACGCGAGCATCAATACCGACAGGAACGCGAACGTCAGGGTCGACTTCGTAGCCAACTTCGTCACCAGCAACGCCAGCTTCAAGGTTATCGGCAATTTGACCATCATGGGTACCGGCAACGCGAACTCCCAAGTCAGCAGCAACACGAGCACCAAGGCCAACAACGTTGCGGATACCAAGGCCAGCAGCAGGGCCAGCAGCAGGATCAACACCAAAACGATGACGCGATCGCGAAGGAGGATGGAGGGCCTGTGACACCAGTAAATAGCCGGGCGCCAACTGCGGAAAGCGTAAGCGACGCAGAAGAGACGGCATAGACAAACGTGCATTCTATCGACCAGGGGCTATGTACTTGTGCCTACATGTTGTTAACAACCAGCCCTGTGCCTATCTCGACGGTGCAAACGAAACTCTATGACAATCACTTGCTCATATGAAGACTCGCTTTGGAATGGGATATGGCGTAATGGATTGGCATTGCAAGTGCCGACTTGATCGAGTTCTTGCATGGGATGTTCATTGTTTATTTTGGTGGAAGTTGTTTAACAGCGATTTATATGGAATAGCCATGACTGAGAGGAGGAGTTGCAGTACACAACAACAGCGTTGCCACAAGATGAAGTTTAATTGTTTGTGCATCTTTATTTGGTCTGAAAACCATTTTATTCAGCGAGTATTATAGAATGAAACCTCGAAGATGAGTTGTTGAGTTGTTGAGCTGAGTTCTTGATGTTCATCCTTTGCCAAATCGGTCACGTGACCCCCATGATCGCACATGGCAACGCTACATCGCTACCAGGTCGTGAGCTTTGTTTGTCTTGTTAGTGCACTTGTACCATGACGGGCTCACTATGGACGTCCCTCGCGGCTCCAGACGAACCCGCCATGCAGCCTCAGTCGCCTCAAGCCAAGAGGCCCAGCTCCAAGCCCAGGCCCAGCTGGAGCTCGAGGCGGCAACGCATCACCGCCGAAGCCATCCGCGCAGACAGGCCGTGCAGGTCCAGGTAACGCCTGATGCGGCCCTGGCTGTGGCAGCTGGCGCTCACCAGACGCCGGAGAGCAGCAACAACGGCAACCAGAGCAACCAGAGCAATCACAGCAATCACGGGAGGAGGCGCGAGATGGAGCCACCACCTAATCCATTCCGACTGCATAGATGTGAGTTGCATTTATTGTTAAAATGTCCGATCTATTTCTTTTCTCTTGTTCTCTTATGCATGCCTCTTTTGAAGTAAGATGAGGAGCAAGTGTTTCTACCTATATAAGAGAGCAGAAGCTGTTGAATTTGAACATCTAGCGCCCTCACTTTGGCGTGACCTGCCAATGACTTCATGCCTCTCCGTCTCGGACTATTACAATGGCAGTGCCCTAGCTTCGACAAGCACTCTTCCTCATAACTTTTTTTTTTGGCAACTTTTCGTCTGAAGTATCATGCCTTGGCAATCTATGGTGTTCTTCTTTTTGTGGTTTCCCTCTACTTCCTTCATTTGTCCTTCTCACATTAAGAGGCTGCCACTCTTTTAATTCTGACCTCTATTCATTCCTTCATTTATTCATTCGCTCATTCTTTCCTTCTATTGCCTTTGTTTTGCCCTCATTTCCCAAAATTACGGGGATACATTCATTCATTCATTCATTCATTTGCATTTTGCCAAGGCGAAGTCGCCCACTCACGCTCGTTTTTCAACCATGTCTCTTGTACAGCTTGCCCTCCAGCCTTGGGAAGAAGTGCCTCAGGAAAACCTGCCTTCTTGTCAAGTTTCACCTCCCTACAACAGACCAAGTGGAAGCAATCGCCGCCCCCTACAGCCGCTTTCCATCTCCTCTACTGGCGCCATTCTCAATCGCAGAGAGTCGGTCCTCAGACCGTTTCCCTCTCCAGATAAAGAGAATTGTGATGCCACGGTGCAGGCCATTTCCCATCGAGTGGCTCACCAAACCAGAGAGATTAAACGGCTGTCGCTCTTGCAATCGCTCTTGTGTTCATCCCAGCAGAAAAAGCGTCGCCGCAAACAGCTTCGACAGCGCAGTGGAATTCGTCAATCTAGCACCGCTAACATGGGTCCAGCTACTCGCAGAAGTGCCACCAATCGCCTAAGCCTGCAATTTGACAGCGATGGCTCTGGCGATGGCGATGGCACCGGCTCCGACTCGGAGGCAGATCTCAGTCATTTGGGAATGACAAGGCGAGGCATGACAGCGGTCCTGGAACAGCAGGCGGATCAGATGACCTACGATGATGATGATGCCATGTCTCAGGGCCAGTACGACGATGAAGAGGCGAGCTTGGGCGAGAATGAGGACATTGATGAAAACGCCGCGGACAACTGTGACGATCAGGTTGAAGAAGTGCAGGAGGAAGAGCCATTGACAATAATAGACCCCGCTGTCTTTGGCCTCAAGGAGATTTCAAACTTGGGAAAGTTTACAGTGAGCAGCCATAAGCCAGGCAATGGAGTTGAACAGCTTCGAAGTGACGAATTGACGTCATACTGGCAGTAAGACTACCTACATCTTTTTCTTCTCTACCCCTTCATCCTGCCTGGCTGATTTCTGACTTTGTGTCTTTTCAGATCAGATGGCCCACAGCCTCACAAGCTCACCATCTACTTTGTCAAACGAGTGGGTATCCGAGACATTCGCTTCTACGTCGACTATAATGAGGATGAATCCTACACTCCTACGAAAATCATTTTCAAATCGGGTACGAGCGAGAACAACCTTATTCAGTTCGCTGCCATGAACATGGAAAGTCCTGTGGGCTGGCAACAAGTACCACTTGCAGGGGTTGGTGGCGAACCCGATGGCAACACCCTTGTGTCTTGGGTGTTGCAAATGCAGATACTTGAGAATCATCAAAACGGCAAAGACACTCATCTTCGCGGCATAAAGATTTACGCCTTTGACGCTGATGCGGTGCAGCCCAGCGAGCCGGATAGCTCAGTCGATACGAGCGGTCTCACCGAAAATCAAGCTGCTGCTAGACTAGAGGACATCGCCCAAACATTGGCCGCAGCAAGACTCGAGAGTAGTGAGACGGGGTTCTCACTTCCTGATTTCATGCGAGATGCGGAGATTCGATAATAACCTTGTGCGATTCATTGTCGGGGAAAGAGAATATGATCAATTACGACTTTTTGTTTGCTTTGGACTTGGTAGAAAGGGAGAGAACACAAAAGTTACGGATATGGGTGTGATAAAAAAAATGGATTTCTTTTTTGGTTCGCTTGAAGATGGTATCATCTGGAGGAAAGACAAAAACGGGTTATGGATGGAGTTGAGCATGAGGATATGTAGCTTGCTTTTAACAATCTGTACAATGGCTAAATGACTTATTAGAGTTTTGTTTTCCAAATTGCCCTACCATTTACATCCACGTGTATTATACTACAAGTACTATTCAGTACCCCTTGCTTTATTAGAGGGCTATGCACCAGCCCCCCTTTTTTGATCTTCGAGACTCTTTTGAGAAACCCAGTTCATAACGCGGGAGATTAGGCGGCACGGATAATGAACGGCATGGTAGGACACTCGTTTTTTTATCCGATGACAGCACTGCCATCCTTGGCATGCATTAAGGGTATGCCTTGCAAACTGCCTATCTGCAACCCGCCGCAGTTCAGCTACCCAGCTGCGAAGCAGGAGAGGTAGAAAGCAACAGTATCCTGTGTGGGTCTCATTGATGTCAAGTGATGCTGTTGTGTGGCTGATCCGAATATGCCTGATCTACAAAGGGGTTGAATCTATGATAGAGTATTCACGACAAAGATAGTACGAGGCACACATGAGCTGATGAGTTAGTTCTTCGGGTGGCAACATTGGATGTGGCCACCAGCCTGGAACAAGATTTAGGCGTGGTGATAATAGCTTGGCTCCCTGTGAAATTACAGAAGCATTGCAGCAGTAGAAAGGTAAGTTGAAAGAGATCTTGCGATGAAGTAAGTATTATTCATATTAATGGAGTCGTATAAATAATGAGACTTTCTCTATTTAAAAAAAAAAAAGATATTCAGCACCCCAAGTATACTATCCAGGGCTCTAGCTATGTCGTGGGCTACTGATGCTACTAAGTTGAGGTGCTAGATAAACTATTCCCTTTGTTTTGTCTTGCTACTCCCCGCTTGTGCGCGTATAAGTTGTTGGCTTTGAGCTGGGATGTTTCTGTACATGTATGGATCCAGCGCCAAAGTGGATTAAACTGCCCATTCTTCAACTCCAGATGCGGTAACTCGCCAAGGCCCCATCAAATAAAGGCTTGGCAGAGGCTTATACAATATAAGAAACGGAGAAAGATGGTGGCTCTGCAGGGCGAAGGATTTTGATTACAATACAAGAAATCAAAAAGAGAGGGCTCAGCAGAAGAAGAAGAGAAAAACGCTCAAGTCGGCCCAGCAATCAATGGCAATATCGGTCGTTTACAGATTGGGAGGAGGTTAGGTAGTAGTGTAGGTACGTGTATTTGGTACAGCCGGCCAGAAACAGAAGGCTTCTGGAAACGCGGCGCCGGAGCAAATCGCAAGGCATGGCGCTGCTGGGATCGGGGGTTTCTGTCTTGGGTTGATCCGGTGCGTGATCAGCAGGCATCAGCACTTGCTGGTGCTAAAAGGGTGCTGTGCGAGAGCTGCTGGAGGAGAGGGGCGATTCTAGCGATTGATTCCGCGCCCCAATATTTCTTCCATTCTAGCATTGAATTCTTAATGTTGGACTGCACCACGTGAAGCTGTATTGTCTCTAGCGGTGAGTTCTTTTCACTGTTCCGACCGGGGAGTGCAGCTCTCCAAGAGCGTTTATATGGAGAAATGAGGCAGTGCAATTACTAACATGCATTTGTGACAGCACTGCGTATCGAAGACGGTGACACTTAGCTTGGGTGCAAGTGCATGATGCCTCCTTGAGCTCTTTCTTGATCGTGCCCAACTTCAACTGGAGCTAGATCCATAACCAAGGAGGAATTGTCAGGTGCCTGTGGTCTACGGCAATGCGGCCGACAATTATCTAGCAAGATGCGTCAATTCGGTCATCAAGAGGATTCGAAAAGTGAGGCTTTCATGACGTCCATGCCCTGGTCCAGGGTATTTCGGCTCGATGGCGCAGTAGTCCGTGAAACGGATCCTGGCTGCTCCGTCCTAGACTGGATGAACCTAAGCCTGTTGGGACCTGCTCCAATAGAAGTTTCTTGGGGCTTATTCCGATTGAACGGATGGGGCTTCGATTTGGACGAGGCTTTTGTCTGGAACCAAAAGTGGGTGGCGGGAATTAGGGCGATCAAGCTACCGTCTTGTCTGCTGAGGAAACGCCTGAGGGAATGATAACCTGTTATGCTCGCTTCCTTTGGAATTATCGCTGGCTCGGGGCATTGTCATATGCTGACAACATGACTGGCTGTTATAGCTTAGAGACTATCCATCAGCACAGTGCTATGCTGTGAAAGCCCCAATCCAGCTTCTATGAATAGTACTATCAGCGCTATTGTTGGTGAACACAGTTGGCGCTCTCATCAAACAAATCCCCAGCCGAGGCAGCGCGGAGAAAGAAACAATGCCATCCATCGCCTAGTGGGGGTTTCGAAACAAGATGTGTCGCACTGCATGGCTTTGGCTGCATCTCCGTGCGTGTCGCTCGTTGAAACCGACCGGAACGAGTCCATCACGTCACACCATGATTACAGTAGAGCAATGGCCGAAGCGAAGCGCAAGCAGCGCACGCAGCGCAGCGTGAGCACCCAAAGAGGGAAAGCCAGAAGAGGGTGTGCTGAAGCGTTGCGCTAGCCGTGCAGCTTGCATCCAGAATTGCAAATACATCCAGCAGAGCTTTGGACCCTTCAGGCCGCTGCGTTTTCGCCTCCCCGCACGGCGATGCGGTGCCGAGTGTGGCGGCTCCACCCGCACACGCGCATCGGCGGAACGATTTCGACAGGGTTTGATCGGCTGTTTCCTCATTGCGAATGTGAAGTAGCCGGTACATGCATACAGGCACACTTGGAGCAGATCAAAAGAGGAGAGGGAGAGGACACATAGAAAGCAAAGGTACCGCTGAGAGCTGCGCAGGTGATGCGATGGCGATGACGAGGCTGTGTAGGGGACCCTGCAGTATCCCTTTGCGGCTCGTCCTATCGTTACTGAGCGGCGGTATGGTCTGCGATACCTAGAGCTGCTCTTTTAGGCAATCCAAGTATGAGATACTGCATTGTCCATGGAAAGCAGCAATGCCCAAGTGCACTCTACCTTATTCGGATACGCCATTTCCATTGTCCAAGGGCTTCGAGCCTCGCTTGTACAGAGTACTTTGTTTGTTCCTCGCCTTCCATCTTCTGTCTCTCTCCCATGAGACTGCCAAACTGCCCAGCGCCTACCCCAACTTCCCGGCCCCACTCCTGGGGTGCTCCTGCTGTCGACGGACCTGGAATGCGGCCACACCACCCAAGCTGCTAGTAAACAGTAACAGGACACAGACCTACCAACCCAGCAGTGGTGCTACTGTATAAGATCAGCTCAGCATCCCTTCCCCAAGCTCGTCTTCCCCTTCCCACTGCTCACTCCACCTACTGGATCGCATCTATGCAGCATTGATTTGTCCATTTTCCGTCATTTCTGCCAAATTTTTACTCCTCTTCTCTTCAAGCACACTGCGGCTTTCTTATCGCCACCTCGAAAAACCACCAACACCGCCATCATGTCTGCTGTCAACGGCGCTGGCCACGGCAGCTCCTCCAAGGCTGCTGATGTCGATAGCCTCTCACCCCCCGGCTTTCAGCCCCAGAATAAGATGACAGTCAAGCCACCTTCAGGAGAAGACCTTCAGAAAAGCTATGCCGCTGTGGTTGGAAGCGAAGCCAACCCCAAGGGCTGGTATGGCGGCATGAGTATGTCGCAACTCACTTTGTCTATATCTTTGATCCTTTGCGGCGTATGTTAACATAACTTTCTTTCTCTTTCATAGTCAACACTCTCGGTTCATGCATTGGAACTCTGGGTGCCATTCCTTGCTGCATCATCTGCCCCAACCCCTACAAGCACGTCAACCAGGGTCAAGTCGGTCTCGTCACCAAGTTCGGTCGGTTCTATAAAGCAGTCGATCCCGGTTTGGTCAAGGTCAATCCCCTCAGCGAGAGGCTCATTCAAGTCGACGTTAAAATTCAAATCGCCGAGGTACCTGAGCAAACCTGCATGACCAAGGACAATGTTACTTTGCGCTTGACCTCTGTCATCTACTATCACATTGTGTCTCCTCACAAGGCCGCTTTTGGTATTTCCAACGTTCGTCAAGCTCTTGTTGAACGTACCCAGACCACCCTTCGTCACGTTGTTGGTGCCCGTGTTCTTCAGGATGTCATCGAGCGCCGCGAGGAAATCGCACAGTCTATTGGAGAAATCATTGAGGATGTTGCTGCTGGTTGGGGTGTCCAGGTTGAGAGCATGCTCATCAAGGATATTCTTTTCAGCCAAGATTTGCAAGACTCGCTCTCAATGGCTGCCCAAAGCAAGCGAATCGGTGAAAGCAAGATCATCGCCGCCAAGGCCGAGGTAAGGATTACGGTTTTGTCATATGGCTGTGGTTGCCATTCTTCCCCTAAAAAGCGGTCTTTGCCATCAATATACGTGAAAAGTGTTACATAAAAGTGACTAACAATGACGCTTTCTTCAGGTTGAATCCGCCAAGCTGATGCGCCAAGCCGCCGACATCTTGAGTTCTGCGCCAGCCATGCAGATCCGTTATCTCGAGGCTATGCAGGCTATGGCCAAGTCCGCCAACAGCAAGGTCATCTTTTTGCCTGGCAACAACCAGCCCCTCAATGGAGCTGCTATGAATGCTGCGCTGGGCGATATCCAATCCGGCGAAGGTAGCACCAGCACCGCCGGGAATACTCGCGATTTTGGAGGTCAGGACTCAGGTTTCCAACAAGCCATGAACGCTCGCGTCGTGGAAAATTTCTAGTCGTCGTGCCTTACATGAAGGCCTGCTGCTGACTATTGAGGTGGCTTTGGTGGTTTAGCGTGGTCCACTTGATTTCGAGAAGCGACATACCCGTGTGTTCCATCGTTTTCAAAAACGCCCATCACTGTTTCTACCCTCGAAACACCTCACTAAATCTTTGTCTCGCCTTTGCGTCTTCGACATCGCGACTCGATCTATTGCTTTCGATTTACTTGTTTATACCCTCTGCCTGCACAACGCTTTGATTGTTACAGGTCTGATATGCTTTTTTTTACGCTCGTTATGATACCATTTGGGCTTTGGGTGTGGATCTTGGGATGAGAAGGATGGACATTTGGCTTGTATGATACCCAAGATACCCAGAGGAGGAGAGTGACGGAAGAATGGCAAAATATTAGTAATTAATTATATTCCAATTGCGGTTCGTTGGTTTATCTCTACGTGTCTCTTTTGTGCTTATTTTTAAAGCATATTAACAGAAATGTATATGGATGTCACAGCTGTTCAGTATCTAGGGAACTTCCATTAATATTGACCAAGAACATCCTTTGATTAGAGGTCAAAGTAGCAAGTTTCTGGAAATCAAGTCACATCCCGTCACGTTTATTGAAGTTCCATTATGATTGATCAAGAACATTTTTTGATTGAAGACCTAGACAGCAAGTTCCTGGAAATACGTCACTTCCATACCTTTCTTTCGGTTCCTCCCTTCTGCTGGACGCCCATGGCGACAGCCAAGTTTAAATAAAAAGAAAATACAATAAATTGAAACAACAGACAGTTGTAGCAAACAAAGACCAAACCACGCCTGTGCCAGAAAAGATTTGTTTCCCTCCCCCAACGCCAGCCATATTAACAGTGACAGATAGCCCGGAAGCCTCTCATATAAAAAGAAATCTCAGGTATCACATATCTACATGACCACCTCATCGGTATATCATGAGCCCATCCAAGCCGATGCGGGTCCAATTTTTTGCGACCTACTTCGCAGAGATAGCAGAAGAAATTATTGCGCTTTTTTTTGTAATGCTTTCCCTCTCTAGATTTTTTTTTCGTCATCTTAGATTTTTTTTGTCTTGTATATCTCCGATAGATGATGCCGTTTCTCTAGTGATGTTTTGTGCATATATGTAAAAGCATGTGAGCACACATATGCATATTGTTCAATTGAGTCGGCGTTTCTTCGAAGCAATCTAAGCACTGAGAGATTCACGCTTCTTCTTGGACTTCTTGTCCTTTTTGGACTCGGCCTCACCGTCTTCAGCCTTTCGCTTCTTCTTCTTCTCTGGTGAAGGCTCAGCGGGCTCATCGTTGTTCTCAGTCTTGCGCAGCTTCTTCAGCTCCTTCTTGCTGAGGACCTTGGGGTTGCCATCTTCGCCGAGCTGGATATCACCGCGCTCGTACTTTCGCTTGAACTTCTTGACGGAAATGCCAGAAAGATCGGCCAGGCGCTCGTACTCCTTTTCTGAGAGCTTCTTGACGGAGGCCTCATCGGAGTCGTCATCAGAGTCTTCAGGGGCGTCTTCCATATCGACGTCCTTCTCCTCGACGACCTCGATTCTGGGCTTCTTGGACTTCTTGCTCTTTGTGGCGGGCTCGGCGTCTGCGTCGGCCATGTCATGGTCGACCACACCGTCGGCGTCAACGGCATATCGGCCAGTCTCCTTCAGGCTGAACTGTCCAGCAGAAACAATTTCTCCAGAAGGAGTGACATTGGTGCCCTTGGGCAGGGCAGCCTTGCCTTCGAGTCTGCGGAGGTAGTTCTCAAGCTTGATTCGGTTGGTGAGACCAAGGGCAGCACGCTGCTCATCGTCCTCCTCGTCGTCATCGCCGAGGGCGTCCACACGGAGACCGAGGGCAACCTTGGCAGACAGCATACGGGCAATCTTACCCTTGTTCTTGCCAGTAGCCTGGCCGACGAGAGAAGAGTGGTACATGATACCGTACTTGGGTGTATCCTTCTTTGTCTTGAGAGCGCGGAAGAGAGCCTTCTCGGCACCGAGAATCTGGATGGTGGAACCGGGGGCCTTGGCCAGGCTGAGGACGGAACCGGCGTGAGAGATGAGTCTGGCACCAACGAGGTAGCCAACAAGGGCAGTCAGGTTGGGGGCAATGGCGCGCATTCGGCTTTCCAGGTAAGAAGTGAGCTGAGCTCGGTACTCGGTAAACTTAATAACCTGGTCCGCGAGCTCAACGGCGTTCTTCAAATCATCCTCAGTGATCTCGACACCCATAGAAAGTTCAGCAGACGCCTTCAAAGAGACTTCAACGTCCTCAGGAAGGATGTCAGAAAGGTCGGCATCCTTGAAGTTATCTCGCATGCCGACGGATCGAACAACACGAGCATAGGCCAAGTTGTCATTGAGGGTCTTGGCCATCTCGGGGAAGTGCCATCCGTACCACTCCTTTGTTCGCATAGCGTAAACGTTGAGCTCCTTGTCAATATCGTCAAGCATCTTGATGGCCTGAATAATCATCGAATCAACCTTGTCGGCCGAAAACTTGAGCTTGTGTCGGGACATTGAGTGCGAAAGACCAAGGGTCATGCGGTCAAGGACGTCTTGGTCGAGACCAGGAATAAGGGACGAAACGTGTTCGCGAACGGCACGGAAAAGGTCCATTGTGTCGGAGCCAGCCACAGGAGTGACATTGAGGCCGGGCAGGTTGGAAATGGCTGTGCCCAGCTTCAGATCGGCAACAGCCAATGAAGCCTTCTTCTCAGCCTGCAAATCTTCCAACAGTGAGGTCAACAGAGGAGGGATTTGACCCTGGCTAACGGCGGCGGCTTCTTCAAGAGCCATGGCGGCACTGTCGAACTTGACGAACTTCTTGAGCTTCAGCCTGTATGCGACCACTCGTTAGCATGGAAAGCAGGAACAAAGAAAAATTTATCGTAGAGGCTGGGTACGCCGAGAGAAAGACCTACATCTCAATCAAGCGCTCTGGCTTTCCCAGCTCAGCCGCAAGATCGGCATTCTTGAGCATCTTCTTATCGCTCGCCTTCAACAGGCCATAGCTGCAATTCTGTCAGTCCAAGTCCATTACACGCGATCATCGATCATGGCGAGGAATAGGTAGCGGATGGCTTCGAAAACTGACCCTGCAGGCGTCTCTGCAAGAACGAAGAGAGACATGTTGAATAATTGAATCTCCCTCTAGGACTCCGGCGCTTGTCTAATGGAGTTCCTTCGTCTTCCCAAATCCCAATTGAGAGAGTTGTGTGCGTGAGGATTCAGGGAAGAGGCCGAACAAAAAGTGAGTTTGGGAAATTTTTTAGTTGAAGCTTGAGTCTCCACTCCAAATTTTTTGGTTCTGCATTGGTGCTAATGCCTCTAAGTGGGATGGGCCTCCGGGCGCCGGCGCTACAGAAATTCCGGAACGCTTCTGGACCACTCACGTGCGAAGCTGTGTCACTGCGATTGCGTCTCGCTCGCCGGCCATGCAGAAGTAGTCCCGAGAAAGCAAGGACTTTAGGATACGCTGAGCCAGCTCCTACAACATCGCCGCTGTCGTGCGTCACCGCTCGTTTGACCACCATTTTCGACCGTCTTACGTACCTCAGACCATATACGAAGCAAAATACGATGGAAGGCCTTCTATTCAACGTGAACAATGGGTGAGCCTTTGTTGAGACGCCTCGCCGTTGAGCTTTATTGACGGGGGTTTGCAGCTACATCGAGGGCATTGTTCGCGGTTACCGCAACAGCCTTCTAACGACCCCAGCCTACAACAACTTGACACAATGCGAGACCATTGATGGTATGTATGAGCTCATGTTGGATAGCTTCCTATTGTTAACGCTCTCAGACCTGAAGCTGCAGCTTGGCCCTGCTTACGGCGACTTCCTCGCATCCCTTCCTCCAAACCCATCAACATCTGCGCTTGCTTCAAAGACAACAGACAAGCTCATCTCAGAATTCCGATATGTTCGCGCCAATGCTACGGGCGCCTTGGCTCAGTTCATGGATTACGTGACGTACGGCTACATGATTGATAACGTCGCCCTGCTAATCACCGGCACCCTGCACGAACGAGATACCCGAGAGCTCCTGGAAAGATGCCACCCGCTGGGATGGTTTGAGACTATGCCTGTGCTATGCGTCGCGACCAACGTTGAAGAGCTCTACAACAGCGTGTTGATTGAGACTCCGCTCGCCCCATACTTCAAGGGCAGTCTCAGCCACCAAGATTTGGATGAGCTCAACATCGAAATCGTCCGAAACACCCTTTACAAGAATTACCTTGAGGATTTTTACAAATTCGTCAATTCTCACTCCGAGATGGCCGGAACGCCTACTGCTGAGGTCATGTCTAACATCCTCGAGTTTGAAGCAGACCGCCGAGCCATCAACATCACCTTGAACTCTTTCGGCACCGAGTTGACCAAGGCAGACCGCAACAAGCTGTACCCGACCTTTGGAAAGCTGTATCCCGAGGGAACATTGATGCTCTCTCGAGCAGATGATGTTGAGGGCGTGCGTCTTGCAGTTGATGGCGTTCATGATTACAAGACCTTTTTTGATGCTGTATCCCTGGGCGGCTCCGGCGGCCCCGGCAACATGGGCGGTGGTTCCTCCGACGGCAAGAGCTTAGAAGACATGTTTTACCAGAAGGAGATGGAGATTTCCAAGGATGCGTTTACGCGACAGTTTACCTATGCCATTGTCTATGCGTGGGTGAAGCTTAGAGAACAAGTACGTGATCTTCTCGTAATCCCGTTTGAAGCGATGATGGTACTAACTGAATACAGGAAATCCGCAACATAACATGGATTGCTGAGTGCATAGCCCAGAACCAGAAAGATCGCATCGGAAACTTTATTAGCGTTTTCTAAGCGGCGCACGGACTAATAATGTACTTATCTTGAGCAGCGTGCGAGTGTAGTATAATGTTGGCTGTTTTCTTTTTTCTTCCTTCTATTTCGTTTCGTATCAATTGCAATGGGAAGGGTTCATTCAGATTAGGCGCATATGGAAGAGGCGAACGATTGATGTGGGCAATCACGCATCCTCTAACAGGCTCTACTATACATATACAGATGCTTAACTATCCTACAGTATTTTATCCTTTGGGTCTTGTCTTTTTTTTTTTCTTCTCCTTGCCCTCACAGATCGATCTGTCCCTTCCACGTTGCTGGTGTGAGGCCTAGCTTCTCAAGCATGTTTGTCCATCTCTCGCTACCTCTCTCCTTTCGCTCCATATACTGCAACAGCTTCTGGCGCCGGTGCACCAGTAGTCTCAAGTTCCTCTTGTTGTGTACATCCTTGTATCCTCGGTTGATTGCCAGTGCCTCCGACACCGATCTGATCTTTGCGGTCAGAATAGCAATCTGAACCTCGGAGCTGCCGGTATCCGGTCCAGCACGGCCAGGCATCGGCGTGGTGTTTGGTGAAATGGACAGCGGCTTAGGCTTGAGGACTTGGTCTGTGTTGTGGCGTCCAAACTCATCAACGATGCGTCGTACGTTTGCGTGGAATCGATCCCGTGCGCTGCCGTTGCTCAGGGCTGTGATTCGCTTCAGCGCCTCGACGGCTTTCTGGTGCTTCTGTTTGTGTGCTTGCTTCCTCTCCTCCTCCGTAGTAGGGTCCATCTGTGATTCTACAACGCCGACCATGGGCTTCGTCAGGGCATAGGCGTGTTTGACGGCATCTTCGAGCTCCGCATCGGTAAGGAAATGGTTGCGCAGGCCGGGCGTCGTGGGCAGCTCTCGCGGCTCCTCGAGAGCATTTCCGCTTGCATCTCGGGGTACATTGGTCACCGAGTTCTGGCCGGCTGAATCGAGAGACTCGAGAAACGGCGTCAGTCTGCCTTTTACGGGATCACCCCATTCTTCGTCTCGCTTCTTCAAGAGTTCGTCCTGTCGCTTGAGGTTGGCGGCTTTGCGCTGCTGTGCCTGTGCCCACTTGTACGGATCCTGCTTCTGCTTCTTCTTCCTCTCTCTCAGAGAGAGATTGGCCCTTTGAACGATGGGCAAGAAGGCCTGTGTTGCCGGTGTTGTTGAAGGTCGTAGGCACACTAACAAGCTCGATTAGCGACAACAAATCCGAGGCCATCATCTCTGTTTGGGAGAACAATGGTATGAAAGATGAAGACCTTACAATTGACTGTGCCTAGTCGCTGTAACAGATCTATTCTGGGCGGCATTGTTGCTCCAGCAGCTGATCTTCTCTTCTGCGGGATGAAGTGCTATCCATCAACCCACCTCCACGGCGCCATTCAAAATTTCCCATCCCGATATCAATCTTGCTGACTACTCAGTAGAAAAGGCCCCGCCTTTTCATACGTCTCCTTAGTCATCTTCTCACGTGAAAATTCAAGACCCCTCTTCGGAACCTCGAGACGAGCGAAAATCAGCTAGCCCTATCTGGTACTAGCTCCCTCAGGGCTGCAGCGCACACATTTTTGGCAAAAATTCAAGGTCCGCTTTTGCCCTCGCGAACTTTTGCGAAACTTTGCACGAAACTCGTCGAAGCCCCCCCATCGCCGGAATTCTCTCCCTCCTTCAACGACAAACTTTCTCCCCACCCATCCGAAGGAAGAATTCAAGTCAAGATGGCTCCCGCTAACCTGCCGTCCATTTTCAATGCCACCAGCCAGGACATCGAGATGCTCCTGGCGGCCCAGTGCCACCTGGGTTCTAAGAACCTCCAGGTGCACATGGAGTCCTACCTGTGGAAGACCCGTGTCGATGGTGTGAACGTCCTCAACGTTGGCAAGACCTGGTGCGTTTTTTCTTTGGAGACGGAGGAGTAGGAGGAGTCGAGAAAAAAGGAATACCGGAAGAGGAAGAGAATTAGGAGCAATTGGAGCAATTGGAAGCTTTGTCACTAACACGAACGACTTCAGGGAGAAGATTGTCCTCGCTGCCCGTATCATCGCCGCCATCGAGAACCCCGCCGACATTTGCGTCATCTCTGCCCGTCCCTACGGTCAGCGTGCCGTCCTCAAGTTCGCCAGCCACACTGGTGCCTCCCCCATCGCTGGACGCTTCACCCCCGGTAGCTTCACCAACTACATCACCCGCTCTTTCAAGGAGCCCCGCCTGATCATCGTCACCGACCCTCGCACCGACGCCCAGGCTATCAAGGAGGCCAGCTACGTCAACATCCCCGTCATTGCCCTCTGCGACACCGACTCCCCCACCGAGTACGTCGACGTTGCCATCCCTACCAACAACAAGGGTCGCCACGCCATTGGTACCGTCTGGTGGCTCCTTGCCCGTGAGGTCCTCCGCCTCCGTGGCACTATCTTCAACCGCGAGACCCCCTGGGACGTCATGGTTGATCTGTACTTCTGTACGTTTTTCTTTTTTTTTTGACAAAATTTCCTCTTGCTCTTTAGAAGCTCAAGCTAACTCGCAAAACAGACCGCGATCCTGAGGCCGAGGCCGAGGAGAAGGTTGAGGAGGAGAAGCTCGTCACCGGCGCTGAGGAGGAGGCTCCCGTTGCCGTCGAGTCCGCCTTCCCCGCCGCTGGTGCTGGTGACTGGGACGCTCCCGCTCCCGGCTTCGCTGGTGCCACCACCACCGCCGCCGCCGGCTGGGACGGTGCCGGTGCCGCCCCTACTCAGGACTGGGCCGCCTCTGGCACTCAGGAGTGGGCCACCGAGACCGCCAAGGAGAGCCAGTGGTAGAAAAACTCTGGAGCTGTCGAGGCAGTCCCAGACGCTCAAGCAGCATCTGCACAAGAAGGAGAAACTTCGGGATGGTAATTTTGGCGATTTGATCATCAACATCAAGGGCAACACAAAAAATGGAGGCGGGTTTCTGTGGGCGAGCTTGTTATGCAACGGTGGAAGGATCTCGGAATTTGGGTCTAAGTGTGCAGCACTGATGAGGGAAAGATACTCTTCCTTCTTTCTCATCAGAAAGGGAGGGAAGAGGGAAAGCCCTGTGCGGCCGCTGGGGTGGACTTGATCGTTACCTCGCTCAATGTCTCTGATTTCTTTTTGCAGTGGCACATAGGGAAGCCTTTTATTTAAACAGCCGGTCGACCAGTAGTGAAAAGAAAAAAAGATCTTAAACAAACCTTAAATTGTTATTTCGCACCAATATTGTCTACTCTAAACTCCATTTGCGGTGTTGAGTGACTTACTGTATTAACGAATAACTCACGTCAGGTACTTGAGCTTGCTGTCCGCAAACCATTTTAAAAAGAGAATTTCTTTTAACTTCTATATGCAACCCGGTCTCAGCCGAGTGTCGATTTATATATACTTCCATCTTTCAAACAAAAAGCTGTATATATATGTCCCTATACGCTAATCATCCCAAATTTATCCACAATGCCCTCCAGTATTGATTGGTATCTAAAGTGTTCCCCATCCTGTTTGTTATATCCTTCTTATTACTCCCACGCCGGTAAAGAAAAGGAAAAAAAGAGAAAAAGAAAAAGACAGCAGTCATCATGCAAAAGATGAATAAAAGGAGTCAAGAAAGCAAGAGGATTAATACAAGAACAACTGATAAGAAATTCATAGCCTGGTCAACAGAGTAAAGGAAAAGGAGTCTTGCTCAAAGTGTAGGTAGGTAGTAGCCAAATATTGGACAAAAGTAGTAGAAATAGTGATGGCAACATCGGTGCTAGCCGGTGTTTTTCGTGCATCCGATTTTGAAGTGCGTTATGTGGTATCGACTTTTGCGAATGCCTCTTATATAGACGAAGAATAAAACAAATAGAAAGGTATGTAGATGAAGGGCAGCGAAGAGAATCATGCCACGCTATTATAGTTTTAGTCGTCAATGGTAAAAAATGATCTTCCACTTTTTCCCCCTTCTTATGCTGCAGACTGTTGCTGCTGTGACAAATGAGAAGTCTTGTAATGTCTCGATTAAATGTGATGTCGTGTAGTTTCTATGCCAGAGCTGACAAAGGACAAAGGAGGTGCATAAGAAACGTTGAAAAGTATTGTGTGTATGGCGAGAAGTTGAGTTGCAGTTGAGAGTGTGTGGACTGCTTGTGTTATATGTTAAAAATTCGTGGTATCGACCTTTGAAAGGAAAAGATGATCAATTGGCTGAGGAACATAAAAAACCAAAAGGCCTCGCCTATTCCAACGTCTTAGATCGTCGTTGGATCTCTTCGTCGCTTAACGCGCCCATCCAAAGACATCGCTCTGTTATGCCCTCGACTGGTTGGAAAGTGTACCGAGTGCTGGCTTCCAACAGTCGCAACATTGTCTTGACCACGGCTGCCCCAATGCGACATCGTTCAAAGTTGACTAACGGAGGAGTGGTCGGTGAGCTGGCTATTTCAGAAGCGCGCTGTGCATTAAATAGCAAATCATGCGTGTAGATACCGACGAACGGAATGCATCCTCCATCAGAACCGCTCTCCATTTCCGCTCTGAGGTTGTAAAAGTTTCGAGAAGGTGTCACAAGGGCCTCCATCTCGCTCAGCGTGTTTTGGTCTTTGACCGGAACCAGGTCCCACGTCTTGGATAGACGGGAGACCTCGGCACTAGACAAGGCGATGGTAAGCTGCGCCAGAGTAGCGAAATTGCGATAGCGCCGACAATGTGCTGCGATGTGAATGAGCTTGATGATGCATCGAGCCCTTTCTTCGACGTGTTGAGTTAGAACAATCTCAGAAATCGCCCACTTGACCATGATATTGAATCGAGCAATAACAACTTCAACCCCGTGAGCATTAGTCTTTCTCAAGAAGTCAACCCACGAGCGAGAATCGTTGCTAGTAGCATTCTTCCAATTCATGTCGATCAACTCTCTCCAGTCAATATCGTTCAGAGCATCTTTCTCTATAAGAGTGAATTGCTGCGCCAGGGTATCAGAGTCAAACGCCAGGATGAACGGCAAATGAATTGAATATTTGAGGGTGTTGGGTACTTCTGTCTGAGGTACCGAATGAAGAGCTTCAGTGGTATTAGCCCGCGGGGTCTCTAGGACATGCTTAGGTTCAGCCATGTAGGAAGAGTCTTGGAATCTATCTGGAGTGAGAGGAAGGGGTTTGCTGATCCAAACTTGATCCGGATCGAGAGTTCTCTCCGTGTTCATCATCACCGGACTCATCATTATTGGACTCATGGCTAAAGCTTGAGCGAGCGTCATCGGGGCAGAAGAGGAATCTGATCGAGGCGAAGCAATAGGGTCTCCGAACGGATGTGGTTGGGATGAGATAGAAAATACACCCGTTCTCTTGTCCACGTTACCTGCATCTTCGTCTTCAGAGGGAGTAAGCTCAGAAGAAAGATCTGAGCCACCAATGCTAGCGTCTTCCAAGAAAGTTCGATCATCGGCTGGCGCAGGAATTGTCGTGCCAGGCCGTATCCTCTCAATACTCTCTGTCTTTTCGACAAAGTCGTAAGAAAGATGAGGCTTAGAGATGCGCAGAGCTATGGGAATATCCGAAGCTACAACGTCATCGTCTGATGAGCCTCGAAGAACAGACCGGTCAGTCCATTCAGAGACTCCCTTTATGCTTCGGCCATCATCTGTCAAGCCCCGGTCAAGTAGAGGTATTGAGCAATATGACTCGTCTGAGTCGCCGCTCAAGAACGAGCGCGCCTCAAGTGTAGCTGCCCTGCTCCGGGTTGTTATGGTGTTCCGGCTGTATTCAAATTCGAGTGGCTGCTTTCCTTTGTCTCCAGAGGAATCTCGATCTTGGGTTCCGTAATACTCGTTATCCATGCCACTTGTTTCACTGTGTTGGCTTTCATCTTGGCTAATATAAGGTTCTGCCGCCGCAGCCGCCGCCCTTCCACCAAATTCTTGTGCGTCAATCAGAGCCATTTGGTTAAGCCGTTCGAATGATCTTGGCTTCGGTTGGTATCTGCCCTCGAGCTTTAGCAATGCAGACTCAATGCCACCGTCATCCTCATCAGGAATCTGCGCCAATTTTCGAGCTTCTATCTCAAACGAGGGACGCATAATGGGCTTGGACGAATGTGTACTAAACAAGGACAAATTCCGCTTGGGAGGCTTCTCAGTCAACTGGCCAACAGAAAATATTTCCTGTCTCCCACGGGGATGGTCTTCCGTTCCAGCAAAGCTGCATTCGTCATCGTCCTGCTCTGGGTGAGTACCGAGAAGGTAGGAGCTCCTGACAGATTCGGTATAAGTTGTTAGGGACCCAACGGACTGAGTTCTCCGCACCACAGGTTGGTTATCCATGCCGCCCACGTTAGCAGCAGCTCTTAGATATCCACCAGGACGCCTGCGAAGCACACGGGGAGGCTCAGGGGCAGGGGCTTCATATTCTCTATCAAGCATGGACGAGTCTGTGGTGGCATCAAAGCTTCGAGCTGTGGAATGTCGTTCAAGATGACTGCCAAATGAGGCATGGCGTCTGAAGGAGTAGTCTGACTTTTGAGCGTTTGTAGACTGGTTCCTCTTATGAAATTGCAGCGCTCCACGGCTGAGAGGTGGGTGCCGTAGAGTACCGCGGCGCATTGTTGATGTGGAGAGTCGATTTGCATCTTCCGATGGCCCTACACTGTGGGTGCGGCCCAAGGTTGCCATGTCCGGTATGAAAGGGGGCAAAGATTCCTCTGATGGCGGGCTGATGAGCTGATCGAGAAGATATGATGACCTGCGTATTGTTCCGGCGAGCAGCTGCGCGGGCGGCGTTGTTGGAGGAGTTGGATCGCCGCCGACAGTTAGAAAAGAGCCCGCTGACAATCCCACAACAGGAGGATTGGGGTTGAAAGTGTTCAAAGGCAATCTGTCACGCAAGCCCGGCACCGTGTCGTCAATAATAACAATAGACTTGCTTCCGTTGGTAAGACCCATATCGCTCATAGGCCGTAGCCCCCTATCCTGTAGCAAGTTATCAACTGTGGTGGACTCCATATGTGCGGCAGAATAATCCATAGGTCCATGGACGGCGGTTGGTGCCGGTCGGGGTGCACCAAATCGTTCTACTTCGGCAGCTTCCTCTTCTTCACGGATGGCTTGTTTGAAATCTTCGGCCACCTCAGCCCCAAGGAGATCGATTCTCACTGGCGGCCGAGTGCTGGTCGGGCCGTAGCCAGTCTGGGCGATAATAGTCGCTGCGGGCAATCGGTCCATTGCAATGTTGTGAGCACTCAGAGAAGTGACAGCGGGCAAACTCGAATGCGATCCGGACGACCATTGCCCACGATTGTTCAATGCGCGCCGTACGCCTCCCAGGAATTTCTTCATTCCAGATCCCGACATGGCAACTCCAAAGATGCGATCTTTGGTAACGTGGCGAGACGCAGGCTGGAAGATGGTGGTCTGCCTGTTGCGGTCACCAGTGGTTGAATCAGTTTCAATATCGACAAAAGGCTGGCCGGGTGGAAGAATGTTGCCTCGAACAAGGTTTCCGGCAGACTGCAGAATCATGTGAAGGTCGACATCGTGTGATGAGGAGTGATCGGAGCCATGATCTCTCAAAGAGTCAGTGGTGCTGTTATTGCGCTTGTGGCTTTGCGCCGGACGAACGCGCTTGCCAGCAAGCGCTTTGGGAGTAGTAGCAATAGCTCCAGGCGGGAGGATAGGAGACGTCGAGTACACCGGATGAGCTGCAAGAGGTTGACTGGAGTTTGGATTCAGAGACCTCACATTCTTGCTTGGAAAGGAACAAGACACAATGTCCATGCTTGCTATACTAAGAGGCGAAGACGGGCCATTTGCTGGTGTCGTGGTGGTGATGATCTGGTGCTCAGGAGTCCCTGGGCGATCGTCCAACACGACGAATTCTCCGATGCTGGCCGCCTTGGGAACAGTTTCACTTGGGTTGGTCTCGTCGCTCAATCCTTGCGGGATGCCTGCCACGGCACGCCACTGTGGCTGATCCATTCCTTGTATTTCCCAGAAAGAAGGATCCAAGTCGGGATCTCTATATCCTGCAATGCCTCCTGGCGCAATTGGAACTAGAGGTTCAAGGCCATCGTCAAATTCGGGGCCATCCCAATAATGAGCACATATCCGTCGCCAACACTTTTTGAGCTCTGCCAAAATTTTGAGCGGAACTCTGCTCTGGTTCATATCGTGGGATAGCTCGTCGACAAAGTCGTTGAGCAAGATACAGAAGAGGAGCCGAAGATTGTAGTCCAGGACAAAGTCGTCGACAAAGTAGTTGAGGATCCAGTGTCGCATGGCGACGAAAGTTCGAACCCGAACAATCATCCCAACCTCGTCAGTGCGTTCCAAAGCCCATACGAGCCTCGCCATGAGCATCTGGAGGAGGATCTGAGGCTCCAGAAAGGATCTGTAGGTCAGGAAAAAATCTGAGATGAGTTCATAGTCCAGGAAGCTTGGAGATGTGATCTCGGCAACAAGTCGAGAAGGTGTCGCTGCAGTTACGGATCCGTTGGGGGAGTACCGCACAATTGATTTATCATCACAAGCAGGCTTGAACGTAAGCTCATCATACATGGCTGGCCTAATGACAAGATGTGCAGATGCGTATGTGGAGGGCACAGGCCGTGGTACACGAGTTGATGTTTGTGATGAGGCATGTGATGTTCGCGGAAAGCGAAGTTTCGGGATAACCAGATAACTAGGTCTTGGCCTGGTGCCAGAGAGCGGCCCGCCGAGGCTTCTTTCTGAAGAATGGTACAGAGAGGAGCGACTAGCAGATCGATATTCATCGGTGGCTGCATAGGACGAGCCTCTAAGCATCGGGGTACCTCTAATAGAAAACCGAGGCGTCCCTAGCTTCCACGATGGGATGTTAATATTGAGTGTTGGAATACCGCCAATATCCAGATCGGTTGGGTTCTCCGCTGTTTTGGGCCGGCCGGCCTCGTGAGGCGGCTTCGTGATGACTATTCTGTACCCATCCGCATCGGTACTTGTGGGGGAATTAAAGTCGCGGATCGTACCATCCGACACCGCTCTACGGTGTTGTGTAGTTGATACGAAGCCACTAGTATTGGGAACGTATTGTGGGGGGATGATCGAGGTCCTCGGCGTCGGGGTGAATTGATCTTCGTGATGATCCGTCGTCAATTTAGGCGGTTCGTCTAGGTTGTCTGGATAAACTCCCTCCAGTCCAGCAGTTCCAGGTGGTGTTATGGGAAAGGTGAAATTTGGCTGGGGATATCTCTTGTTTGCACGCCGGACAGAGGGTCTGGAAATAGTAGGAGTTAGCCTATGCGAGTTCGGTATCCAAGTTCAAGCTCGGCCGCTTCCATACCGTAAAAAAAGCTTGCCATTGTTCCCGACGTTGGCAACAGTGAACTGACGCCCTTGGCGACCGGCGGAGGTGCCGTCTGGCGCAATATCCCAACCGTCAGGTTCTCCATCCCGTTTTCCTCTTGACAATGTCCTATCCAGTGATTTCTGCTCGGTCAGGGGCACAATGGGTCGTCCAGTAGTTGAGGCTTTTCGCATAACCCTGGTTGATGGTTTTGGCGGTGACGCATCTTTCGCGTCCGATAAGTCCCCAGAGGCTGGTGACTTGCCGTTGATATCATCTTGTGTTCCAGCACCTTGAGCTATGATATGTGATGTCTTGAGTGGTGTTACTTTGCGCCGCTTGGTCGACGGCCTCGGCCGCATTCCGTAGGATGGCCGGGCCGCCACAAGGGGAGGCTCGGCGGCATCCATGGCCCATCCAATGCTATGGCAGGAAAGAGCTCGTGCTGCTCAAAGCTATTGCTCCTGGAAAAACAGAAATGGATGAAAAACTGTCAGTCACTGAGAATTGTTGGTTTTTAAGAGAGAGAATATTCTTGAAGTAGGGAGATGACAGTCGTATCGAGTCGCGACAACAAGTGGCACGGCGTCCAACAGCGTGGCAATCCGGCACAAATGGCGGAGGACCTGAAAACCGGTGGTGGCAACCGATGCGCGCCAAGCAGGCCGAGAGACGAGTCAAGGCAGAAGCTCAAGGACAGAGCGAGCGAGGCAAGTTTGTACTTACCAGCTGACGCCATGCAGGGACAAAATGGAGGACGGTCCAGAGCAGACAGACAGTCGGCCTCGCCCGCACCGCTCTGCGTTTGGTAGCTTGGAATCGTATCGGGGTGATATGGTTCTCGCGTCGTATCGAATGAAATCGTGTATCGTCGGTCGAGTTAAGGTTGCGGCGTCAATGCGATGGCGGCTCGTGTTTGTGTCTTGGATCGGGAGGTTGAGGCGGCGAGTGGTCAAAACTTTGCGAAGCCACGGCACAGGGCAGGACAGGCGCAGACAGGCATCACCGCGGCGGGAGCAGAGAAAGAGCAAGACAGGGAGCCAGGGATGCGATCAAATGCGATCAAGACCAGGACTCGAAGCTTCCGGGGCCGTGTCGTCGTGTAGGTGCGAATCAGGCGGTATGTAGCAGAATGTAGTAGTTATGTAGCAGTATGTAGAGATACTGCAGGTGAGAAGGACGAGATAATCTCTGGCGGTTGCAATCTTGCAGTGTCGTGCGTTGGTTCCTCGTTGGGGCCGGGATGGCACAAGCCGATGGGTTTCTGCCCTGCCGTGCCTCGCGAGGGCCGGCGCCTTGCCTTGGGGGGAGAGACGAGAATTTGGCGGGCGAGGCCTTTGCGAGGGAGCGCAGGCCATCGTGGCCGGTACGTACCTGCGCCGGCAAATCTTAGTGCGTGCAGGATCCAAGCACAGTGGGTTGGCCGCGTGCGTTTGGGCCTGTCAGGGCGCGCGCTCAGAGGCCTGACCCTGGCTAAGAGGCCTGTCCGCGTAGTGGCTGACGGGGGGGCGAGGTCTAGGTTCCAGCGGTCGAAGCCTCCCCTGGCCGCTGGGCGGGGGCGGCCATGCGCCTTCATGTGCGATTGAGATGAGATGCGAGCAAGCAAGCACTCGCTGCGTCCGGCGGGTGGCCTCGCTCGCTGCCCGCATTTTGCTACAGGTCGCATCGCTGCTGAACCGCTGTTGAATGCGCGTGCAGGTAGGTACATGTCACTAATCTACGTACGCAGCAGCGTGTAAAGGCACCAGACACGATGCTCCGTGGCGATTGTGTAAGCATCACAAGCACAGGCACAAGCGACTGACAGCTCCGAAGTCCTGTAACTGGCGATCCCGGAAGGGGGCAAGGCAAGCCGCGGCCCAAGAGCCTGGGATAGAGTGCATGCACCGCTCCGTAATATCGACTGCCTGCACTGGCACTTCTTCGACGAAACCAGGCGCTGTGGACGTCAATGCACGTCAACCACGGCGTTTCGCACTCCAGGATCGGCGCTGCCAAGGGCTGCTTCCGACCTGGCAGCGGATGGGAGCGTCTGCGCCTCTCCACACGACAGCCGGCCGCTTGCGCAGATGGCGATGGGCGCAGAGCTCGGCGGGTGAAGCTGCCGGCGCAACGTCATACATGCATCGTCGCGGCAGCGCTGTAAACCTTCGGTGCGTCGATGATATTCGATGCTGTCATGGTGCTGACTTGCGTCGCAGCGATGCGACACACACCTCAGCAGCTTCTGCTGTAAGCTGTTGGTTGCACGACTCTCAATGCATGCACGCATACTCGACAGAGCCTCTCTGCTGCTAGCGCCTGGCACTATTAACGCCTCAAGCGCACAATAGCATTGACGCACCAGGTACAAAATACAATGACCCAGAACTCCGGGAGAAATCATCGGCTCGCACTCGTCAAAGCTTAAAAGCCAAATCGCTCAGTACCTACCTAGGTACTACTATAGGTAACACCAGGGCCACCACCTCACAACCGCTAGCGCGGCCATATATGCTTCGCGGTAGTTGTCAATAGTAGCACTGATTCCATTTTCTTCTGCGTTACGAGGCGCGCTTCTTGGCTTCCTCGCCATTACTCGCCTGCCTCCAGCTCCCTCCAGTAAGAAGCCGTCATCCAGTATCCAGCTGGTCGGCTCGCCCTGGCCGCCATGCGCGGTCCGTCTTCCGCGGCGTCCTAGGCTAACGAGAGGATTTACAGGCGAATGGCGCACTCCTAGCAGAGGCACTACTCGGTGCTAAGCTCCAAGCACTGCTAGGCGGTGGTAGCAGCTTCTTGCGTGCTCCGTAGTTCGTCGAAAAAGGCGCTGGTAGCGACGGCAGCTGAGCTGGCGAGCACGCGAGGGCACCCAATCCGGGAAAAAAATGAGCACCCAAACATCGGCATTTGAGCTGGTTCAAGGTTGTCTTTTGACTACCGCGCGGTAAGCAATTTCACAGCGGGCGATATCAGAGAGAAGGAGGGGAGAAAAGGGGAAGAGTTGGAAAAGATTTGGGCGAGAAAGGAAGGGGCTGGACCATGTGGTTGGTCCTGAACTGGCGTAAATTCTGTTCCCCAACGCCACGCTTGTAGAGCGAGTGTACTTCGTAAGCTCCGTGTCTAAGTGCATTATGCTTTTGTACTATGGATACGAAGTAATAGGTGACATCAGCTTTTGGAGCATAAAGTATATACTATATTCCTCACGAGCTGCGACGAATTATTCTAAAGGCCCATAACCCCGCCAAGCGACGGCATCTGGTGATGCGTGCAAAGAGACGCATTGCGAACAGGAAATCTACGTACCTACATGCGCATCCGCGATCCCAGTCACTGCTCTGTCTAATCTCCCTCCCCAACACCGTAGGCATATCATGTAACTGTACTCCATACTCCGTTTTGGTATTAGTAGTAGTAATAATAGTAGTAATAATATTCACATTACCATTCACAGAGTAACAGCAATTGTGGCCTAAATCATTTCTACATATTTCTTCTTCACGCCCATCCGGCGCCATCCCCCCGGCCACCGTTCCGGGAACCCACCCGGCGTCTTCCTGGCCCCACAGCTCATCTCAAATCACCAACGGTGGAAACCAGTCCAGCCAATGAACAAAGCGCAAGATCCATGACCATTCTCGATCAGCAGGCATTCTTCTGTTTCCCACGTTGCTTCCCAACTGAGACCCCCCGTGGCCCCAAGGACTACACCGGGAAGCCGTTCATCAGCTCTGATATCAAGCGAGATAAAACGTGAGGCTTTTTCTCTTTTTGTCTCCCATCTTCCTCATTGCCGAACACCCGTTTTTCTACTAGACTCGGTAGAACACGAAAAAAAGAGTGACATCCTGGCGCCGAGAAACTGGATACCGGGTTTGTTTTGGCTTTCTAGCAAGGCAGCCATGCTGAATCCGAAACAATGGGAAATTCGCTTCATGTTCCCTTTTTTCTTTCTTCCCCTTCTAAGAATGTGTACTGTACTGTAATAGCAGGAAAGAAGAAGGGGGGCCTTGGCCCATGAGGCCCAGTCCATTATTTTTCGTCTCCAGATTTATTTAGATGCTACGCTCTCAAACAGCATGATGCCAACTACGTGACCGAGGTGCTACCCCGTAAATGCCGGAGGTATGGGGTATAGATGCCCCCACGCCCACGGCAGAGTACGAGTGTACATAATCTCAAGTAAGATCTTGGAACTAAAAAAAAGAAAAAGAAAAATCAAGAGGGATGGAAAGAAAGAAAGAAAAAGAGTTCATACGCGCATCGGCTGAGAACCTTCTTTTCCGATGAGATGAGCAAAATGCTACGCTACTCCATACGTGATATCCTTTCTCACTTCTTCGTACCTGTACTCTCGACCTGATACGATGCCCCCCCTCCCCGGTAGGGAGAAGAAGAGCTCAAGCTTTGTGATCAGTCAGAAAACAGTTGCTGTTGGCCACCTCCTCCCGTGACCCCGACTTCATGCTGTTGCTTTCGCACGACCCAGGTACTCGGTGTCTAATTTGCTGCAAGCTCCATATTCCAATTAGCAGTGCTACTGTATTTCCTCCAACCGTTCAGAATGTCTCACCACCATCACCGCATCCTCGTATGGTTCTCTCAATATCTGTGCCAAGAAGTGTCTCATGACGTAGCAGCTTCTTCACAAAAAATCCTGAGTGGTTTAGTTCCCGCCCCATACGACAACACAGTAACTTCAATATCGCAACTTAAATCTGCAGATACGATAAAACACAAAAGCACCAGAAAGTCTAAGCGGAGCCCCCATCTCACGGTAATCAGATTCCGTGCCCACTCTTCATATCGGCAAACCAATTGCACGGGTCCCTAATCGATCCAGGCCACCCAGCTACCCATGAGCTTGTGCAGCTCTTTTAAAAATTCGGCTTTGGCCTTCCGTGGCTTCGTTCTGAGCTGCTGCCATGGCCCCTCCTCCATACCTAGAGAAATCCCGATCTTGTTATGCACGCCGACGATGGGGCAGAACATGTCTACGGGTAGATACTAGTTATTTCAGCATCCTGCAACCTTCCTTTTCTTGGTAGAAATGGTAGCCATGGTTTTTGCCATTTTTGTGAGAGATAAAGCACAGTCGATGAACACTATAGAGGACAATGCTGCGCAGCTACTGCTATGGAAATTTGATCTACACACTTTTGCAGTGACCCCCTGCGTCTGTCAAAAGGAGAGGCCAGCCCAAAAGATTAAAGATTACAAGTCAGTACATAAGTTTAGAAATAACGAAATGGGTGTATAGTCATAGGTAATTGGAGATAGGTAATTGGAGATCTAGGAATAATTGTTCCGGATCTTCTTTCTATTTATATTTATTATTCAATATATAGTCTCATATGACCAAGCCATTACGGCATCATACTATTCTTATACTATTCTTCCTCTTGTATATGTAATGTTGTATGTAAAGGCGTCTAAAGTAAGTCTTGTATCTTCTCGACCAGAAGATCTGATAGCGTTTCCACCACATTGCTGGTGTCACTTCCGGCTCGGGCTTCAAAGACACAGTCTAGAACCGTCTTGACTCCAACAGCCACCGACTCCGATCCTGTACGCTCTTGGATAAGATTGATAGTCTGGTTGACATCTGCCGAGTTCAAAACTCTGGATTCATGGAGGACAACAGCCAGTTCGCGTAGGTTTGAAACTGCGGGCACAGCTACCTTTTTAGCGAAATCTTGGTCCACCTCGAGCATCTTGAGCACCGAGGCCTTTGATGTTGTGACGAAAATAAGGAGTCGATGTCCCTGTCGATGAATATTAGCCAATAGAACTTCCTACGGAATTCAGATGATATGATTCATTTTCTTACCTTGGGGGGCTTTGACACGATGAGTGTAGTCAGGGCTTCGAGCATGACATTAGAAAATCGCGGTCCGATCGGATTCCAGCCAATCAACCGCTCAAAATCGTCAAGAATGAGGATACTGGACGGCGATTTGTAGGCATCCGCAAAGGCCTTGTGAACGTAGTCCTTCTTGGCAAATTCATCTCGATAGCCCACGAGGTCAGCCGGCGTCACGAGCTTAACAAAGGGAAATCCGGATTGCATAGCAATATGCGCCGCCAAAGCTGTCTTTCCGGAGGATCTTGGGCCATGGAAGAGCACAGACGTGCTGAATTTGTTGGGGTCTTCTTTGATCATGCCCACAACACGCATCATCTCCTGAATAGTAGGATCGATGTGCGGGCCGTAAGGAATGATGCCCAATCTAACCGCTTCATCAAGTTCCGCCTCAGACACTCCGTAGGCGGGACGAACTTCGGTCAAGGCGTTCATAAAGTCATCACGGTTTACCCTCATATTCGCAACGTCATTCTTCACTGCCGCAAGCTGTCCCACTTCTGTATGTCGTGAGAAGGCAAAGGAAGCTGCTGCTTTGACAAGACCATTGATTTCGGCACCGGAATAGTTCTTGGTGAGGGCTGCCAGCTCCTCAAAGTTGACATTCGGGTCCAAGATGCCGTTGGTGCTCATTTTTGAGGTGTGAATCTTGAGGATTTCCAGTCGTCCTTCTTCATCAGGAAGAGATATTTCGAGATGCACCTCAAGACGGCCAGGTCGCAGAAGGGCATCGTCGATCATGTCCTTTCGGTTGGTCATTCCAATCAAAAGAATATTGTTCAATTGGTCGACACCGTCTAGCTTCGATAGAAGCTGGTTGACAACACTGTCACCGACACCAGTGCCACCGCCAGCTCCAGATCCACGCTGCTTACAGACAGCATCCAACTCATCAAAGATGATAATGTGGAGGCCACTCTCATCTCCCTTTTCCTTGTATTCTTTTTCGGCATCCGCAAAGAGCTTTCGAATATTCTCTTCGGACTGACCAACATATTTGTTCAATACTTCAGGACCGTTGATGACCTTGGGTGGCCTGGCGTTGAGCATGTGACCAATCTGTCTCGCAATCAACGTCTTTCCCGTTCCAGGAGGGCCATAGAGAAGCATTCCCCTGACGTGTGGGATGCCCATTTTGGCAACCAAGCCAGGCGGGAAGACACGAGATGCAAATGCACGACGGAAGATGGTAGAAAACTCATCTCCCAAGCCACCAATTCCCATGTCCTCGAATTTGAAATCAGGGGCCAGGATGGCATTTGAGTTTGGCTTTGTAGCAGATGGCTTGAGGTTGAAATCTCCCTTTGCATCGCGGTGGAATAGAACCCGGGTCTGGTTGGTCAGGATACCTCGAGCATGAGCTTCCCGCTGAATCTTTTTGCCTGTGTCATCTGCCGTGGACAAGTCGACCAAGCCAACGGTCTTGACGACGATCATGAGTGGGACATTCCGAACATCCATGAGGATTCTCTGCCCAGGGGAAAGGACCTGATTTTGGAAAGTATTGAGAAAGATTTTGTTCAATTCGTCTTCGTCGTAAGGAGCTTCAGTCTTCTTCGTCGGGGAAGCGAACCCAATCTCTAAATCTAAAGAGCCCAAGTATGCCTTGCCGCCAGACGCAAAAGGATCATAGACCTCGCCGGTGAAGACGTCTCTCATAGCAACGCCACACCATGTACGCTGGGGGTCAGACAAGCTGATGCAGCCTCGCGGGAATCCGGGGATGGGCGTGGCGGTAACGACAAACTCGCCAGGAGGCTGGCCAGCGCGGAGGAGGATATAGTAGTCGGAGCGGTCTGGTTTGGGAGGGAAGTCTTCGGCAGAAACAGCACAACTAGCCCAGCATGTTAGAGGGCATTCGCATCTTGGAATGAATTGTATAGCATCACTTACACGTTTCCGTAGATAAGTCTTGACTGCAGAGTCTTGTCCGCAACCTTCTCGACTTGCAATTGGACTACTCGGCCGCCGCCGGACGGCCCCTTCTCGCCCATTCGCGACCTGCCCGGCGAGCTGGGTCCGCCGTATCCTGCTTGAGGCGCACCTGGATAGGGCTGATATGAGCCTGAAGAAGGCGGTCGCTGGCCTTGGCCTGGGGGAACTCGAGGATTGCCTCCTGGCAGTCCCATGCCGCCAAACATGGAACGACCGGGGTTACCGCCTGGAGGGGCTCGAGACATGGTCGCAGAAGGTTTCGATGCGATCTATTAGGAAATGGTTGATATGAAGCGACTCTGTTGCTGCATTCCAAATCTCTAATCAGAAGAAAAAGGCCAAATCGTGTGTAGTCGCGAGTATGAGTGGAAAAAGAAAGAAGAGAGATGTTGAATGTTGAAACAGCACTGGGTGATGCGTAACGGTCAACGTAACGCCAAAGAAGCCATGCTGGAGCTTGGTGGCGGGGCGCCATGTGGCCTCATTGGGGTTAGTGGTAGTGTCATCGCCGTCACTTGGCCCCACGTTCCTGCTTCTCGTGGCCTTATCAAAGGACTTATGAGATGCAGACAAGTAGAGTGGCGATCACAAGCTTCGTTGGTTGTTAGAAACGCAGCATTTACAAGATCCAATATGCCACTGTACGTATCCGCACATTTTTTCCGGATTTATGACTTAGGTATCTAACATGGTTATGAATGCAGTCATCTGCTAGGGAAAAAGTCATGGAACGTCTACAATGCCGACAACGTCGCGCGCGTCCGAAGAGATGAGGCAGCCGCCAAAGCCGCGGAGCAAGCTGAGGAACAGCGCATGCAAGAAGTCGACGCCCAAAGGCGATTAGCAATTCTGCGTGGCGAGGTACCACCGCCCATAGAAGACGAACGCGAAGCCGAATCGGACATTGTGAAAGACGCTTCTAGTGATGCGCGATCGAAATTCCCTAGTAGCAGTCGCAAGAAGAGGAAACGGCCCGGGGAGGACGATACCGAGTTCGAGCTACGCCTAGCAAAGGAGAGGAACGATGCGACCTATGCAACCGTGGAGTCCGGCCGCAAGCCGGTAAGCGCAGCCCCGATAGTCGACCATGCCGGACACATCGACCTCTTTGGTGACGAGCGGGCGAGAGCGCATGCAGAGAAGAACCCGGAGGCAGAAGCGGACAGGAAGAAGAAAGAGCGAGAATATGAAGACCAGTATACGATGCGATTTTCCAACGCAGCTGGCAAAGATGGAACCAACCAACCATGGTACTCGCATGGCGAAGGAGTCGCTCCAGATGTCTCCGCAAAGAACGTTTGGGGACGAGACGATCCGGACCGCAAGTCTCGCGACACTCAGCGAATCACTTCCACTGACCCGCTAGCTATGATGAAGAAGGGAGCCATGCAAGTTAGGGAGTTGAAAAAAGAGCGCAGAAAAATACAAGAAGAGAGGGATGAGGAACTCAGACAGCTGCGCAAAGAAAGCCACCGGGATAGATATAGAGATAGGCGTTCGGAAAGAGAAGAACGAGAACATGAGCGCTATTCAGATTCCAAGAAGCATAATTCGAGGAGGACGCGATCAAAAGATCAAGATTCGGATTCACGAGGACGCTCTGATGAACGTCGTAAGAGAAGGAGGCACAAAGAGGAGGACCGGCGGAAGAGGCATCGCGACTCACGATCGCGCTCACCAGATCGGAGGCGGCACCAGCATGGACTCGATGAAAAGTGAGATTGGCTGGGCAGATTAGCTGACTGTAAGGGGGGGTCGAGGAAGTATACCAAATGTTAAATAATGAATTATGATGATTATACCGTTATACAAAATTCTTTCGCTATTCAAATATACAAACCGCATCCCAACACGGGCATGATTCCAGATTCAAGGATTCTCCTTCCAGGGGAGCTGTATTTCAACCGGCTTCATATCCTGCGCGACCATGTCCACCAGCACCTTTGCATCCAATTTCCTCAACGCCTCGTCAATCTTCCGATACGTCGCCTCACTCAACCCTTCCCTTCGATCACTGTAAATATCCAACCCTTCCTTCGTAAACAGCGTCGGCGCAAACCACGTCACAGCCCACCTCTCTGTCTCGCTATCCGCCGACTTTTCTTCGCCAGACCCGAGAACCTCCCAGTGGCTGCTCACGAAGAAGAGCCACTTCTTGCCGCGCCAGTCCCAGCCGCCGCCGTCGGGGCTTTGCGTGTCTATGCCGGCGACGGACTTGACCACGCCGGCCTGGTTGCTGGGCTCGTACTCGACCAAATCGTCGATGCGCGCGCGACCGTCTGGTTTGGGCGGCAGAGCCTTGTAGGTGATGCGCACGTTACGCGCTGTGCGCCACATGGAGAGGGTTGAGTGCGTGACGGTCCATGTTCTTATGAACCACTCGATGGGCGTTGTGGTTTGTGTAGCGGGCTCGGACTTGGTAGGGGAGTATTTGGATGGCAGCGTGAGCTGAATTGTAGGATTTGAGGCTTCCATTGGATTGAATAAGGCTGGATGTGTAAGTGTTTGGTATCGGAATTGAACAGAAGATGAATTGTCTAATGAGATCCCAGCAAGGGATGTGTAATCTATGACGGCGTTTCATTTAAGAGCAAGCATTGTAGGTGAGTACCCATGTATGTATGTTGTGGTCTAAGTGGTGGGTTGGCAGATACACGCAAATCCAAATGAAAGTGACGCACCGCTTCACAAACACAGCCGGCAGCTCATACAAGCATGCTTATTGTCTACATTCCTACCTGCACTAAACATAGGAAATTTACTCGTAAATCGCTTTGGAATAGTATCTGCATGCGACAAAAGAAAGACGCCGTTCTAGCACTACGACGTTCTCCAGGGTAGCTGCTTCTCGTCATCTCACCGATCAGACATGTATGGCCCCGCTTTACACAAAGTACCAAATCTCTATTGGAGGCTGAAAAGTGTCCACGACGCGTGACCTTGGATTGCAGCAAAGATTGAACCTACCGCGAGCTTCTCACTAACCGTGGCATGAAGCAAAGTCTCATTTGAAAGACATCAATTCGCCTTTAATATCCGCTTCCACAGGCAAACTACACTGCTCAACCGCGATTTCCTTCATTTTCGTCTTACACAGCGTCGTCAGTTTTCACATCCAGCTAGAATGGACATGCCCCTGGATGACGACGCCATGGCCCAGGCCATGGGCTTCTCATCTTTCGGCCACCAAAACCGGCCCCAGAAGCGCAAATACAACCCTCACGCCGACGCAGTCATCAGCTCAGACTCCAAGACCGCCCAGCGCGCGGCCAAGCCCTCTGCTACGGGCTCGAATTCCACGCCTCTCGGCGTGCCCAGCAGCAAGCCCAGTCAGGCCGCTGCTAATGCGGATGAGATTGACCTGGACGACGAGGATGAAGACGGGGCTGGCAATGCTGATGACGACGATATCGCATCAAATACAGCAGCCGGCGTTCCTGAATCTGCAGCGACCGCGGCGGCGTTAGTGCGCCCTCATGGGTTACCAGAGCGCCCCGTTCCAGGGACCGGGTTCATTGGGTCATCGGGCGGTCATGGACACCAGGACGGCTCACGGCATGACATCTGGTACGATGGATATTACGACCCCAAGTCGAATGAGAACCCATGGAGACGGCTGGAGGGATCCAAAGGCCTGCAGTCCGTGGGCTCATGGCTCCCCTAGAGGGTCATTAAGCAAGTGCTTCAATACGAAGTCAGTCAGCTTTCCCAGTACGGAGTACGGACGCTATATCGATTTTGACTTTGAATCAACTGCATTTGAATCAGCTCCAACAGCCCAGGAGGACCCGTTCAGCAAGGATTACTTACAGAATATTGGTGTATCGCACATATCTCGGGCGCCCTGGTTTTGCGGGCCTAGCTTGGAGTTTATTGTTCCCATCCTGCCTGTCATCCTATCATTCAACCAAGTTTCGACAGTCACGTGATATCTTCAACTAAGACAGATGAAGCCTTCAACCACTAGGATTTCTCATACTCGTGATGAGATGACGACAGGTCTTTTGCTTCGGGCCGATGATGGCTTCAGTATCTACGCTGGGACGGTCTGGCCTATTACAGATGGCTACGACACTGCGTACGCGTACGAGGGATACGGGACATCATCACGCCTTGGGCAACTGGCCGAATGGGGCCTTCATCACGTCTTTCAAGACCGCAAAGGACATTTTATTGCCTACAAAAGCTTACAAACGTTCTCATGATCTAGCGATAGACTCCCGGGTGTCCAAAGAAACGCCAATGACGCCAAATAGAGTAGTACCTCCTTGCCTTCAGTTCCCGCCGATACCCAATGCAGCAATATTTCATCCCCAATAGGAAAGGCGCCCTCATATACGCTCACATCTCTCTGACTCTGCTCGTTTGCTCGCTCGAGGCCATCACACGCCCCCGGTGGAGAAGGAGGTCCAGGATGGCCCGGGGACCCTGTAGCCCTCGTGGCTGGCACGAGATCGCCGGTTCGATCCCCCGATCTTCCTGCAGCCTTTCAGAGAAGGAGTGTACATTTCGGCCCTCTGCTTCTGCCAGTTGTCACATATTACCCAATCATAAATCATCATAGTCGTAAGTTTGCCATTCTCACCCCCACACCGTCACAGCGCCAAAACGGGGCTCGAGGTGGGTAGAACCGCCCGGTCGTAGGGCTGGTAAAGCAGCGGGAGATCTGGCATCAGACCCTGCAATGCAAGATTGCCGCGCGGTTCGCGCCAATTTCAACGTCAGTTCATGCCAGTGAGCGGACGCTTCCACAGCTGAAATTGCCCAGGATAGAGTAATATGTCGCCGAAAAAGGTGTAAACTTGTGGTCGTGTATATAGCCGTTAAAGCTGAAAAATGAAGGAAATCGCTTTTCTGAAACGCCTCAAAACCCGAATATTGATGAGAAAAAAAAGGAGAGAGAAAAAGGCTGCAGTTTGATGCTTCTTAGTTGTACTCGGGAGAAGGAAAGCGTTGGCGAGCTTTCGTGTACTCCTTGGGGTGCTTTCGCGCAGCCTTTGCGTTCAGAGCGCTGGTTATTGGCAGAGAAATTAGCTATTGTCCTCCCAAATAAAGAAGAGCTATTAATTCTGATCGATTTCTGCGGCTCCGTTGCCGCAATGGGAAAATTTCGAGTCTCACTAATAAGAGGGAAGCAAAAAAGGGGGGTAAACAACTTACGAAACTTTCTTCTGGGTCCACTCAAGGTCGTTGCGGACTTCTCGCGCATCGCGCATTCCTTCGGAGAAGCGTTCACGAGTTCTCGCAAGGCGGGCCTGAGCTTGCTTCTGCAGCTCCAGGAGCTCGCGGTGCTTGGCATTGAGTTTGCCGGAACTAATTTACGAGAAACCAATTTAGTTCGATTCTGCCCAATGTAGGTATTTGTTCAAAGAGGCCATGTTGAACAACCAACGGACGCCTCTTTGAACTGTACAAGAAAACAATGTGCGAGATCACATGCGGGTTCGTTCGGGTACTTACGTCTGTGCCTGGACGGCCATGCTCCGATCAAGAGGGATCGGGTCAAAGGAGTTAGAGAAGCGGTCTTGCATATACTCTTGGAAATCGACGCCGCTAGCGGAGCCGGTGCTTTCGTAGTCGCCACTAGAGCTACCGACGTAGCCCGCAGAGGTAGCTGAGTAGCCAGAGGGAACACCAGAGGCGGCGCTCATGGTCTCATCGCTTTCTGGGGGAGAGCCCGAGTATTGGCTGTAAGTGGGGTATTGGGTGGCCTTTGAGGGAACAGCCATGGGCATAGCAGATGTTTGGAATGGGCCAGACATTGTGGATTGTTGAGATGGTTGAAGCTTGTTTAGGAAAGGTGATGAAGTAGAGAAGTGTCCAAGTGTTGTGGCAGGTGTAAGGCGGCTTGGTAAAGTGTTGAAGTCGAAGACTGCTGTCTTATTTTTCAATAATATAGTATATAAACTTGTCAAGACGAGTGAAGAGTGCTGGAGAAGAGTGATACGAAAGGAAGAAGAAAGTTCAAGCTCAACCTGAACACAATGGCTCCTTTTATACTTTTTCAAGACCCTCCCCGGTCACGTCGACCCAGTCAAAGGGATAACACAGCATGTCTTCATTCGCCAGGGGGCCGACTATCCTCGACCCCGCCGGTGGTGAATACCTAGTAGGCAGACGAGCATGAAGCAATGGCGCTATCGCGGACGAAGACGACGACCATGGAGACTTGCAGCGTGTAAGCCGAGGGAGTACCTGGCCAGGGGGGGGAGGCGTGGCTGTGGACCAAGAATCCTGTATATAGGCCGAGTAACGCATTAACCCAGGCTGCCATGGCCCAATTCAACCAACCAGAATAAGGAATTGAGAGGCAAAAAGGTGAAAGAGACGGGGTAGGGTGGCAATAGAGACAACAACATGAACTCGATGAGGTAAAAGGCATTACTATATGGTGCGGTGGTGCAATGCTGAGAAACAGCTTGGAACTAGACCGAGTACCGCTCCGGGTTCGAAAAGAGAGAAAGAAAAAAAGGACACTAGAGGTTTGTCCATACCCGCATATGCCGGGAAGAGGCAAAGGCTGCAAAGACCCCGATCAGTGGAGCCAATGCCATTGTTAGATTAGACGCGGTGTGTATAAGTGGGAAAACCGAGCATATCGAAATCCAAAGAGCGGCGTTGCCAAGGAAGGGGTCGGGGATGGGTGTGGGACGGAGCACGGAGCGTCATGACGGAGAGTCAACCTGAGCGTGGGATATACTACACTGTACAAGTGGACTATTTACGTGCAGTAAGAGAAAAAAGGCCATGGCCGGATAAGTGTCCCTGGCCAGGCAAGGTAGAAAAGGGTGGCAGCACTAAGCATCTGGGTCCAACAACAACAAGGAACCGATGGAGACAGACACACCGGGCTCTCATATGGGGTCATCAAAGAAGGGCATGTTCTTTGCCTACGCGAGGCAGAATGCGTGCTAGACCATCTACATGTGCTTTAGACACGGCCAGGATAAGGCAGTGGAGAGGCGGGCGGGCTGTCTGCAGGCTGAGGACACGCCATGCCGTAGAGTGAAGGTATGAGATGGGAAGCAAAGAATTGAAGGCACGGCGAAGAGGGTGGATCACCGAGCTACGTGCCTAGGTACCTTATGGTTCAAGCGGCTCTGGGTGTTAGCCGGTGTGCACTGCAACATTAGCTGGGAGTAAGAGAAGTAAAAGAGTCGAGTCAAAAAGGCCTTGTTTGTTGAACAAGCGCGGTGACGCTAGGCCGACGCGAAAAAGAAAAAAGAGGAAAAGGCGTCTAGTGTGCCAAAAGCAGCGCTGGATTTCTGTCTTGCCCCTGCGCATACCGAAAGTTTGATGGTTGGCTGCTTTTTTCCACGACGCCACGAGGGACCCATCCGGAGACCAGCGTCAGTGGCATCTTTTGCTTGGCCCTGGCGCGATGCAGAAAGAAGAGCGGCGGACTGCAGGACGATCTAGGCAAGGCGTGGCAGCGGGTCAGGTAGGAGTGCAGCACCTTTTTTTTTTTTTTTTTTTTTTTTTTTTTTTTTAAATTTTTTTTTTTTTTTTTTTTTTTTTTTTTTTTTTGAAATCTTTTTTTTTTTTTGTTGCTTGCTACTCTTGTCTTCGTTCGGCTCCGCGCTTCTTTTTGGCTGAGGTGGTGGTGATGCGTTGTCAAGATATCCGCCAGAACATGTTCCGAAAGGGACAAGATTGATGCGGGTGGGAGTGGCTGCAGTAAGACAAAAGGCGCTGCCCCAGTGTTACCACCAGAGATGTACCTACCAGACGTTATATTCTGGTTCTGATATTCATGGGTAACGCTAATTGCATTTTGTTTGATGATATTGGTTGGACCTCATACAGCACGACTTGATGAACAAGATTGAATAATTCTTAGCCGGAATAGATCCCCATTGGACCTTTTCCCCCAAGATTCCTCTGATGCAGAAGCAGCTACATGCATCCTTTGAACGCTACCTCACCTACCTTGTGCTTCTGCCGGCATTGGCAAATACGATATGCAGCTTACAGGCGTTATTGCGCCGCGCATCCCTTGCCTCAGGTGGTGCTGGCTGCCATGTACGGGCATGCATGGGGTACTGGGGAAGAAGGGAAGTGTTGATTAATTGCAAAGTGCAATTTACTTTTGATACGTTTAGTAGTAAATGCTTATTCATTTATCGATTAGGTAAATGTATAGCATCATGAGCATCATGACTGCTCACCGCCAAGTGGAATATCTTCCACAGCACCCAAATGTGAGCACAACTTACACAACTTTTTTGACCGATCCTAGCCCAGGCCACCTGAACGCAAAAATGCTAGTGGCAGGCTTTCCCTTCTCTACCAGCGCCGCTTCCTTTTTGGCCAACACCCATCTTGGGTTGCACTCAGGCTCCGGACCCCGCCGCCCTCTCACTGGACATTAAGGACCGACGACAATTCAGCCCAGCCGAACCTAATTCGCTCAGGCCCTTTTGGCATGGCCGCGCTGACGGCCATTGGCTGAAAATGGGTCATCAAAACGCGTCTTGATGGAAATCGGTGAAAATGATGGTCGTGATGGCCTTGCCCCTCCCCCGCTATGGCATACCCGGAGCTCTTCTCATGGGCCAGACCGGCATTGCAGCGTCGCCCGGAACCAGTCGAGAATCGTCGTCCACGTCAGATATTGTGTCAAAAGTTGCCACGTCCAATAGACGAAGAGCGAACATCTTCGTCATGGCATAGCCGGTAGTCCTTGGTTCTCCCCCCCCGGCCGACGCCTGTGCGTTACACCAACCTATCTGCCTGCCTGTCCTGTGGAGATGAGAAGTGGATTCGCATGAGTTCGTCTGCTCCAAGTTGCTTTTCGGTGTGTGTGTGTGTGTGTGTGTGTGTGTGCAGGGGGTTGCCAGTCGAGCTGCAGCTCCAGCGCATCGAGCAAGCAAGCCAGCCAGCCTACTACTTTTACATACACTCTTGTACGGGTAATGGCGTGGACGCCGCGGATGGGGGCCGCTCCCTAAGAGCCCAATGGAAGCAGAGGCCCCTAGCCCAAGATTCCCGAGATATCATCATTCATCCGCCGCCGGGTGAACGCAGCATGCACGCCCGACGCGCCCCGGCTATCCCCTGCAGCGCCGCTTGGAGCAGACATCACGCTCTGCCATGCTGCAGCAGTAGGTACCCATGGATGTTACACATGGACGGGTTTACTACCAGGCGGACTCACTTGCTGGCTGTGATAGCACTTACGAGGCATGAGCCATGAGGCATCAGTATACAGTGATACCTGGTAGTGCTTGACAATGGAGGTGCGGATGTGAATATCTAAAGCCGGGGCTCAGCTGTCGGACGTCCGATGCATTGATGGCTTGATAGGCCATTACTCATGTAAACAATTTTACACATGGCCACGAGAATGCTTGGCACAAAGTGAATCTGGAACATAGTGTCTGGGTGAGACAAAGCAGTGACCAATTGACTTGGTACTCATCATAGGCGCACATCACGACGCATATCGCAGATGACTTGACACGTATAACGCTGACACTCGGCGGTCCGTTGCTACGTGCATTTGTATACACAAGGACTCTTGTCAGTCAGTTACACCATCCTCTCGGCACGGCTCAATGAAGGCACCTTTGCGCCTTATGGTGGGCTTTGGTTGCCTTTCAAGTATCAAGTTTCAAGTAGATGGGAAATGAATTTGGCTCCAAAAAAAGCCACGCTAATCAGGGCCAATGGCTCTATTGTGCATGAATGTGGCTTGTCGAGATAGATCATTGCCTGACAAAAGTTGGCCATGGAGATGGCAATTGAGTTTTTCTATGCATCAGGCTGCGGGCTTATACCAAAGCACGTCGGCCGACGACCTGGAAAAGATGCCGCTAGATGATTCTAATTTGCTCATAGCGTCTACTAGTAATGAACTTAAGACAAGTCGGGGTCTTCCTCCTAAAGAAATGTAAAAAGACAAATTGATGCCGTTGTAAGGAGCGTATAAGGCAACGAGTGATGTCTCGAGATACGTACCTACTTGAATACATCATCACAGGCCACGGCCGTGCAAATCCATGGAGAAGATCAAGTCGCTTAACACGACAAGGGTCTGCTAAGGCGCCACTCTAGGACATCTTCAAAACCAGCCGGAAAGGGGAAGAAATGGAGTTGCAGTCTGTACTTGTGGTAGCTCTACCCTCCCTCCCGCACGCCCCCTCCTCAAAGCTCCAGGAGCCTCTCCCGAAAGCCTGGTAAGAAGTATGTGTTGTCAATGGCAAGCGGGGATAGTGCCATTGACCAGGGGCCGACGTTGCAAGAATGATACGGTGGTAACAGGCAAGATGAACTGGAAAAGCACTAGGGAAGGCTGAAAAAAAAAAAAAAAAAGGGCCAAAGATGAGAAAGTCTGAAGAGAGACAGAGGGAGGATTGTATGAAGCATGTCGATTATTAAGGAGAAGAAGAAGAAAAAAAAAAAGAGAACTGACATTTTGGGCAAGAGAAAGGTAGAAGAGAAGAATTCCGAAAAAGAAAAGATCGCCCAATGCCTTTGTGCATTACAATTGAAGTTGTCAATGGCTAATACGCACCCCCTCCCTCTAAGCAGCCAACAGGACAACGCATCAAAGGATTTCAAAGCCAGCATGCCATACTCGACAAAAACTACGTAGTAAAGAAATAAGAAAATAAAAGAGAATTTTTAATTTTTTTTTTTTTTTTTTTTTAAAAAAAAAGAAACTCGCATTGCGTGTTAACCTGACAAGGAAGGAAAATCGCGAGGGAGCACAAAAAGCCGGACCACCACCATAATTTTTCTCTCTCGTTCGAGGCCGCTGTTTCTGTGCACGCTGAGCTGGCAGCGTCCCCCCCACTTCCGCCATGTCTGTCTGGCTTGTCAGACTCGCTTTTTTTCCGCGAGCAGAGGGATGGGACGGGACGCGGATGGCTTGCGGGGAGACGGCTGGTTATCATTATCATTTCTTTTTTAATAAGGAGAATATCAGTTTTCTTATCAAGTGGCAATCATAGAGGTGGAATGGGAAAACAGCACGGGGTGGACTACTAGGCATTTGAAGCTTCGAGACGTCCATGGTGGAAAAGCAACAGTTTATTGGGCAGTGGTGCTCTACGCAAAAAAAAAAAAAAGGTAAAAAAGCACTTGTTGGGTATAACCATTTGAAAAAAGCCCAAGAATACACTTGACCTAACATTATTTCGTGACGCCGGCAATTCTAGGTGCTAGGCCTAGCTTTCTCGGACCTTCACTCATGCATGTGCTACCTACTTCATCAATGGGCATCAGTGCAGCTGCTGTGACTTGATATCTGCACGACATCACCGCAGCATGAGGGAATAGTAGTACTACTGCTGCACGACTACTAGCACTACATAGGTACTCGTATGGTGTGCATGTGAGCCGGGCAATTTTTTCTTTGATTTCTGCTGCAAGCCGGCTAGTTGCATGCCTATGCAGCCCAAGCAATCAAGGGCGGCCGCTCTGTTTTGTGAGTATTGAGCTCCTTGAGCATCCGTGCCTGCTTCTCTACACGACCGAAAATCCGACAAGAAAACACTTTTTATGTAAACCGGTTCTTATGGAAACAGAATCTGGAATATACGATTTACTCTTACGCTATGGCCCAAATTACTGGTGAGATTGGTGCTCTTGAATATGTTGGATTAGGTGTCTATCTACTCTATCTGAAGTGCCTAGCAGCTGTAAACAATCTACCTGCTCAGCGCAGCCGGCTAGTAAACAATTGGAAACCAAGTATCAGAATCCCAGACCGTCGTGATATAGAACAATAAAGCCTTACAAGTGGAGAATGTTGCGTTATATAAAAGGGGACGAAAGATGTAACCCTACAAATATGTAGTATTATGAAACAGATGAGCAATAACAAAACAAAAAAAATAAAAGGGTAAAGAAGCCGCCTTCTATACACATAAAATGTACCTAGCCAAACAGTTTAAGGAATCCCCAGATGCCGAGTCCGCTAAGCACTGGGATCGTCAGGTTATCGTCCCATCCGAACAGGTCAGCCACTTCACTGGCCGAAGCGACAAAGCCAGACCAGACGCTCATGATGCCCAAAGCTACAGGGCCAGAGACAGAGCTCAAGTTCTCTGGCAGGCCGACTGCCTCGGTAAATGCCTGTGGCAGAGAGAGAGTACCCGTGAACATGAAGTTCTCGTCGCCGGGCATGGGTCCGATGGTGGGGACGAGCCATCCGTACCAGAGGTAGGAAGTGGCCACGCCAACAAGGAAGGCGGCCAGCGATCCAGCGAGGGACTTGCCGCGGCGTAGTCTCGGGGTATATTTTCCCCAGAGTCGGCCGAATGTGCTGGCGGCGGTATCGCACCAGCTGAGCAGCAGGACGCCGATGACGCCAACGTCCTTGGGGAAGAAGTAGAGAGTGATCCATGCGCCGAGGAGGTAGAAGATGACGCCGTTCCACCCCGCGTACTCGCTTTCCCGCATAAGGGCGCCGAGCACCTTGACATAGAGCCGGTTGAAGGAAGCGTATCGGTGCCGCAGCCAGTCGACCGTTGTGATTGGGATCAACGCGCTCATCAGATATGGCGGCACGGCGCTGGTCTGGGTGCCGGAGCTGTAGAGCCAGACGACGAAGAAGCCGATGGAAACGTGGAGGACTTTGCGCGGGACCTCATGCTTGTGCACAAACGTCCGCCAGTGTCGGTGGATTGGGATAAGGCCTAGAGGACTGGGGCTCCGGCTGAAGTCGCGCCAGCTCCATCCCGTCGGGGTCGCAGGCAGAGGAGGCGCCAAGTGACCGTTCGTGGTGGCCAGTCTGGTGGCGGTAGTGGTCGCCATGATGCCGTCCAGCTCAGGCTTTTGCGATGTCGAGGTTTTGGAAGTCTTGGGTGTCATGCGAGGGACACCGCGGGTGTCGATGGGCGAGCGGCTTCTTGTACGGGATCTCCGGATGCCGGAAGCACTATCGAGGTCCTCCTCATCGCTCAGCTCCTCCACCGCCTGCTGCGTCGGGGCCTTTCTTCGACTCCGGGTCATTGGGCCCACGTAATCCTGCACGTCTCGTTCTGACGGGGTCGGGCTCGGCGAGATGATGCGAGGCGTGTCCGGGACGCGGCGGGCGCCCGACTGGCGACGGAGCGACATGGTGAAGGTCGCGGGAGGCAGCGCAGGGCAGTAGACGGCACCTACGACGAGGCGGCGCAGCGATTCAAAGCCCGAGGGCCACAGGGACCAATGGTGTTGTGCGTCGTCTCTGTCCCGGCGCGAGAGGCGCGGTGCGGCGATGCTGCTGTGGCTGCTGCTTCTACTTCTGCTGCGGCTTCTGTCGTCGCTGGTGCTGCACGGGCTGAAGAGCTCAAACAGACTGCGGCCGCTGCTGTGCGATGACGAGGGGCTGACAGGGGACAGATTGACGGGGCGAGTTGGGGTCTCCAGGATGAATGAGGGTTTAGCAGCGATGCGGTAGAGGCCAGGTCCTCTGCCACATAGTGCGCTTCGAAAAGAATAGAAAGGAAGAGGGGGGGGAAAGAGGTCAAGTAAGGCTTGGACGCCAATTATTCTGATTTGTCGTTCAGCATAAAGAGATAAAGCATCAGGCGGGATAAACCTGTGTTTCGTGTCGTCGTGGGCGAAGCCTTAGGCTGTGTGTTTTTACATTCGTACATGAAAAGCTATAGCCGTCCTATCAAAGGCGAGGTTTTTTTTTCTGCCTCCCCCGTCATATGCATGCAGCCTCACCAAAAAGAGTACTGCCACACAAAGTCACTTCGGCTGTGTCGTGTGCTTTTTTCTTCTTCGGACGTGGCGCCGCCGCTTCTGCTAGGCAAACTTGTTCAAACGGGCAGCATGTGACCCGCCAATCTGATCATTTCGTGCTAGAAAGAGAGAATTTGCGCCACGTCCCGGACGTCATCCGGGGGTCCTCTTTGTTGGGGCCGCGATTTGCGTTTTTGTTGGACTTTCACGTGCCGATTTTGGTCTTCTGTCGTGCTTTGTTCTTTTTCCTCTTTTTTTCTTTTGGCCGGCAAGGCGGGTTTCGGAGCCGCAAGAGTCCCGCTGTCCAACTTTCGCTTGGAGGAAAATTTCCCTGCATGGCCAGATGCGCGGCTTGCCACTAACGGTTAGGCCGATCAAGGTTTAATGCTCTGAATTTAGTGCCGATATTTTCAAGCTTGTTTCACGTGGTGATAAGATAAGATTTCAAAATAATTTCTGAGATAGCCTCGATCATCACGACGATAACCGTAGTATTGTAGCGCTGGTTAAGCATTTTCCAGCAAATTGAGATATCATGGCTCCTGGAAAAGTTGCTGTGAAGAGGGATCCCAGGGCCTGGGGTGGCTTAACACCCCCATTGGCAGAATGGATCCTTGACGCCGTCTCTAGCATGGGGTTTAAGCAGATGACACCAGTGCAGGCTGCGACTCTGCCTCAGTTTCTGGGGAACAAAGATGTGGTAGTTGAGGTGGGTTTGCTGACATTTTCATTCATTCTCTACACAATTGACTTCTGCTAACCCAATTGGCGATATTGTAGGCTGTTACTGGTAGTGGTAAAACATTAGCCTTCTTGATTCCCATTGTTCAACGATTATTGCGCCTCGCGGAGCCCACAAAGAAGCACCATGTCAGCGCAATCGTCATCTCACCTACCAGAGAGCTCGCCGCCCAGATCCATACAGTCCTCCTCTCCCTCCTCGAGTTTCATGCGCCATCTGCCGAGATCCTACCACACTTAAAAGGCGAAGGCAAGAGGCCTAGCAGCGCAGTGCCTGCCATCGTTCCCCAACTGCTAGTCGGAGGAACCACCACGCCGGCGCAAGATCTTAGCTACTTCGTCCGACACAGCCCGAATCTTCTCATATCCTCCCCAGGCCGTCTTGTTGAGTTGCTGGCCTCGCCCCATGTTCACATCGATCAGACCTTCGAAGCGCTTGTCCTCGATGAGGCTGATCGACTGCTTGATCTCGGCTTCAAGCAGGACCTCCAAACGATTCTTTCACACCTTCCCAAGCAGAGGCGGACGGGCCTATTTAGTGCTAGTGTTAGTGAAGCTGTTGGCGAGATCATTCGAGTGGGTTTGCGCAATCCGGTGAAGATCGAAGTCAAGGTGAAGATGAAGGATGGCGGTGGAATCGTTGAAGACAGAAAAATTCCTGCAAGTCTTCAGATGTCATACCTGATTACTCCGGCTAGCCAGAAGCTGCCATCTCTGGCGCAGTTGCTGGAGCGTCTACCTATACGGCCATTAAAGAGTATTGTCTTTCTGTCTACTTGCGCCGCTGTGGACTACTTTCAACACACTCTTCCTCAGATATTGCCCGAAGGATTCTCGCTGGTACCTCTACATGGCAAGCATCCAGCTAAAGTGCGCGAAAAGAACTTTGGCCGCTTTTTATCCTCGGTCTCTCCTACAATTTTATTAACAACAGACTTGGCCGCTCGCGGTTTGGATATCCCACAGGTTGATTTGGTTGTTCAGATTGATGCGCCATCCGACCCCAAAGTATTCATACATAGAAGTGGAAGAGCTGGTCGTGCAGGCAGAAAAGGTCTGGCTGTGGTTATGCTGCACCCGGGACACGAGGAAGACTACGCCAGATTTCTAGAGATTCGCCAAACTCCAATCACACCACTATTAAAACCTTCAATCTTCGTGACAGAAGATGGAGCCCGAGATGCGACATCAAAATTCCGCACACTACTTCAGTCAGACAGAGCCATCCACGACAAAGCCCAAAAAGCTTTCGTTAGCTGGGTACGAAGTTATGCAGCGCATCAAGCGACGTCCATTTTCAGAGTTAGCGATCTAGATTGGGCGGATCTTGGAAACGCATGGGGGCTTCTTCGCCTGCCCAGGATGCCCGAGCTGAGAACTTGGAGCGGAGACAAGATGCTGGGAGTTGAAATGGACTGGGATGAATTAGCCTACAAGGACAAGGCACGGGAGCAAGCCAGACGAGAGGCCATGGCAGCTGATAAGAGCGGAGAGACAGCAAAGAAGGCTGCTGATGCTAAGCGGAAGAGGAAGAACAACGAGGCCTGGAGCGGAAAGCAAGAGCAGGAAGAGCACCGGACCGAGAGACGCGAGAAGCGGCACAAGAAGACGGAGGCCAAGAAGCTGGCGACGATGACGGATGATGAGAAGGTTAAGCAGGCTGAGCTGAACGACTTGATTCGGAGAGTCAGGGAAGAGAATATGGCGAAAGCAGCAGCAGCAAAGGAGGATGAAGAGTTTGAAGGGTTTGATTAGAGTGCGTAGTAGCGATATCATTCATCTATTAATTAATGCATGCATCCTTTGGCGGGATTTGCCACGTCAATCTGAATTAGGCGTCTCTTTCTTTTCTTTCTTTCTCCCTAGTTTCTATTTCTGTTCTAAATCTTCCTGATATACTATCTTGGTGATATAATTTCGTGTAAACTAAACAAGTCTAACAGCAGTCGAGAATGAATATGAATAGCGCGGATACAACAGCAGCATATACTACTACTACCGCTCGCCTATATTTCTCATAGTGTAAGTGTATCTATATAGCGGCCATCCAATCCGCCTCCCAAGGCCAAGTTTAACCAAACATCGCCTCAACGTCGCCTCTCAAGGCATTGTGGCGACTGAAGCAGAGTCAACTTCCATGCTGAGTAATGGAGCTTATAGCGAACCCCCGAGGAATTAGACGGCCGATATAGCGATTTGGAGCGCCATGCTGACTGCACATTGGTGTGGGGAGCCTACTAGGCGGTACCTATGCTAGCACTTGCAGAGTGCCTGTAACAGTAAGGGCCTGATGTAATGGCGCAGGTACTCCTGCTAAGGCGGTTGGAACGTGGGGTGGACGCGAACTTTCCTTTGGTCGGCTTTTTTTCTCCAATGCGCATGCGCTGCATGGAATTTTTTTTTTTTTCCCTTTTTGAAGTTTGATCAACCATCCACGCTTCACTGCGGAGGTTCTTCCAAACGAAAGGGATTACAATATTGACTTCCTAGCAAAGTCGCAGTGTCCATTGTAGCACGATGTGCGGTGTCTCAGCTATACTGGTAAGTTTTTTTTTTCCCCCGAGCCCGACTCCGGAGCACCGATGAAACTCTGCGACTTAGAAAGCTGCGAGGCGACAACACAGCGACAAAAAGAAAAGAAAAGAAGAGCCACGCTGAAAGCATAACGAGGAGAAACATACTAACAATGGTTACTTAATAGTTGGGTGACCCCAAAGCCACCACGGCTGCGGTCGACCTGCACGAATCCTTATATTTCCTGCAACATGTTAGTTACTCGCTCAACCGCCGTCCCGACCTCTTCTCCCTCGATCGAGCTACTTCGTCGCAACACAACTCCAAAGAATGCTAACGTCAGCAACAGCGAGGACAAGATGCCGCGGGCATTGCCGTGTGCCAGGGCGGAAGAGTCTATCAGTGCAAGGGAAATGGAATGGCCGCAAAGGTGTTTGACGAGGGAAAGCGCACAGTCGATGTAAGTGTCTGAGCTCTATATCTTTTCGCACAGCTGTCTCTGGCAATTATGTCGTTTGTTTGAAACAAAGGCATGAAGGTTCTGGTTCTGGCTGTGCTTTTTTTTTTGTGCCATTGATATCGCGTGGGAAAGGCGAATGCTAATTCATGAGCTTCAAGCTCCCCGGCTTCATGGGGTAAGCTGTACTCCTTGCACCGTAACTGGCTTCGATATGCCTTCGAAGTTTGCGAATCATGCCATTGTACTAACTGTTCTGAATTAGTATTTCCCATCTTCGGTACCCAACTGCGGGCACCGCGTCTGCGTACGCTCGTCTCCTTATCTCTGCGCTCTAGCTCCCAACAAAACGCCAACGCTAACTAAATGCCTGCAGATCCGAAGCGCAACCATTCTTCGTCAATGCCCCGTACGGCCTGTCTATGAGTGTCAATGGAAACCTGGTAAACACACCGGAGCTCGTTAGATTTTTGGACTGTGAGGCTCGAAGACATGTAAACACCGACTCAGATTCAGAACTCTTGTTGGTCAACCTCCTCCTTTGCACCTTGGTTTCATCAGTTGACTTACTCTGTTACCTAGGCTCAACATCTTTGCCCATGGCCTGAGCGAAATTGGCAAGGTCCGAGCGAACGTTGAGGATGTCTTCACCGCGCTGCGAGAAGTATACACGAGATGCCACGGTGCCTTTGCTTGTACTGCCATGATTGCTGGCTTTGGAATCTTGGGCTTCCGCGATGAAAACGGTATCAGGCCGCTCTGCCTGGGATCTCGACCCTCTGAAACGCTTGAAGGTGCTATGGATTACTTTATGGCTTCGGAGTCTATTGCCCTGACCCAACTCGGATTCAAGAACATTGTCGACATCTTGCCTGGACAAGCCGTTTTCATTCCGAAAGGAGGAGATCCCCAGTTCCATCAAGTCGTGGAGAGGAAATCATACACGCCCGACCTTTTCGAATTCATCTACTTTTCAAGGCCGGACAGCACTATTGACGGAATGTCTGTCCACCATACCCGACAGAACATGGGTTACAAGCTGGCAAAGAGGATGAGACAAGTTTTGGGGGAAGAAGAGATTCGCAACATTGACGTTGGTAAGTGATCGAAGTGGTCTCGTTGCTGTGCGAACACAGATAAACAGCTTTTTTTTTCCCCTTCAAATTTTCACCTATGGCTACTGACTTTGTTCTCTGCACAGTCATCCCAATTCCAGAGGTAAATACTTTTCGCTGTCACACAGTTGACGATGCGTCGTTGTTGACTAACATTTTCCTTCTAGACAAGTAACACAGCTGCTGCTACACTTGCTATGGAGTTGGACAAGCCATTTTCCAACGCCTGGATCAAGAATCGATACGTATACCGTACATTTATTGTTCGTTGCCGCCTCTATACGACTACGAGCAGTACATGACTAATCCCTTTGTTTCAACAGGTCCCCGGCCAGAAAGCACGGCAAAAGAGTGTTCGTCGCAAACTCTCGCCTATTGCATCCGAGTTCAAAGACAAAATCGTTTGCATGTACGAAGCAAATTCTACTTCCTGTGATGTAAAGCCTCTGACAAGGAATAATAGGGTCGATGATAGTATTGTACGCGGAACGACCTCTCGCGAGATTGTATGTAACCCCATCTCAACTTGTGTCAGATACACGATGTATTAGCGAGCGAAAAGCTAACCAATTTTACCTTTTCAGGTTCAAATGGCCAGAGAATGCCAGGCCAAGAAGATCATCATTGTGTCTTGTTGTCCAGAGATCACTCATCCTCACGTCGTAAGTGGCCCTGGCTCGGGCTTTCTAGTAGAGCATCTGCTAACACCTTTTCGTTTCTCAGTACGGCATTGATCTTGCCGATCCAATTCGTAAGTATAAGCATAATCGTTCAGAAGACTAGTATCCCATACTAACATACTCGGCTTTTTAGAACTACTCGCCCACGGCAGGACGCTAAAAGAGATGACCGACCTCATCCAGTGTGACACTCTGGTCTTTCAAACGCTTGAGGATCTGAAAGATGCTTGTTTAGAAGCGAAAGACGACAAGAGCGAAGTTAATGATTTCGAAGTTGGTGTCTTTTGCGGCCAATACAAGACCCCGGTGCCCGATGACTACTTCCCGCATGCGAATGGAGTTGACGGGAACAAAAAGAGGAAGAGCGCGGCCATTACAGAAGTAGGGGGAGATTCCGACGCCGTCTTGGTTGCGAGCAGTGGCCCTGTGAACGTCAAACTCCCACGCGGGTCGATGGATGAGGCTGTCCCCAAGGGACCGGAGTACCGAGAAGATGTCAGGTATGTTGATGCTAACAAGTCAATTGAATGTATAATGAGGGGCTAATGATTTCGCAGTATTTATAACTTTGCAAGCAGGTCTTGAGGACGGGCCATATTCATGAGAAGGAAGCGAGGCGGGTTTTTTGTGGATGAAGTATAGATTCAAATGGTTCCTATGTGTTGAAAGACTTGCACAAAATTGTAAGCATTAGGATTGGCAAAGAAAAACTTGGTATAGAATCATAAGCTTCGTAATTTAAAATGCCAAACAAAACATTTAGAGTATAGATATGCCAGCGAGATGTGCAGTTAATAAAGGAAATCTTGTTGCACACATGCGAGATAGTTGCGACTGGATACTGGATCGAAGATTGACATGGAAATTCCATAGTAATTCGAGATTCCAATTGCGGCTTCAAACGGAATTATACGATACGCGTATTGTGCCAGAGCTAGCTCGCCATGTTTGCTGCTAGTGCGAAATAGTCATGCTGCCATATGATGTGTATCTTCCACTAAGAATCGAAGACCCACGCCCGATCTCTGGTAACTCAACGCCTAAATGCTTCGTACCGTCAACCCCTCTTCGATTGCAATGTGGCGGAGCCCTATCATATACATGTATAAAGACTGCCATTTCCCCAGCATTGGACGTCTCGCCAGATCTGTACGCTTGATGCCGTCCTTTTTAACTCTTCTCAACTCTATACCCGTCACGATGCGGAGTTTTACGGAACCTTGGATGTCCAAAGCGCGAATTCGAACTGCGACGCACACCCGCCGCTCCGCTCGATGACGTGGCTCCATCTTCAGGCCAGAGCCAAGATGCAGGCTCCCAGTTTTTTTTTTTCTTTTCCCCTCCAGGCTGCCCGGAATTGTGGAATTCATTATCCCAACTGCCGGATACCGAGGCCGCGGAGCGATAATTCGACTATAGGGGAACTGATTTATCGAATTCACTCGATGCGCGTTTGAACCGTTTTTGTGCTGCGTCTGCTCTGGGTTGGGCATCTCCTGTAGGTGTATATGCGTGCAGTCTCTTTTTGCTTTGCGACACATCACTGTTGCAGGGTATACCTATAATCCGTACTTATTACTCTGATGCTATCGCTATCTCAATAACATTTACAGTAGTACTGACTGTTCAATGCAGCTCAGCCTGTTCTCGGTATCGGATGCTTTTGGCCAATCAAGGTTCCGCGGCGCACGGCTGACTCGGGGGTATGTTATACGTGTTTAGCATTTGCCCCATGCAGCAACTACCTACCTACGGTATGGTAGATATAGTATCCATGGAGATTGACAATTGCCGGAAGACTGGCCTGGGCTGGGTCCACCTCATCTGTGCCAGATGGGCGGGAATCATCTCTCTTCGACGAGGATCTCATCGTTGATAACACCCAGCCGGATATCTGGTCTGCAGCGGTCGATGCGGCTCCTTTTCTCAGTCAGCGGCACCAGAGTCGGACCCCCGGAGTTTTACAAGGCGCGAGAGCACCTTAAAGGCTCCAAGCTGTCAGTTTCGGCCCCTTAGCTCCGCTCCCGAGGGCCCTGTGGCGGAGCAATTGCCTGTGCGGCAGCTACGGCAGCCACGGCCACTTACAGCGAGCGCTTGTACAGGGCCAGTACCTCCGATGGGGCTGCTGTATGCAGCGAATACCCAGGCAGTACCTGCAGCCGGGGCGCCTGTCACCTGCGGTTGATGGTCCTGACCGGTCCCCTAGGCCTGCCATTACACGGAAGGTGCTGTGTTAGTGCGCCAACCTTGCCTTACTTCAGCTCGGGCTGAGCAGAGACAGTTGAACCACAACACCACTCATACACAAACACACCCAGAGCATCCGGGCCTCTGGGTCCGAAATACTTGCTGCTCTCTCTTCTCTCCTTCTTCATCATCCTTTACCTTTTTTTTCACTGCTTTTTCCTGCAATCCTCCCCCTAGATGAGCCCCCCCGCCGCCCTCATGACCATGACAATGCACCACCAGCTCAACGGGAGCTCCGGTTCAAACGGCGTCGTCAAGACCCGACGCTCGCACCGCAAATCCAGGAACGGCTGCAGCGAGTGCAAGCGACGACACATTCGATGCGACGAGCGCCGCCCAGCCTGCACCAACTGCACCATTGCTGAGCGCGCATGCTCCTTTCCGCCCTCTCGCCAGAACCAGCTGTCGCCCCTACCGCAGCCGCCGCTGCCGCACAGCCCGGCCGACTCGCATCTCAGCCGCAAGTCGCAGCACTCGCCATCTTCCTGCGAACCGGATCACCCGGGACCGTGGCCCGTCTATGCCCATGAGCCATCGTCAACTTCTCCAGAGTCTGTCCTCAGCGCCGGCCGCGGCAGGTTCGCGCCGGCGCCCTCCACGGGACCCCAGACTCTGCCGTCCTTTACCGAATCCTTCACCAACACGGCATACAACCCGCCTGTTCCTCCGGCGTCTCTCTTCACAGCCGAGCACCTGATGCTCTTCCACCATGTCTCTGATGCAATGAGCGACTGCATATTGGCCCGCGGCCAGATCAAGATTGTCCTGGACGTTGCCGTCAAGCATCTGGTTGATGCGCCCTATCTGATGGACCAGCTGCTGGCCTTGTCCGCGCTGCACGTGTCCCTCACCACCAAACCCGGCGAGAATCCTCTGCTCGGAACTGCTGTTACTTTCCGTCATCAGGCTACCGAGCTGCAGACGCGAGCGCTGTCGTCCTTCACCCGCATCGCTTCTCTTGTTCCCGCGGATGATACGGCTACCTGCGTCCCGCGGTTCCTGTTTGCCAGTCTGCTGAGCAATCAAGTTTTGGCTGAGACGTTGTTGCAGCATCAACCACAGCCTCCTCCCTACCACCACGATGTCATGGGAGTTCATGGTGGAGGAAGTGGCAGCAGCAATGGCAGTGGTGGAGGCATGATTAGCTTCCACGGCTTTATCGAGCGCATGGTTGAGTGTATCCACCTGCATCGGGGCATCCTTGCCCAAATTCGTCCGACATGGGATTATCTTATGCAATCTGAGCTCTATCCTCTGCTACGAATCACCCACGACGCCAACATAGCAGCAATAACTCTCAAGTCTGGCACCGAGTGTGTCTTTCTCCGCCAGATGATAGCATCAACGCCATCCTCCGCAGCGTCCCTATATAGAGACGCTTCACCCCGTCTTGACCAAGCCAGCGCCGACGCTTGCCGAATCGCCATTGACTCTCTGCAGTGGGCATTTGACATGCACCGAGCTCTACCTGAGCAGGACGTTCCTCATGCGCCCTCTGCTTTCATCGTCACGGTGGAGGCCGAGTATGTAGATCTTCTACGACAGCTTCTACCCGAAGCATTGGTGATTCTGGCGTACCTGGGTGTCTTGATACATCGATGCCGCCGTTTCTGGACATTCGGCAACGCAGGGGCAAATCTCATCCGAGCCATTGCCGGATATCTAGGCTCCCACTGGCGCGAGTCGCTGGCATGGCCTTTAAAAGTGATTGAAGAAGAGACTGATTAAAAGGAGAGAGAATGAAGTAACGAGATAGAAGGGGAAGAATTTCGACAACGAAAGATGAAAAAGGAAGACATTCATTTTCTTTTCATTTCTTGTGCAATGAGCATATTCACATGTAAGAAAGAGAAAGAAGAATGATGATGGACAGCAGTATACTGTCTTTTTATATATGCATTGCCAGATAATCTGCTTTATTTCTTTTGTTATAGCAAAGAAGGGAGGAGAAAATCGATACAGGCAAACGGGGTATATGGGTATTTTTGTTCTTGGCTTTCTGCTTCTTATCAATTCTCGAGATAAGAAGAAGGAGGGGGGGGCATATGAGCATACATGCATCAATGTTCTTTCTTTTTCTACTCCTTTTTTTTGTACATTAGTTACATGTCTTTGACTTTCCTATTATATGGGCATATCTTTTACGGAGCGGATGGGGATGTATCAAGGGGGCAGCAAAGGGCAGTCATGATAGCATACAAAAGGATGAACTGGGTTGAGCATTATTGGCATAACTAGTATGTGTAGCCTTTTCTACATTCAACGTTGGTTGTTACTATCTTCTTCTCTTTCGCTTTCTTATGTGATGATAGTAAGCCTCAACATTATTCCCTCCCTTGTTAGTATCCGGAGTGGACGACGAAACTGTTTAAGAAAAGAATTATTTATTCATAATCCGTCCTCCTGACGAGTATACGCAGCGGTCCACGTCTTGCTGCTGTACCTAATCTATGTCCTCCTCCCATAGTATGGTAAAATCCTACATTTCATATAAGAATTGGTCTTCGTCGTCGTCTTCCTTCGCCTCTCTCTCGCTCTCTGATGTCCCTCTGCCACTTCCTCTCAGTACCCTTTTTTTGTCCCCCATGTCCTTCACACGAGAAACCTTCCATTTTCCTACACGACTAGTCCTCTCATCCTTGACATGCATTTTTTTTTCTGCTTTTTGTTCAACTGCCAGACAGAATTGACAGAATCTCAAACGGTAGAGAAAAAGAGAATCTGGCATCCTACCTTGGTGCTGAGTTAATAAACGTCAAAGCATCAACGGGACCATGTGACTCTATCGTTTTTTTGGTATCAATACAAAGGAAATCGGCGCCAAGCATCCTCGCTGTCGACTGAAGCCGTAGCCAGGCCTGGAGCACCCGGATAGACGGCTGATATCACAGCCCGTAGAGCTCCCATCCATCTAGGGCTCCGTACTGTATCTCAGCCTCCTCCGAGCCCAGCGAGGTTTCGGCATCCCGTTTTGGCGCAACTTCCGCACGGAGCTCTTGCGTAAGTCACAGCTCTTCGTCATCCAGATCTGACGGCTTCACAAGTCCTCCGACCTTTTGTCGCCTCTCCATATCGGCAGCCCGGGCATCGCGCTCCAGTTGCTCCTTCTCCACAATGAACAGTTCGGCGTTATCTCCAGCAAACTCCTTCAGGGAAATCAAGAAGTCGCGGAGGTTGAGTCGGAATTTGTCATACTGTGTGTTCAGAGTGAACAATCCCTCAACGAAGCTAGCGATTTGGGCTCTGCATGTAATCGTAAGCATCAAGGTGACCTAGTCAAAAAAGATAAAAGAAGGTGTAAAAAGACTTACGCTTGAAGGTTGGGGAAGGCATTCTGTAATAGAGTGGCAACAGAGGCAGACAGGTATTCTCGGTTACCAGTTCCAACCTGGGCCTGGTCTGGTGTGTAGATGGGTCCTTGAATCTTCGGCGGTGTGCCATCAGCCGGGTGGATGAAGTAGAAGAGCTTCATCAACAGCATAGACTGCGTCTTGAAACCCGCCTTGTGGTCATTGTCCGTTACAACGAAGAGCACATCCTGCAGGATAGTAACAAAGAAGCGCTGGAAGAAGGCGTTGGCAGTGTTGGGGTCCGTCTTTTCAGCAATGTTGGTAATCAGCTCCAAGCACATGTTAAGACCAGCAGCTTCAACATCTCTGTTGTCATGCTTGAATGCCCACGAGCAAGAATCGATGACAAACTTGAACTGGTTGTTGTCAAGTTTAAGTAGAGCTATTACCAGTCAGTTTCTGTTCATTCAAGATGACTCCACTGTGAACGCATCGTTGACATACCTGGGAAGCAGTGCAGGTTGATAGCTCGCAACAAGTTGAAGAACTCGACACGATGCTCCGGGAATTCTGAAAAGTCCTTGTTGATCATCTCCAGAGTGCACTCAAAGACATTTTCCATGATTGTAGGAACTTGGTCTTCCATCAACGCCTGTTGCAATGTTAGTTAACTCACGCTCCAGAAGAGAAGACGAATTCATAACAACGCAATCACATACAGCAAGCTTGGTAATAATGGTTGACATGGCTTTCAAGACCTCGGCGTCTCGGGCTCCTGGCACATTTCGGTTGTAATCAACAAGAACCGAATCCAACAATGGGGGCACCATCTGAGCCCTGACGGCCTGTAGGTCTTCGGCCTTCTCAACATAAGTCTCAATCAACTTAAGAATCTCCTTCTTGATCGTACGCAGACCGCGAACCTTGGGCATCTTGGTAGCCAAGTCACCTAAAATCAAGGTCAGTCTTCAATTCAATTCACAAGAGAAAAGGGGAGAGCGTTGAATAGAGAGTAGATTGAGATAAAATGCTGGAAACCTACCATCTCGCGCGACGGCCTCGGAGATCAACGAGCTTGTGGCACGGTACATCTGCAGCATATCGTGATAGATGCGACCAATCTGCGGGTAAAAGTAAGAGCCGGTGGAAGAGCATGCTGAAACGTTGGTCTTCATGATGTTTCCAATAACCTTGATGGTCTCAGCATCTTGCAAGATCGCAGAATTCATATTAGCCTGCTTGATAATCTCGCTCCATGCCGCATTGGGAATGTTCATCAGCTCGGACAGCAGTCTTTCCTGTTGATTCTTGTTGCCCTGGGCAGCAACCATGTATCCGCAGGCCTCATAGAAAGTATGTACTTGTTGGGGGGTAAGGTCGCATGTGATCTTGCCCATATTTCGTACAATCTCTTCAATAAAGGGCTCTGTCTCACTGGGCTGAAGTGCGACAAAGTGTCGTCGGCATTGCCTGGCAATCTTAATGAAAGTATCGCAAGCCATGTCCTGAACACCTTCGTGTGACTCGTGCATGAACTCAAAGAGCTTGTTAACAACCGTCTTAAGGAATTTCCAGTGAGCCTTGAGGAAACGGGGATATTGTCCAACAATATACATGATGTTACTGGCGACAACAGCTTTGTTATCTTTGCCCCGCTTCATTTCAGTAAGGCCAAGAAGATCCTTAATGACGGTGACAAGGAATCGCTTCTCTGTCTCTTCATTCATGGCAAGGGAGATGGAGCCAATGGCCCAGCAAAGCACGTTGCAGTTGTGCCATGACCACTCGGAACCGTCTACTTGGCGGGCCAGCTTCTCAGTCATGATGTTCTCGGTATCAACCACGTCCAGATGTGTGAGATAGACCAAGCATTCTCTGATGGTCTTGTAGAGCTGCACAGTATCACCCTCCTTGACGAACTCGCGAACGATTTCTCCCTCGTCGTTTTCCACAATCAAGACTTCCTCTGGACGAACCATCTTCTCGATCATGACAACGCGCAGGTTGGAGAGGACCTCGTTGTACTTATGCTTCCGAAGAGGGTAGTTCATCAAAAGACTCGGGTTTGGAGCTCCGCTTCCAGACATGCCTCCCACGGCGAGCAAGGGGTTGAGATCGGTAATTGGAAGCTGCTGCATCTCCTCGTAGAGCTCTTGAACAAGCTTCAGCCAGTAATCCAGGCAGATCTTGAAAACTTCTCGGTCGTCGATTTGCGATATTCTAACAAGATAGTAATGGCCGTGAATAAGATAATCTCTATTGGGAAGGTTTTCAATAAGCTGTTGAAAAATAATTAGTAAATAAGCGCGTTTAAGAAGCAGGATTAAATGTAGAATCGGAGAATTCTCACATTAAGATGCATGCCGAAAAAGTTGCAAAGGAACAGAGCAAGGTTCTGGACAAATTCTTGATCCTTGGAGTTACTACTTGGGTAGGTAGCCTTGAGATCGAGCGAGACCGGAATAATGTCAGCAATTGTGGTTAGAACCTCAGTAAACATTTTAACCAGCTGTTCATCGTATGAGTTGGGTTGTCCAGGTCCACCAGTCTGAAGACCACCGATCTCTGTGAGGCACTGAAGCGTGACGTTTCGAAACTCCGGGACGGACAAGAATCGGGTTCGCAAGGTGTCGATAAGCGGCGTCTCGAAGATGTAGCCAAGAGGGATCCAGTTGCAGAAGCGGAGCAACGTCTCGAGAGTGGCTTTGATGAGGCTTGGCTGGTTGGCAGAGTTGAGAACCTCTTGGCAGAGCGTGAAAATCTGAGAGAATTCGGCACACATGGTCTGCTTCAGGTTCCTCGTCTTGGTGGATGTCATTTGCTCGGCTGAGTAGTCAAACACCTCTTCGGAGAGCAAGCGCAGAATAATCATGTTGTTCTCGCAAATCGAAAGGCTGGAGTGGCAAGAAGAAATGATTTCGTTGATGAACGTGGGCCAGTTGTGTGGCCATTCTTGTTTAAGGATCGAGACAAGCACGAGGTTGAGCTTGTTCAAGAGGGTCTTTTGGGCGCGCAAAGTCTCTTCGCTATTGGAACACTGGATAATGAACTGGACGATGAAGTTTCGGATACCTAGACAACAGCAGATTAAAGCTATTAGCAACGCCGACTAGTTGATTAACAAAGAGTGGCAGGAAACTTACCTTGGCACTGCTCCCGAGGCAAAACCTTCCATCTTGTCATGATAACATTGTCAAGAACTTGTAAACCCAAGTCTTTTTTTTTTTGGTTCAAAAAGTCAGTAATGGAAAACAAACCACTTTGTGCTGCCATGTCTAGCTTAAATTGCTGGGTTTGCCATGAATATGGGTGGGATTAGTGAGGCAAGAGGAGGGGTCACGTACACTTCGTCTGGGGATACTGCGCGTCGGATAGAATCTTGTCGACCATGAGCCAGGCATCGGGGTCTTCCTTGAACTGCATTTGACAAAATGATTAGTAAAATTGTTCTAATTTGCACCATGCTGTCATAGCACGAGATCGGTTGCCGTGGAAAACTCGAGGACGCGGAGGAGTATTTACCTGGTTCAAGGCGGCTTGAGCTGCTTTTTGCTATAGATGGAGCAAACAGAAAAACCAAAGCGTCAGCTTTCACTACAGTCCTGCCATGGAAATAATTTCCAACAATTGGATCAAGCATACCTGCTCGCCGCGACCTTCGTAGAAGGCCCGGACCGTGCTATCGAGCTCCTCGATGGTAGGCATTTTGGGCAGACAGCGAGCGAGGAGGGGGAGGCTGTTCCTAAGGCGGGGGAGGGAATCGAGATCACCAAATCGAAATCCGGTCGAACGACGCAGCGCACAAAGTGGCGGCTGTGCGGTGCGTCGGTGGCGTAAAGTTGGGTTTCTCTGCAATCTCTCGGCGGCGAAGAATAGAGGAGAAACGCGGGCAACGGCGGAAAAAAAGAGAGAAGAGCGCGCGGGTTCGTGGAAGGAAAAGAAAAACGCAAGGAAGTGAGGGAGAGTGAAAAGGCGGGCGGCGCGGTGGGGAGAAGAGGTTAAAGAAAACAAGCAGCAGCGGAGCCTTTTTCTGGCGCTGCTTGCTGGAGCGGGAAATGAGCTAGAGCCGCGTGGTTGTTGCAGTGGAGGCGTTGAGGCTTTTCAGGCGGCTCGATGCCTGGAAGCTGCCTGGAGCAGGAATTGTCAGCAGGGCCACACAGTAGCACAGCGCCTACAGCAGCGAGCTACAGCAGAGGCGATGCCCGAGCTCAAGACCACCACGATGTTGATGGCGGGGCTGAACTTGATCGCCTTGCATTGATTGAATCCCTCCAACGCTGTTTTGTCAGCCCGTCCTGGCCACTCCTCGCTTGTCCTGCGATCGATTTTAACCGCCCAGCCCAACTTCAGCTTCAGCTCGCCTCTGGGCTATTGTAACGGGTACCTACGTTGCGTACCGGAGATATTGCATCGCGCCGCCCTGGGCAACTAATCCTGGCGACGCAATCGCTATCGCTAGGCCGGACTTAGCGCTATCATGACGTTACCATCCGAGGTCATGTAGCAGTACTTCGCTGTGTGATGTGATGTGACAGCCTCGTCTGCAAAACTTCAACGCTTGTCCCCCGCCTGATTCATTGCGAGGCGCAAGCCCAGAGCCTAGATGAACAAGCGCGGCCACAAACATGTAACTGCATTTGTCGAGTTTAGACAATTAGCAAGATCACCAAGTTCAATATACGAAAAACCATAGTCGGGTCGCGTATTATTAATGAACAAAGGGTGTCATAACCTTGTGATTTGCAAAATGATGTACCTGCTTGGCACTCCTCTCTCATCTAGTAGTAGCAACACCACCAACGCCACTCATCCTTTCGGACACTGTAAGGTTTTCAGTTTATCCTCCGTATCTAGTTTGCTTGCTTGCTTGTTATCCTCTTATGCTTTTAGCTTTTGTAGCATCCCGTCCACCCCTCCATTATAAATTCCAGCGCCACCGCCCTCCCGCATCCTAAGCCTTAGTATATCCACACTCCGCCAAGCTGGTCTTCAGGGCTTCAAGAGCCTTGTCAATGTCTGTCCTGGCTGGGTCCGTCTATGATGTGAATATCGTCAGTATTTGTATCTCTTGTCCAAACATTGTCAGGCGAATAAGCTTAGAGTCACTTACAGCTGAGACACCCATGTGTCCGAACCGGATGTACTTTGTCGCAATCTCTTTGTGCAGACCACCTGCGAAAATGACGCCCTTGCTGGCCAGCTTAGGCAGAACATTCGCAATCTGAACGCCGTCGGGCAGGTAAATGGCCGTCATGGCGCTAGACTGATCTTCGGGCTTGGTTGCAACGATCTTCAAACCGAGGTCGGCAACCGCCTTCTTTACCTTATCAGATACTTCCTTGTGCCTCTGGAAGCGTTCCGACAATGGTCGAGCCAGGATTTGCTTCAGAGCGGTATTTAGAGCGCGTACAAGCTGCGGTGATGGGGTCGCAAAGTATGAGGGCTTCTTGGCCTCGTAGTTTTGCATGACTAGACGGAAATTCAGCATTAGCACCGGCGGAAATTTGCAATGGACATGAAGATGAGCAAACATACTAGGGGCCCAGTTCTTGAATGAAGCAAAATAAGACGCAGGAGGAGTCTTTCTATTCTTAAAGACCTCCATCGCGCGTCCGCTGAACATCGAAATCGACAAGCCGGCAGGGCAGCCAATCGCCTTCTGAGGAGCCGTGATAACACCGTCCAGATCCCAGTCGTCAAATGCAATCTCCTCGCAAGCAACACTGCAAACACCGTCTACAATGACCAACGTCTCCGGAGAAACCTTCCTCACAGCCTGAACAACGCTCTTGAGGTCGCTGACAACGCCAGTGGAAGTGTCGACATGGGTGACGGTAACAATCTTGTACTTCTTCTCCGAAAGAGCCTTTTCGATTTCCGGCACCTGGGGTCGTCCACCAACGGGTCCCTCCAGCTTGGTAGGCTTGGCCCCATACGTGGCCAAGCAGTCGGCGAAGCTGTCACCAAAGTAGCCGGTGCTCAACACCAAAGCATCCTCACCGGCCTCAACCAAGTTGGCAGCTACCAGATCCCAGCCCAAGGTACCGGAGCCGCTGATGACGAAAGGCTGGGAAGCAGGATTGGTGGTCTGGAAGAGCGGGCGAAGTAGGCCTAGGGTCTCGCCAAAGGTGTTCACAAAGGTAGGGCCGACATGACTCTCGCTATCATCGCAATTAGCTCGCCAATCACACTCGGGCCGAGAAACGATGACATTACCTGAAGTGGCTCATTGACTGGAGCACGGCATCATCGAATTCAATGGGCCCAGGGATGAGCAGTGCTGGGTGCGAAGCTTGGGTCGACATTGCGGCTAGATGGCGCCTCTGGGCTGGAGCTTGGCGGAATCTGGGGGTAGAGGTAAGGGTTTCGGTGCTCGAACGAGGCGACGATGAAGACAATGGCGGAGACAAAGATAAATACGTCCTGGGTCTGGGGATGGAGGGGTTATAGCTGGACAGCAACGCGGTTTTGCGGGGCATCCCCCCAAGAGCCGATCGGACAGAGGCCATGGCTCCGCGCCGAATTTATATCCCCACTTCCGCGCAGCAAGGCCGAGGGGCTGGAGAAAACGAAAGAAAGCAAGACGCCAATGAGTGGTTTCAGGGAGAGATTCCGCCAGGGATTGGAAAGGGTCCCGGTACAAGTACGTGCTGGCACATCACATATGCGGCGCTTGCGCTTGAGCGATTGCCCGATTGCCGGTACCGGTGCCGGGTCAACCGCCTCCCCCGCCGTGGAACGCGGCGAGGCCCGGAGGTGCTTCGGGGTCCCTTGAGATGCGTGTAAGCTACATGTACGCTACATATGATGCTGATAGCATCAACATATTGCCAAAAACAAAGGCCTGGCATATCTCAGTGCACTTGAGCCTAAACTCGCCATCAAATGAGCTGCAATATTCTCCCGAGCATACACCTCTAGACCAATTTCGGGATTTTCTCAGCGTTGAATTTGTGAGCGATTCGGCTACATTTTTAACCGCCGTCGGGGGCAGCCCAGTTTTCTAGGCCCAGATTGCCGCAACCTTGAGGCTAAGAATGCCGCAACTATGCGGCCCAGTGACTAGCTAGCCTTGATCTACATCAGACAGGCGATCTTGCGGCTGCTACAGATATCCGAAGATGCCACCTTGACACGTGCCGAGGGTCCAACCCATGTCCAGGCCTCCACGAGCCATTCGTACCAGACCTTGGTGTCGTCGGTCTGCCTCCACATGCTAACTTCCAGCTCAGTATCCGCAGGGAAGTAAAGGGGTTGCTGGTATTATCTATGTTAGTAGATGCTCATTTCTCTGATGACGGATATAAAGAGCCAAACTCACTTTCAGTGGGAAGAAGATAGGGAACCAAGACACCATGTCTTTGCTCTTCTCATCAATTCGCTCCGGGTGAATGCTAATCTCAGTCTTCTTGCCCTTGCTCGGGCCCGACTTTCGCTCATACAAGGTGGATTCGAAATACCCTGCTAATCCGTGGGCAACTCCACGAGTTCGAGCAACGAATGTCAAATGGCAAAATCTAGAGTTGTGATCGTTGGCTCCTGCAGCGCCTGCCATGGATCCTCCTGTACCGCCGACCACTCCTCCGGAACGTCGCGCTACAACGGCGTCAAGCGTGGAATCAGGAATGGGGTGTGAAAATTCCCATGCTTCCTGAAATCTTGGGTGGCCTGGTACCTTTTGAGCCACAAAGTCCAGTTGAAACAGGCTCACCACCCAAGGAGTATCGAATGCAGTAGCATCAGTCTGAGCCCTTGTGTAAATGTCTGCGTAAAGCTTTGGTGTGGCGATAGGGCTCAGGTGTGCTGTGTAAGACTGTGGAATGGAAATGCCGTGAGGTTTTGCCAAAACGTGCTGGATACCATCCAAACATTCGGGAGAAAGTTCGTTATCACCAAAGGAGCCGAGTAGCTCAGAAATGAGGATATCGATCTTGCCGTAAACTGGTCCAGTCTCAGGTGACTCTGAAATCAATGGGCCTTTCCATGCGCGCATGTCCGTCTTAACGACATTGACTTTACCGCCCCATTTCTGGGCATTTTGGCGGAGGAGGTACACATATGCGTTGGGGTTCTTTTCAAGAGCCCAGACTTCCACTTTGGAACCAGTAGATTCCGCGGCTTGGATAGCCTTGGTCACTATAGGACCACGGCCAGAGCCAGCAACTGCCATTACAATGACACCAGGCTTGGATGTGGGGAGATTAAGTTCGTTCCATTCTTTCAATGCCTCAGCTATGGCCAGCTCGTATTGGTCGTATTTGATGGCATCATTTTCGAAGACCTCATAGGTTGCTGATTCAAGATTGTCTGATAGCGGCTGCAACGGCGACTGCAGCCAATCTTGGAAGTTGGTGAGAATGGGTGTCTCCAGGACTGAAAATGGTGCCTGTTGTGTCTCCAGCCACCGCAAGTACTCGCAGTAAACGTTGGAATCTGTAGACACACGAAACGCGGGTCTTCTGGCTTCCTCTAGGCTAGGAAAATCAGCCTCCGACAAAGGCGGTTTCTCATCCTTACCATCCGTAATGTGTCGCACATCAGGGCCAACGTCGCAAAGCAGAAGCCACGGCGCGTTCTTCAAGCGCATGTAGGCGAAAATCATATCCTGGTGGTTTCTGGTAAGGCTGGGATAGCCTGCCTTGTTTTTCTGGAACACCTCGGGGCCAAGGGTCAAGTAGTGGAGGGGTTCACAGAACCAACGGTTTTGCAGATCTTTCTCTGCCATGACTTTTGGCACCTTCAGCGCTATGAAGGTAATGGTTAGCATTGCCAAGGAGTAAAGAACGAGGAAGGGACGATTGTTTGCATACCAACAAGAAGCCTGGGGTTGTATTTACAAACCGATCTAATCTGGTTCCAGGAATCCCAGCTCGTAAAGATATCAATATCGCCCCCAGCAGCTTTCGAAGTTTCCTGCTCATTCAACGAGGAGAGTGTCTCGTTCTGGACTCCCACAAGCGGCTCGCGATACATGGGAATGTGGATCAAAATAGATATAGAGGGCGCAATAGTCAAGACCTCCTGAATGGCTCTGGAGTATTGCGCGAGACCTTGGTTTCCTCCATCCTTGGACGCGTCCTGGCCTGGTCCAGTAATGATGATACTCTTCACGCCGCACCAGCTGGCATAGTTGACCTCGAGGTTCAGCACTTGGCGAGAGATGTTGGCAATGACAGGATCATTTGAGCAAAGGTCGATCCAGGGGCTTGTGTATGCAACATAAGTATTGACTGCCTGTGAGGGGAACATGCTGGTGTCCTCCGGCGTGAGGGGAGGAAGGATGGGATCAGCGCGGCTCGCTGTACCGATGCTGGTCCCCTTCTCGCCATTTGCCTTGAGCGTTGCCAGATGGTCCGATACAACCTTGAAGGCTCGAGATTTAAAGTTACTGTTAGTGATGGGCGTAGTAGCCACAGAAAACTGGAAGATGGTTAGTATTAGAAATAGCCATGCGGATTCATCAGCTCACTTGCATCTTGATTCAGCAGGTATCCATATTGCAGCTCTGACAGCGGTGTTTCCCTTTTGGAGTCATAATAACCAAGCGTAAACATGGGTCGGTTCTCATGAAAGTCCCCCTGGAGCGAAAAGCCGCCAGCATCTGATTCTGTTGCCATTTTTGAGACCAAGTTATGCAGGAGGTCTGTATGCCTCACCCGGGAGATTTTATCTGACTGGGAGGGTTGAGTCTTGAGGTCGCTTGTATCTACACAAAAAGGAAGAACGGATATATGTATTTGATGAATGGCCTGCAATATACAGGAGACAGCTAGAGATATCTGACTCTTCGTTTCGTGAGTGGGCAGCAATACTCACAGCCCCTCTCACTTGAAGCTTAAAATAGGTTATTTGCTGCCAGAGCTTTTCTCAGTGGGAGAACAGGGCAGTGTCGCTACAGTGCGCGGTGTCTGCCCGTGCTCTTTATGCAGCCCAGTGACTGGTTGCCTAAGACTATATGCTGTGTCGGCATGAATTCACATTTTGTCATACCAAAAGAATTACAGGCCGAAAGCAAATGTTAAATGATGGCACATTGGCTCTTGATTATATTCAGGCTATTCATTACTTCATTCTATAAATTTCCGCAATCACTGAGCAAAAAATGACTTAGACATGTACAGTGCGAATAGCTTCTTACGATGCACCGTTGCAGACCTAGTCTTTATCGATAAGAGGAATTCTGCCAGTCCCGCCAAAATTTTCTAGGCCAACCGCGACTGACAGGCAGACAAGACAGCGCCAACCAATCCTTTTTCCGTTGCGCGGCAGCCCACCATCATCACCATGGCGGACAGAGCAGTGAAACGAGCGAGCTCAGACTACGAGGAGGCTTCCAACAAGAAGACAAAGACCGACGGAAAGCCCAATCCGTATCTGGCTCACATGTACGAGGAGGAGAACAATGGCTGGGGCTCTGGCGAACCGGCCGCCAACTCGGTTTTGGCGGGCATGAAGCGCCGCGAGACCACTGCGCAACAGGCTTCCAAGGCTGAAGATTCGGATTCGAACCCGTTCACAGGCCGTGAGCATTCGCAAAAGTACTTTCAGATCTTGCAGACACGGCGAGATCTTCCCGTCCACAAGCAAAGGTATGTGTTATCGCGTGAGATTCACCGCATCGCACTCGCACCCCTTCTCTATATATGATGGGCGGATTGCTCACGCTTGCTTTCAACATTAGACAAGAATTCCTCGACAAATACCACTCGACCCAGATCCTCGTCTTCGTCGGTGAGACTGGTTCCGGAAAGACCACTCAGATTCCCCAATACGTCGTATACGATGAGCTTCCGCATCTCAATGGCAAGCTTATTGCCTGTACGCAGCCACGTCGAGTCGCCGCCATGTCGGTAGCCCAACGTGTGGCCGACGAGATGGACGTCTCGCTCGGAGAGGAAGTCGGTTACAGCATCCGTTTTGAGGACAAGACATCGCAAAAGACCATGCTGAAGTACATGACGGATGGTATGCTTCTACGTGAGGCCATGCACGACCACGAGATGTCTCGATACAGCTGCATTATTCTCGACGAAGCCCACGAGAGAACATTAGCCACCGACATCCTCATGGCCCTACTCAAGCAGATTGCCGAGAGACGTCCTGACTTAAAGATCATCATCATGTCTGCTACGCTTGACGCTCAAAAGTTCCAGAAATACTTCAACGATGCCCCACTCCTGGCCGTTCCTGGACGAACTCACCCTGTCGAGATTTTCTACACCCCCGAGCCAGAGAAGGACTACGTCGAGGCCTCAATCAGAACGGTTCTCCAGATCCACGCCTCGGAACCCGAAGGCGATATCCTACTTTTCCTCACGGGTGAAGATGAAATTGAGGATGCCTGTCGAAAAATTGGCCTGGAGGCCGAGGAGCTGACGCGGGAAGTGGATGCCGGCCCGCTGGCCATTTATCCTCTGTATGGTACGCTACCACCTCACCAGCAGCAGCGTATCTTTGACAAGGCCCCCGGGCCGCTGAAGAAGGGAGGACGGCCTGGCCGAAAAGTCATCGTTTCGACCAACATTGCCGAAACCAGTTTGACCATTGACGGCATTGTCTACGTCGTCGACCCTGGCTTCAGCAAGCAAAAGATCTACAACCCCAGAATCAGAGTCGAATCTCTGCTGGTTTCGCCCATCTCCAAGGCCTCGGCACAGCAGCGTGCTGGTCGTGCCGGTCGTACAAAGCCTGGTAAATGCTTCAGACTTTACACTGAAAAGGCATTCAAGAAGGAGCTCATCGAGCAGACTTATCCCGAGATTCTGCGGTCTAATCTGGCCAACACCGTTTTGGAATTGAAGAAGCTTGGCGTTGAGGATCTTGTTCACTTCGATCTCATGGATCCTCCTGCCCCGGAGACCATGATGCGTGCCCTGGAAGAGCTGAACTACCTTGCCTGTCTCGACGACGACGGAGAGCTGACCACTCTTGGCAGTCTGGCATCCGAGTTTCCCCTGGACCCCGCCTTGGCCGTCATGCTTATTTCTTCGCCGGAATTTTATTGCTCCAATGAGATTCTATCCATCACTTCCATCTTGTCAGTCCCCCAAATCTTTGTCCGACCTGCCAATAGCCGTAAGCGTGCAGACGAAATGAAGGCGCACTTCGCCCACCCCGACGGCGACCACTTGACGCTGCTCAACGCCTACCACGCCTTCAAGGGCCAAGAGACTGCGGATCCTAGCTACGCCAAGCAGTGGTGCCACGAACACTTTTTGTCCTTCCGCCACCTTTCCAGCGCCGACAGCGTTCGTGCCCAACTGAAGCGGATCATGGAGACTCATGGGCTTGACCTTGTCTCGACGCCATTCGAGGATAAGAACTACTATACCAACATCCGGAGGGCCATGCTGGCAGGCTTTTTCATGCAGGTCGCCATGAAGGAGAGCTCCGGCAAGGTTTACCGCACTGTGAAGGACGAGCAGGCCGTCATGATTCATCCCTCAACGGTTCTTCGCACGGATTACGACTGGGTTCTGTACAACGAATTCGTCCTTACATCCAAGCAATACATTCGAACATGCACAGGCATCAGGCCAGAATGGTTATTGGTGAGTTACCTTACAATCACTCCACTCTTCTGCATTGAATTAAAAGTGAGGCGAGGCGGAACAAGGCGCTAACTCGATACAGGAAATTGCACCCGTGTACTTCAACCTTGACACATTTGAGGACGGCGATATCAGGCGGTCATTAGTCCGAGCCGCGGAGAAGAAAAGGAGAAAGGAGGCCATGAAGAAGGCTGGTCGGTGAGCGGGCATGCAACCAAAAGAAAGATGACATATATCTGAGACATGGCGCCGCTACTTGCATACAATCAAACCTGCTAGGATTGGCTCACGACTTGTCGCGTGCCGTTATGAGGCCGGCTCAGCTCTGATGACAGCCTCTCTTTCTTGTTCTCTTTCCTTTTATTTGACCCCTCTTCTCATACGTCTTTCCTTGCAGTTGGTTTGGAATAGACTTGCCAAAAGAGATGGGTCTAAAAAAAGGGATTCTCGAAGGAAGCTTCACTCTCTCTGGCTCGAAGCAATGCTATCTACCACAAAAGACCAAATGGTATAGACAATATATGCACACAGCTGCCAAATGGCTTGTTGCCACATTCGAGTGCCACGAGTCCCGGTCTCTTATTCCTCTTACTTGTTTTTTTTTTTTAGGACATGTACGTCGTTGGGGAGGAGAAAAATGGAACTTGTTGCTTTCTATGTAAGGGATGAAGAGGAGGCTTTGCAGCTGCCTTGCTTTATGGCGTCAGTTTTGTTTGTTGGACCAGTTAGAATCTAGACGCAGACTTTGTTTGCTTTTTTATTGATAAACTCGCGTATGAGGAGGATTCTCAGCCGCTGCAATATAGAATGCTTTGGGAGATAGCTTTGGATACCCCCCACACTGCAACGCCTCTTTATTTCTTGCTCAGGTGTATGTGTGCTCGTACTCATCCGTCACAGCTGCAAAGAAGCATAAAGATGAAAAGGAAAGGGGCAATGCGTGTAAGCAAGAGGACGCAGACACTGTAGCAAATAGTACCTTTCCAGACGCCATTTCAGCTGTCCCCTCTTTGCAACGGATAGACAATTGTAGCTTAGATATAGCCAGAGTGTATAACGTAGGTAGTTGAGAAACCTCGAGCATGAATCAAGACGTCACGCCGAGACAGCAAATGTCTGCACCGGCAAGTGGCCTCGTAGGCGCGCACTCCGAAAGCCTTGACAATTTCCATCCAACCTTGGTCCACCACCTAGTGCCCACTCGACTTTCTTGTCCTCCCCCAGACAAAGGTGGATGGGGACCATTACACAGATCCTTCTCCCAAGCGGCCCGGATTCCCGGAGGCTGGCATAAACACCGAAAAACTGTCAATAGTGTTGTTAGGCCTGTATACATCCCTTAGTAGACGGCAGCACCCGTGTGGAGCTGTTCGTGTTCGTAGCTGCGTAGCTGCGTTGTCATACCTGCACAAGCACACGCAAATCTCATCCTTCGCGCCCACTAGTAGCTTCTAATGCCGTGGACAGCGTATGCTAGTATCATTGACTAGTACTAGGTATGCAGCCAAGTAAAAGGGCAGACGAACTGGTTGGTCACTTGCCAGCGGTCAGGCTGGACTGCAGCCCTTCCTTCTGCAAGCTGAACACCATATATGGATGAGAAGCATTGGCTCGGGGAACGACAACCCATGGTCCGAGGCGTAGAGCTGCGCCGGGCAGGCAAAGCTACGTTAGTACAACACCATCTATGCATATAGACCCGCTGGTACAAGTATTGCGCCTGTTCGTAGATGTAGTTGCAAAGCAAACGACACACTACCAAATGCGTGATGTGTTTGGGCACCATATTTGGATGTGGAGGGGCGTGCACTATTGCCGCAAAGAGCAGCTTCTGTAAGCAATATTAAATAGCGCCGCTACGAAAACAGAAACAGGAACAAGGGTCGATCCGCGGAAAGTTTGGATCTGGCGCTACCTCGTCATACTCAGGCACCCTTCCGCAAAGATCCTTTTGGCCTTGAGGAGCTAACTTATGGAAACGTTGGTGGCGATTCGAGACGAGAGAATGAGACCACTCCTTAACAAGAAGGACATGGCATAATATTCAGTTGCCGAAATTGGGATTGTCTGACGACATTGGCGACAGTGGCAGCAATGCTGGTAGCGACGAAACAGCATCCAAACCGGCATCATGGCATCTATTCCAATTGGGCCTCAGCTAGAGTCAATAGTAGCATCAAGGTATTTTTAGATACCTCAATTATTCTAGCCCGCGCTCGAATTCGAGTTGTTTGCTTAACTTGGCCTCCTGCAACTGCCTAGTTCGCAGGCACCATTCCCAAAGGCGTTGCTATTCGCGGCTCTAGGAGCGCGTCTGATGCTCCTAGCATGCGGCTGAAACGCCATCGGCATAGGCGTGGGAGGAAAAAATGCTTTGTCGTTTCGTTGTTTCCTTGTGCATAGGGTACATGTTACATACTCCGCAGTCTGCCGTGCCATTCACCGAGGGTGCCAGGATCCACCTCGCCGTACAGAAGCCTTGTGTAAGTTAGCAAGGAGTGTTATGGCGACCAAGTGAGAAAATGAGTACAGTACCTAGAATGAGGTAAGAAGATGAAGCTCTTTGACCCCATTTTTATGTCTAATGTCGGTTGCATCGGTTAACAGCTGACAGAGGGGCATCTTAATATTATCAAGCATGATGACCGGGGAAGCACGACTGAGCGACAGTAGAGATTTCTAAACAATTAGAGGCCGTACGTCAACTCTTCGAATTGCTGGTACGAGGAGCTAAAAGTCTGTCCTACTTCAGTTCTTCGTAAGTATTGCGCAAGGGTCCCTTATTTCTCCTATCTTGTCAACGTGGAAGCGGCCAATACGACAGAAAGGATTATGACGGTTGAGTAATGGTGAAATGTTGAAACGGCATTGAATGACGCAGGGCCGTCGCGATTGCTCCACAGCGCCTATGTATCCCACGCCCCAGAGGCCCGATTGCGACCCATGGAGGGCTTAAAGTGGTGTCAAAAGACCGTGGCCTGTCAAACTACAACGGTACCATCGTACGGCTTAGGATTCTAGAATTAGCAACACTGGCTTGTCGGACCAGATAGCCGCAATTGCTGCACGGAGCGGACCGAGACACCAGAGGCCAAGCGGATCTAGGTGGTAGCAGTGGAGTGAAGTTTAACAGCGATGTTCCCTGATCCAGCCTACCAGGGCGCTTTTGTGTCAATCCAACCCATGGCATACCTCGTTATAAGTTCCTGTTAGAGCATCGGCATTTCTGGGCGGGACTTTTGTGTAAAGGCTCTTTTCTCTCCTATCGGCATCATACTTTCGGCGTTCCGTGACTGTCTGCGTACGCAGGCTTGGTTCGAGTCCCAAGTCGTTGCTACTTCTCGGTTTTGACATATGAGAACGCAGTAGAGACAAAAGATCACTTAATCTGGTCGGTTCGGTTAGCCACAGCCGATGGCAAACCCGCAGAAGAAAACTTCCAAGCACCCACCAATCACAACAGCTCTCGCAGTCCAAATAGAGCATTGTAAGAGTAATGTGCAGCCAATGACAGGCCGCATAACAAGCGTGTAAGATGAGTATGCCTGATCCGACAGAGCAATCACAAATCCTGTCTTCTCTTTTCTCGAAAAACATGCCGCATCGGGACAACAGCCTTGGTGGAAGCCCGGATCTGCACGTTACTGTAGCCGCGTCAAACTCTGTCAAGAATATTCAATCTCGTGCTTCATGCCCCGGGGCAAAGATTCCGTTGTGGACCTGATAAATGTACCTCCGGGGAAATGCCGTTTGCATATAAATCAAACAAGGATGTATTTTGTAATCGTATACATTAGGGATGGCCTTTCTCGGTGATGGTTTGGGATTTTAGAAAAATGCCGGTTGTCATTGGCAGTAGTCACAAAGAGCGGCAGCAGCGGCCACAAAAAGACTGCTGTACACTACTTATGCAGGTACAGAAGGCTTCCAAGCGTTCAATGCCTCGGAACAACAGTATTGATAGCCCTTTGAAGTTTTTGGAACTGGGGAAGATCCGACTCGAATACAAGGCGTCCAGCATTCCGTAGCGAAGTCGTAACTTTGTCGGCCAGTATCCTGCAAACTCGAGATGGACCGCTTGACTAGCTTTCATGAAATTTCGCCTTCGATACAGGCTAGTTACCGGGTTCTGCATCTCATCTTTGAAGCGCTATGCGCGTAGTGAATGACCGACATGATCGCCCGAGGACCCGTCATAAGTGTCTGTTTGATGTTGACCGAGCGCCACCCACTAAAGCGCAAACAAGCCTAAATCCTCTCCTGCTCGCCTAAGTGTGTGCGGGTCGGACAGTCCCGTCTCCCGTTAGATTATCACATCCTCATATTTAGGCTCATGTACCTAGTTGACGTGTTAGCTCTGCACCTTCAGCTTCATGTGTCTCTCCGTAGTGGGCCACGTCTTCAGATCCATCATCTCGACGGGCGGCGTATACAACTCAGACTTGCCTCATATGCAGGATGCAAGGGGCGATAGCGAGACGAGCGAAGGAGTATAGACTGCTCCATTCATAATAATACATGCATGCAGCCGGATGTTGGAGTAAACGACTGGATACCCGGGGTCGTCGTTTCCACCAGCGAGCCCTCGATAGCCTGGCCCCATAGGGCGGCCGCCCAATATGAGCTCCATGCCGCTTCTCAACGGTGCGCTAAGAGAAACAAGATAGAGCAGTATTATTCAAGGCGAGTGTTCTGAAGATGCCATCGTGGATCTTTAGTAGCAGCAGCTGAGAAGGTGCTAGTAGTAGTAGTAGTCAATTACTAGGCTTCTGTTAGTATCGCAAAAGCGCGCCTGCTCTAGCCATGGATTATTTGACTACTCCGTTTTTCACATGTCAGCGCAGGATCATTGCCAAAGTCCGGCGTCAGCTATCGGAATAGCTTTCACAAGTGCCAGGTATGAAGTTTGACTACACCCCTTTCCCGGGCATAACTTCTTGTTGCATCTTGGGTTGGGATCAAACCCATCTGTGATAGGCGGCGTTACATGCTGCGTTCTTGCTGGCGTTGAGCATCCCGTGCTCTGCAGCATGCAGACAAGGATTTGGCTATTTAGTGTGCGTGAAGCGACTGGGGATTCAGAGGCAGACCTTGGCCATGGCCCAGACACCCCTGAGAAAATGAACCTCCCCGGCCGCGCTACCAAGCGGGAAGGGGAGACCTGGCCAAAGGCTGCAATGCAGCATTTTGCCAAACACCCCC